GGAGTTTGCAGCACCACCAATCCCCTGTTAACTCACTTTTATGCATTTTTTGGGTAAATTTTTTCCATCTCCAACCATTGAATGCCCCTTTGATAAGAATATCAGGCTCACTGGCTAAGGCTGACATGCTATGGTTCAAGTAAAGATCAATGACCGAATCCGCCTGTACTACTTCAGGAAAAACAAAACACTTATTCCCAGCCAAATAATTTTTCTCAGCAAGCTCTTCAAGCCGCCTCCTGAGCACTTGTGGATCCACATCATCCTGTACTGGTGCTATATCAGGTTCATACTGTTCATCCTTGATTATCCTAGGGTCATCATCAGCAAACAGAACTTTCTCAGTTTCTCTACTTAATGGTTCCCTCTCAATACTCTTGCCAGTTATCTCTTCTGGTGCTTCTTCGGTGACATCTTGTCCACTAATAATGGTTTTCTCTTCTGTTGGATTTTGTCCACTGACACCACTACTTGGCTGGCTTTGTTCGGGAACAGAGACAATTGATCTATCTTGCTCATGGAAACTAACTACAGATTTTTCTTGTTCATGAAAACCAACAATTGATCTGTCCTGTACATGAGTGCTAGAAACTGATGTAGGTTCAGGTTTCGAACTTATTAGTGCACTTATTTTACCACGGTATTCATCAAGTTTTCTGTCAATTGCATCATCATCCATAGATTCAGAAGACAGTTCTGGAGACTGATTTTGCTCGACCTCTTCTTCAGTCTCAGCTTCAAAAGCATCATCCATTCCCTCCAAGAATACACTGCTCGATACATTTCCAGAGAAGTCCACCTCCGATGATTCTTCTACATTACTAGTTTGCTCTGTTGCTTCACTACTGAGCTTCCCATTGCTTGTGCCAAGATCACCTTCATCTGTGCCGCTTTGTCCAATCTTCTTCATGCTGGATTCAACAGTAGGTCTCGGAGCATATGTTCTAGAGGCAGCACCTTTAGGTTTCGGAGTGGAGGCTCTCCTTGGGTTTCTCTTAGAATAATCTGAACAATGCAATGTCAGGAAAAAAAAAACATGATCAAAGAAGTACCACATAAAGACAGTTGTGCTTTGAACAAAACCATTCCACCAACCTGCACTTGCCACCAAGCATCGGAGAAGCCTTGTCCTTGTAAATCTCCTGCACCTTATGATCGGCTGGGGAAAAAAAAACAGAAAATGGTACATGTGTGTGAGTGCAGATCATTTACCTTTCCTGAACTAATCGTACTTAATACATGCATTTCAGTGAAAATATCCCTGAAGCAGAACCGCACAATCCAAATTCCCACCCAAGCTACAAAAATTTCCGACAATGTTCAATGCGTGGAGCAAATCAGCAAAATTGTCATAAAGTTCACTTCAGTCTTCAGATACACACAAAGCCTGAAATGAACCAACCGACCGGAACAAATTCTACTCCTAGAAAGTAGAAACCAATCAAAGGAACGGAACAAAACGCCTCGACCACGCATGGCCTCATCTTCTAAAGCGGCATGGCCTCTCAGTGGTAGCACCAATTAAATCAGAACCCGGAGAACACGAACAAGGAGGAGGCCAAAACCGACACAGCCGCACCCAAACAGCTCCAGAGACGCACCTGCGCGAAGCCAGTGGCGGCCGTCGCCGGGCGGACGACGAGCACCGGCCGGCTCCGGGAGCAGAGCGGGCTATGCGCCATCTCCATTGCCAGCGCCAAAACCTCCCTCCTCTCCCCCTGATCCCCTCCTCCTCCCTCCCTCTCCCTCTCCCTCCTCAGAGCTGACTCCCTTCCCTTCTTTTTCTTTTCTGGTTTCCAAAAACTCGCATCGAAATGCGCAGCTGTGTGCTGTCCGCAGACACACACACGCGCGCACGCTCGATCGAAGGAGAAAGAAAGGCTCCCGTGCTTTCCCGTGAAATTTTCGCGATCTTTTTCTTTTTTATTTTCTGCGGCGAGAGGGAGGATTTGTGCGGGATTTGTGTGGACGGTGTAGGGTGCCGAGGTGGTGGGGCCCTGAGCGCAGGGAGACAGGAGCAAAAGGCTACAAATCCCAAAGGAGGGGGCCGCGGGGTTGCAAACGGCCAAACCTGGCGCGTCAGTGAGTGGGCCAGGGGGCGTTGCAACGGACGGCTGCTCTTGGTTGGGGGAGATATGGATGGGGACATCGGATGGATGGCGAGAGCCGTGTATGCCTTCGCCGTTCCGGTGGATCGGCATCTCTCCCTGCTGGGTTCTGGAACATTCCATGTTAGATCTCGCCGACTGCCCAGTTTCAAGCAGTCACCTGTTAACGTCTATACTGACTTTAAGATAGCTATAACTTTTTTTTCAGAATCAAAAGTTTGCCCAAGCAATTTAACATTTCGTCTAGAATATAAAAATATGTAGTTGTAGATTTCAGAAGATAAACTAGAAACCAGATTCATAGAAACTAGCTATCAACTAACTACTTCTTAGAATATTAAACTCCTAAACAGACCCTTAGTCAGTGAAATCTATTAATAATATTGCTGCTACACTGATCTAGGCTTCTAGTTGTAGTGTATTAGTACTACAGTGCTTTAACAAAATCAAGAATCAGACACGTGATTTCCACCATAAGAGCAAGAAGTGTCTTAAAGTATCACTAGTGTTGTCTCACAATCCAAGAGCATGAATACATTATGACATGAATAACACAATCGAGAAATTAAACATTCATCTTTTCTACATATATGACAAATGCATTAGTACGTTGTGGTACTACATTGTCAGATTCATTCTGCTTAACTTTTTAGACAAAAGATTAATTTTCATTGGCCCAGCTTTTAGGAGAAAGCCAAAAGAATTCATACAGAAGTTCGTCCTGCTTATTGTTTAGTAACACTGAAGTTATATTTGAAGCAAACAAAAGATAAGGGAAGAAAGAAACGTATCTGAGTTGCTTCTCAGCTCTCACGGTCTCACCTAGTCAGTTCTCGACTCGTCTAATGTCCATGATGCATCCAGCAGTTGTGCCTGAATCATTGCTTGTAAAGATCTTGATTGATTGATGGCTTATCCTCTCCTAAAATAACAGCAAAGGGGGGCAAGCTGTTCTTGTCCTCATGTTAGGTCCATCTCCTGCAAGTCCAAATGGAAGTAAGACAGAATAGTAGCAGCAACAACTCAGGACTCAAATACGTCCAAGTTCCAGAATCATTGTACAGAGAAACCGTCGACATTGAACAAGATTGCTTATTGCTGAAGCGTGTATCAGGTTAACTGTAGAACGTAGGCCGTAAAGTAGCAGTTACATGGAAACAGATTAGTTGAGTGCATAACAAATTCAGAAGAAAAAAAAAACGTAACTCAGGAAACACAAACTGTCTGTCCTTTTTCATTGCAGCATAACAAATACCCGATTCATGCTTAGAAGTTCAGTAAACAGATTGATGGGGAGCATATGGTCATTGGAAGAGTTCTATGAGTTAGCAATACTAATTTTGCTGCCTAGAATTCCACTTTCATTCTGTTAGCTGAAAGACTAAGAGAATGCAACAGTTCTGCCATATTATTTTTCTTTTGTAGTGTGAGGCCGTGGAACATAAATAGGTCTTCAAATTAATGAGACAAGATAAGAACATGAGTGAAGAAATTTGATTTCAGGCCAATCTGCAAATTACACATGGCAATATTAGGCCGTCTAAAGACCTTCCTGAGTCCTGACATTGACTAGAGAACGATAATACCCTAACAGTATAGTCACAAGACAATCATTTGTGGGCTTTCTATGAGTTCTTATGAGCTAAAGACCAGAACAAAAATAAATGCACAAAAAACAGTAGGCACCATTATACTATAAGCATTCAATCACCACATCAGTATTGTTCATGGGTTTAACCACATCAGGTGGCCCAAATTCGAAAGCACTAACAGACTGAAACTTGAGATTTGTTCAAGGTATCACCATACTTGCAGACAGTAATTGCAAGCATCATGCTAACATGACTAATTAACTAAGATGTGATATAAACTGAGAAGAAAATAATGTCATTAATTACAAAAGGCGGATAGGCATTAAGCAGCTCCTACTAGGGAAATACTCGAAGGATTGCGACATTTGCACTTCAACAGAAAAACTTTTAGCAATTATGCCAAGATGTAAATGATTCAACAGCAACACACCATGGAAATCAATGTCGACCAGACCAATTCATAAATGGATCAGTAATATCAGTTGATAATATGTAAAACCCCACTGCTTACTAAAGCGATCAACTATAAACTTAACAAGATGCAAAAGAAGGAAACACAATAAAGAAGCGAAGTAGAACGTACCATCCGTTCTTAATTGTCTTAATTAGCAGTACCCTACGATTCACCTCACTATACAAACTAAATGAAGAAAGTAGAAATGGCTGGTCCGAAAACGAATCATGTTCCAACAAAACAGTGGAACACCATTATGTATACAAGTCATAGATGGTATATAACAGCAATGCATGACATAAGCCCAACTCACATTTCTCAGAAGTTGGAACTTGAAAGCATCAAATTGATTGCTATGGATGACGACATCACGACACTAATGGCTGCAGTTGAAGATGCTCCATGTTAGTAGTCACCGAGAACAAATGAACCTAATACATCAGTCACAGAAAAGGCAATATCATCAAAACCAAGCGAGAATTTGGAAAACATCCTGAATATGCTCCCAACCATTCAATGTGAATTTAGCATAAGCCACTATTGCTGCAAGTGAACTGATAACAAGAGTATTTTCACAATCTGGGCAGAATGAAGTTCTATTAAGAGCATACGAAATGTAAGAGAAAAACATGACCAAAGTTAATTCGAAGGCAGCTCTGACTAATGATTTTGGTTACTAGCAGTTACAACCAAGAAAGCATACTAAGATTTATGTCAGATAAGAGGGTAGTTGCCAAACAAATTTACTTACTGTAGACAAATAGCTTTCAATTTCTGAAGTAATACCAGCTCCTCTTTACTTTCACACGGCAATGAAAAATACAACATGCTATACCCATAGAAAAATCAAGAACAAAATAGCTTCAATTCACAGAGCATTCAATAGATCACAGTAAGAGCATCCAGTCATATTGCAACTCTTTTCTGTCACTTTCGTATTTTTTTAGCAAATCAAAGCATAAGTATTCTTTTTTGTCTTTGTTTTCACATATCAGTACAACCAAACAAGGAAAAAAAAAATCATAAACCACAAAACTATCGAAACAAGGGAGAGCTAGATCCCCAAATCTACAGGTCTATCGCAGCAAATACATCACGATCCGCCCTCCTAGTGAGCGGCGACCACCATGTCCGGCGAGCCGAGGAACTCCATGGCCACCTCGACGGGCAGGTCCGGGCTCGGCGGCGGCGGCGCGAAGAGCATCACCCTCTTCGCCGCCGCGAGCTTCTTCCGCTGGGGGCACCGCGGGCCGAGGAGCCTCGATACGGGCACGAAGTACGGCATCACCGCGCCGCCCTCGCCGTCCCCGGCCGCAGCAGGAGGGGGAGACGACGAGGGCGCGGCGGGGGAAGGCGAAGGCGACGAGGGAGGGGCGGGGCGGGAGACGGCGGGGTTCCGGCGCCGGAGCCTGGCGTCGCGGAGGCGGGCGAGGGCGCCGGGGCGGAGGAAGCGGTGGTGGTCGACGACGCCCGCGGCGGCGGCGGCCGACGAGGAGGAGCGGGGCTTGCGTGTGGCTGCCATGTGGGCCCGAGGTGTCAGTGAGAGCCGGATGCGGGAGGCGCGGATTGGTGGGAGGCGGAGGGAGCGGGTGGGGGTATTTGAAGGGGTTAGGGTTGGGCGGGGACGCGCGAGCCTTAGGAGGGAAAAAGGTTTGTGCCAAAAATGGGATCGCGCCTTCGTTGCTGGTGACGCGTTTACACTATGACGAGTGGGTCCCGTATGTATGTGGGTCCCACATGGCGGTGGGATAGATGGCGCGTGACGTGGAGGGAGTAAATTGGGGGGACCGGTTGCTCACGTTTTGAAACGAGCGGGCGGCGGATGGCGCGCGTGCCGCGTGATCGATCGCGCGCCTATCACGGTAACCCGACCGATCGTATGGGCCGGGTTCGTTGAAAGCGTTGGATCGCGAGAAGAAAAAAGTCCACTTTACATCCCTTACAAATGGATCGAGTTTTAATAATATAACTTGAACGTAAAATCAGGTATACTGTGCAACTCGAGTAAAAGTGCATCATAGGAATTGGATGCAAGCCTTGTCCACAATTCAACAGTTCGACTAGAAATCCATCCACAATTCAACAGTTCAAGGAATTGGATGCAAGCCTTGTCCACAAGTCAACAGTTCGACTAGAAATCCATCCACAATTCAACAGTTCAAGTAGAAGTGCATGATGTTCCATAGGCCATATTTGCATAGGAATTGCCGAATTGGATACAAAGTGTGTCTGCAGCAATAGTCTAGGATAAGAAAAACATTTGAGCGGGCAACAAACAGACGGCATACTTGATTTGTTCTAAGGATACAACTGCCGGCACAGTTTGTTTCACATATAAGAAAGTAGTGCATAAAAAAGGGACCTAGAATACAAATGTGGACCAAAACTGCACAAAAACAGTAACGAAAAGGTGATCATTACAATCTTAAAATCTGGAAACAATTGTGAACGATATCTGAAAGATGGCAAGTTCCACATTATAAGCTGAATCAAAAACATCACCGGCATCCCACATCCATATTTACATTCTTTGAATCGAACACATCATCAGATGAATCCCTCGGCATTCTCTGGCTTCTTTGGAGTTTTGGTACTGTTCACATCAGTAGTGGCCGTGCAGACAGGAATCGTTGCAGGGCTTCCTGGGATATGGGTTTTCGACAATTCGCTGTACGGGTTCCTGTGCTTTTCACTTTTCGCGGCCATCGTGAAACTTCCAGGTATATCGGCCTTAGGTAAATCAGCCTCCTGATGCTTATGCTCCTTCCCGGTTATTTGGGCATTTTCTTGCGCATGGGCTGTTGGGATTGCGGCCTCCTGATTTTCCAGCTCCCGTTTACCCATTTCAGGTTTTTCTGGCATGTTCTTCTTTGGTCGTTCACCTTCCTGATGCTTGCCCTCTTGTACAAACTCTTTAGAGCTTATAGGAGAATAGTCCTTTGCCGGTTTATCATCTTGATGCTTGTCATCCTGCTCAGCCACCACCATTTCCTTTGATTTTGCTCCAGCATCAGTTGCAGTGGTTGCAACCTTGCTATAGGCATCGGTTACCCATGCTGCCCCTGTAAGGATGTATCTGTTACTCATGATTGCAGAGCCAGCAGTAGAGACTGTCTGTTCTGCAGCTGCTAATGCTGATTTGGTCTTCTCTGCAACCTGGTATTTCTGATCCATTTCTTTCATCTTCTCATTTACCACTAAGGTACCAGTGCTGAACTTCTGGCTTAGACCCATCTTCCTATCAAGCGAGGTAACTTTCGCAGTTGCGGTGGATGTGAGCTGATGCTTTTCATCAAAAGACTTGGCCCTTTCAAGGGCATCCTTCCCAAGGACAAATCCTTTGGCCAACATGGAAACAACAGCATCCTCCGCCTTCCGAAGTGCAGATTCCATGCCACCAGCGTTCTTAGACTAACAGTTCAAAGATAATAAAGTCTAGTTACTGAAAGCAATTTGCGAACCAAACCAGAGATGCAAAAATTCCATAGTTCTACCTCAATATCAGCTAAAACGGCTGCCGGCAGCTGATAATTAGTGGCCGGTGTTATGATGACAGACATATCCACTATAGTCGCACCCTGCACCAGAAAAGTACAGTTTTACATCATATAGAGAGCACAACCAATAAGACAAATTTTGAATCCATAGCTTCTTATTACATTAAGTCAATTAGGCAATGTATAGGTGCTAAAGCACAAAAGCACATCATTATCAATTACTGGAAGAAAAGACCGTTACATATTACCGTGAGAAGCATAGCCCTCTCTGCTCCTTCGTCATCTTCGAAGGTGATGTAGGCAAACTGAGACCGCTCGTCACCACTGAAAAGCATTGCAAAAAGGTTAGAGCCATATATCCTCCTTCGTGAGCTGTCTTTGAAGGTTAGTTGCTCTGTATAAATAATAAGAGATGTCATGAAGGACATAGCACTAACCTTTGCATTTCAACATGTACGATGACACCGGAAAAGGAAAAGAACTCCCTGATATCTTGTTCTGATGCTTCAAGTGAGACATTGTGGACCTTTATTGTGCTAACCATGCTTGCTTTCAAAAAAGAGCATAAACAGAAAGGCACTAATCAGCACACTGGTTAGGGTTTTCCATTTTTAGATGCCTCTCTAGTTAGAAAACCAGGACGGTGTAGAATGAACTTCCTCTTTTAGTAAACAAATGAATTTTATGGATCAATCAATTTGGGAACTTTCTCACAGACACACAACCGAGAAATTAATTTTATGCAAAACTATGTTACTTGTCAGCAAGCGTTATCAATGGATCATGTCTTCATCAAATAAGGTTGAAACTCACCCAATTTCATGAAAGTAATACATTTGAATGGTGCTTAACAAGTAAAAGAGGGAGTGCCAGTATTACATGCATTATTGGGTCTCAGTTTCTAACAGCTTTTGAAAATGGAACAGTCAACATGTGCTCATTTCTGTGAACAAAATATAGTATGGAAGAGACAGACATATATGTTAAGACTAAAAGAAGAATGAAACATTAAAAGATCTTCTAAATTTTATAAACTGGCAAAATATATCATGATGGAGTGGTAAAAAAAATGTGACATGCCAAAGATTTATAGTGCAGGTAAGGATACTACCGATCTATGCAGCAGACAACCTTTTTTAGATGCATTAGATGTTAGAAACTTAGAATCATGGTATTACATTGTGCAAATTGCCAAAACAACATGCATCGGGTAGCACATCAGGAATAAATAAATCAACATATACTAGAAAAAAGAACTTTAGACATCCAGAATTTCAGAGTACCAATGCTGTCTCTTTTCCTCACATGCGAGAAGCTGCAGCAATAATATTCAGACAAACATCACAACGACCAGAAAGTATGAGCCCTAAAGAATGTCTAACCATGCAACCAAATGAGTTCCAACAAAGAATCATAGGACGAGAGCACTTCGATCTCGAACTCACACGGCATCAGGAACAACGGGTGGTAGGTTCCTCACCTCAAACGAGAAATTGTGCGCTCGCCTCCACGGACCCAATCCGATCCGAGCAGCGCTCGCTCCGGACTCCAATCGCTATCTCGAACTGGGGAGAGGGAGAGGGTCGACGGAAACGGGATCCGTTGCGCGCGCGCATTTTGCCGCCGGTTTCGTCGGATCAGAGTGGTGGTGATGCCGAAACCCTGGAGGAGGTTGGCAACGTGGCGACGCGCAGGGGACCCGATCCAATGGGCCGTGGGCCTTCTTCTTCTCTTGGGCCGCCTCAAAGCCCAATGCCTCGCTCATCAAGCACACGCTTCCTCCGGTGGTCGGCGGCGAGCCGAGGCGGCGGAGGGATGGGTGGGGGGATGATCTGAGCGGCGGCGGAGGACCTGGCGCGGAGCCGGCCGGTGGCGCTGTCGCTGTACAGGCGGATCCTGCGGGCGCTGAACTCGCCGGAGCTGCCGCTGGGGCACGCGGCGCGGCTGGCGAAGAAGGCGGAGTGCCGCGCCATCTTCGTCTTCGGCGCCGAGGAGAGGTCGCTCCACAACATCCGCGACCTCGTCGACGCCGCGCGCCACACCCTCGGCCTCCTCCACCGCGGCCGCCTCCCTTGAGTTGGGAGAAGAAGCAAGCTCGCGAGCTACAGCTATGGTATTATTACGCGTCTATTTCAGTGTTTTTTTTCTTAGCCATTCTAGATTGTAAGATTCAGTTCGTCCCTGTGTGACATGAACTGTGTTGGAGTGAACTAGTATATGCCCGATTTTAGATTTTTCTGCTATGTATGTGTACCACGCATAACATATCTATTCCAAACCGAAAAACGGTTAGCATTATGAATTTATTTCCACTGGAGTCAATTTGATGTTGTTCTTAGATTTGAGATGTAAAGTTCTCGATGGTACGAACTGATAAAAAGAAAATTTGAAACATTCAAGCACTAGCATAGATAGATAATGTTTCCAGATTCCTTGCACAACTCCTAACAATTTCATGCAGCCATAGCCTTGCTAGACATAGGACTACAAGAAATAGGCGGGGACGTTCGATTTCTGACAGACCAATGAAGCTGCAACTTCATATTTACACCTTTGTGATCCGAGGTAACAGCAATTCTCTCAGCAACATTGTTGATCGATATTACTAATACTGTACCAAGCTATGAAAATTATTTACTCTTCATTTCTGTGAAATAAATAACTGTCACCCTGTTAACGTTGTTACAACTTGCAAAATGGAATCTTAAATGTAATGAGGCTTCTAAATAAAAAGCAGTTCTCTGTTCAATGTAACGGAACTGTTCTAAATTACAGATTGAGTGGATTTATGGTTCCTTACAGAAGGTATACTCAGTGAATTCAAGATGCATGCATGAGGCTACAGGCCAATCTTGCACGTAAAGCCCAGCTTTAAGTGATTTCAAAGCTTTGGTTCACAGTTGGTTTTGCTGAAATTATTTTGGATGTAGATTTTTTTTAGCCAAGATTATGTTGATCTTAGTGATATATATTTGGTCAGGACTTAAACATTCTTAGATATCTCAAAATAGAAATATCACAAATACCTCTACAATTACCATCAACTGATTCATTTTTATTCCATCTCATATATACACTTATACCATCTCATAGAGACTCATTTTTATTCCATCTCTAGGCTGCGTTCTTTACCGCTGGTTCCCAACCCATCTCTCTCGTTTTTCGCGCGCACGATTTTCAAACTGCTAAACGGTATGTTTTTTTGCAAAAAAAAGTTTATATATGAAAGTTGCTTAAAAAAATCAAATTAATCCATTTTTTAAAAAAATAGCTAATACTCAATTAATCACGCGCTAATGGATCGCTCCGTTTTCCGTACGGAGATGATAGGTTCCCAACCCCAACTAACATAATAATCTGATAAAATTATACATTTATACAACATTTTCTAGTGCCAACCTAAATTTGGCCCTGTACACAAATTCTCCTATCCAGTTGTCCATCTTGAGCAGATGATTGCAACGCATCCAGTTTTTCCTCTTTCTTCTGCTCGCGTGCATCTCCATTGTCACCCCTACTTCTTGTTGCACATGGTTCCTTTTCTGGAGACGAATCAATAGCCGTAACGACTTACGAAGGCCAAGAATCAAGATATGTTGCAGATCGTTTCTTGATTATAGCACCATGCAGTAATATGCAGGAACATCTTTTAACACAAACAAAAACATGCAGACAAACAATGGCCATTGAGTACTGCAGCAGCATTGCAGCATGGGGAGAAGGAAGATAACCATGAATGGCTAAAACAGTAATTTGACTGAACACTGCTGCTTCTTTATGTCTATATTATACATCATAATGGATCTCACAGTAGCCTATCAAATGGAATCAATATCACCAGGACTACAGTGAGATACAGAAGCAGCAATGCTCCAGCTGGCCCACAAAGGCCAACCTGATCTTTTTCTTCAGTACTGTAGTGCATACATTACAAGTTACCCTAAAACAAGAGAAATGAAGCATGGAAATACTCTTGGAATTATTCCTTGGATTAAATTCTAGGCTTACAATGTTTTCCCTATTCGGTGGTCGTGGCAACTCTAGATCTTCTGCTTGAGCACTTGCCGGAGCTGGACCTTCTGGCTCTCCATCCGTGCCTCCATGAGCTTGGATTTCAGGCTGTGCTTCTGGGATGTCCGTGGGTACTCCATGCAGCCCTTGAAGCCCCGGTTGAATTGCATGCTCATTGAATCCGGGGAGCTCCATTGCCCTATGCTCGGCGAGCTGAGGCCTATTTCTTGAATGCCACTGTCAATGGTAGAATGGGTCCCAACGGATAGCCGAACATTAGATGATCTTCCATTGATCGTCTCCACAGCATCTTTCTTGCAGACGTCATTGTTCTTTGGACGGGACGACTTCCAGAGCTTTGATAAGGCTGATTCTTTCTTCTTGGGTTGGTTCATGTTTGTCAGGTATATATCAGTCGAATCATCCTTCAGTTTCTCAGCTTCCTTGTACTCAAAATCGTTTCGGCTCGTCCAAGAGATGCTTCCATCACAGATCTTGTTAACTGACGGTTCACTTCCATCCGGTGAACCACTTGAAGCCTGCATATCTTCATGGCTTATTGTCTCCCAGCTGCTGCCATCTTCAGTGTCACTCTCATTCTGAGGGCTTTTACTTGAGTACACCTTGGTTGGCTTTTCCAGGAATATATCAGTCATTGGGCTAGCCTCTTGGATTTCTGATTCGCACATAGCAGAGTTGTTCTTGTAGCATGGCTCAATCTCCTTTATGACAGGCTCTTCACTTGGACGCAGCTCTTCAAAAATGGAAAATATGTCTTCTGATTGTGCCGGTGGCTCATATCTGAATTCAATATCTTGTGCTCTAACAGATTTGATCGCCTGTATTATGTTCTCTGCTTCTTCCACAACCATAATGTCTCCTCTAGCACAACTGCATGCAGCAATAAAAGCCTCAACATCCTGTTGCAGTTTGCTCAATTGTGTGTATTTGGCATCAAGAGTAAGTTTTGCATCAACAAGCTTCATCTGCACCCGTTCTTCACGCCAAACCTCAGCCATCTGTAGCATCTTGCGCTCCTCATCAACCTCCTCTCGCAGCTTGAGGGAATCATGTTTCAAGGCTTCAATCTCGGCTTTGTCTTCCTCCACCTCCCTTGCCAGTTCATTGCACACCTCCTCAGTGAGCTCGCGTGCTTTCCTCTCATTATCATATTCTTGCAGTAGCTGCTTTGCTGACATCTTGGCTTCCTTCAACTCATTGACAAGCTTCAAGTTAATCATCTCCAGGCGTCTCCTGTTTTTCTTCTCATGGTCAAGATCTGCCTTCATATCTTCAAGAATTGCGCGCACTTTCTCATGCTCTCTACTCCGCCAAGCTGCCTTTTCCTCTGCAAGTTTCTTGAACAAGTGATCCAGCTTCTTCTTAGCCGCACGTCGCTCGGTTTCCAGTTCACTTACCCGATCACGTGCTTGCTGGAGCTCCATCTGGAGGTTAGCAACATAAGTTGCATCTTGCTGCTCGTTGAGAAGATTTAGTTGACTAGCTATCAGATAGGCATCATGTGCTTCCATTCCCTCCAAGCTCTCTGGCTCCCATTTTGTTGCCTTCTCCATAGCGGTGACTGGTAGCACAGCTGTAGCAGCATGAAGCGGTACCTGCAGAATTAAATAGATCAGTGATCTTACATGCTGGTGCAGCAAAAAGTATACAGAGGTTTTAACCTCAGTGCCTCACCTTATGGAGCTCTCCACTCTTTCGTTCCAAAACAGAAATTGGGCTTGAAATCTCATTCTTAAGGGTTTGGTGATGAACCAAATTATTCTGTTTAATAAGCTGGACTTGTAGATGTCTTGGGATATGCTGTCACAAAGGCACATGCACAAATAAGTTACAAGAAAAATAGATCCACCAGATTTTACAGCAAATCCATCCAGAATTCCAGAAAGCAGGCCCCTCCCCCCTAGATATGTATAAATTCATGTTACTGTTTACCACTGGGGCTATTCCATATATAACAAAACAGTGAATTGTCATGGGACGTCATCCGAAACACAGAGAATCCAGAGGGGCCCAAACTATCATGACAGATAGACCCCTCTAAAACAGAAACATATGCACTGAACCTAAAGTCCAACCTACATGACCACACTTGTAGCGTTGGTAACATCGATCTCATTTGTTGGCTAGGATTCCCCATCAGACCTAAGGTTCAAAGTTCAAAAACCATTTGATGTAGCTAGGATAGACTCCAATTGGATGAGACAAGAAGCTGTATGGTCAGCTAGTGGCTCACAAGGGACCACATAGCTGAACCCAGCTTGCATATGTTTGTTGCTGCACGGGATAAGAGTTCAATCATTTGGCTCATCGGATCCCTCTTAAACCAATCAACCCAACCAAGATCCAAATTCCAAATCACACACTTCCAATGCACCATTCATTTCCGTAAAACGGAGATAAGCTACTACCGTTTTCACCAACGAAATGGCCTAAGCCATACGGACAATTCATTTGTAGCCATACGGGCAATTCGATTGTACTAGTTGCACGAGCATGGAGAATCCAATGACTGGGGCCCGACCAGGTTCACATGAGGGGATCCGGGAGCAGGAAATGCAACTGCCCTTTTTGGATCAGTAAATTTATGCGACAAGGATCACGGCCATCGCCCAATGGGCTCAGCACGGCAGCTCTCCATAAATGTCCATGCTTCTGAGCGACGCATCCTGCGCTTACGACGACCACTGAATGCGTCGATGCTGAGCGACTGACACTAGTACTGCTAAGCACTTCAATGAGGAGAATGGATTAATGGATTTGACTACGGCAGTCGGCAGGCGAGTTTAAGGCAGAAATAAGCAGATGAAGCTAGCAGGCAGATGGTACATGCTCCTGCATGGTGTAATGAAGAAATCGCCCAGAAGGCGAACTCCGAAATGTTTTGCGTGAGATCTGAACATCTCTGCAACAAATGAGTGCGTTTTGACCTGGAATCTTAGCATTTTGGTAGTAATGGATTAGTCAAAAAAAGGATAAACATGACCCTAGCCAAAGTTTTTGTTTGTTTTTTCTTTGATTCAAGCTGAAATAGCATGAGACCGGAACAAATCCATCAAAAAGCATTGAAAATGCGCGCTTTCTTAGCTGGACTTGACTAGGAGATTGACGAACGATACAGCAAATCAGCTCAGCGAAAAAGCAGACGAAGCACGAGCTTCTAGTGAGCTCACCAGCACTGCAACGCATATTTGTTGGGGGAAAAAATCAAAAACGAAAAAGGGGAAAGGGTTTAAGCCTCCGTGCACGTACCTCGAGGCCGACGTGAACCCTCCTCCTCTCCCCGCTCCCCGCGGCGGCGCCCCCGGCCACCGCCTCCGGCGGCCGCAGCCGCCACACTCCAGCCGCGAGCCTCCTCACCGACACATCCCGCGCCGCAGCCGCCTTCTCCGACGGGCCACCTGCCTTCTCGCCGCCGCCACCCCCCTTCTCCGCGCCATTCCCCACATCCCACTTGAGCAGCGGCGTGGCGGGCCCGCTCCGCCGCCCCCCACCGCCACCGCCACCGCCACCGGACCCCGACGCCGTCTTCAGCGGGCGCCTCCGCAGCCTTCGAGGCGTCCGGACAGCAGACGGCGGCGCCGCCGCAGGAGCAGCGGCGGCGGCGGCGGAGCGGTGCTTGGAGCTCATCTGCGACGGAGGGTGCGGCTCGGGTGGAGAGCGCGCTCCGGCGGCATCGGCTCGGAGACAAGACAGGGAGAGAGACGCGCACGCAGTGGAGCTGAACAGCAGAGGAGAGCGGAGAAGCAGGGACGGGAGAGAGACGTTGGGGGTGGCTGGCTACTTGGCTAGTGAGGAGGCGTTGGGAAACGGGAGGTAAATTAGAGAGAGAGAGAGGGGGTGGTGGTGGGGAGAAGTAAACTAGAGAGGGGAGGTGTGGAGTTTTTGGGGAGTGTGTGGAGATAGTGGAAGGACGGATCTGGGCCTGGCCGCGGTTTAACGTGGGTAAGGCTGTGTTTGGTTCCATGTTAAAATAAAATTGGAAGTTTAAAGAAATTAAAATAATGTGATAAAAAGTTAGAAGTTTATGTGTGTATTAAAGTTTGATGTGACGAAAAAATTAGAATTTAAACAGAGCCTAAATGGATGGGGAGATTTTGGATGCACGCACGGCTTTGTTTTGTTATCAACTCTCTTGATGTTGCAACAAAAAAAAACTGTCTACGATTTTTGGGTGTGTGATCTACTGCAGTACACTATAGGTTCACCAAGAGGCTGTCATGTGAGTTTTTCTTAAAAATAATCCATTGTTCTCATGTCAAAATTGATCAATATTTAAGCATGGTCTCAAAATAGCATATATGTGTTTTTACGGATCAGATCCTCTATAGTAATGCATAGGGGCACTGTTTATGTGAGGAGTACAGTAATGCAATGCAGTGAACAATGTCGATTCATTGTAGCAACAATAACGAAACACATTGTATAGCACTATTGAGTATTGCGGTAGATTTACTGTAGCACGCACGATTTGGACGGTCTCCATTCCCCCTAATACCGGATATTGTAAATCCTCTCCATTACAACATGTAATGCAGAGGATCTTGATTCGTATTTCTACGTTAACGTTTCTCTACATCTTTACAAAATATCTCAATAACCACTCCTTTATAAAATGTAGTACTTATCTTATTACGAGAACAACGAGTTACTACTTCTCCATCAGAATGTGAAGGAAAGGAACTATGGCTGTGTTTAGTTCCTTCCAAAGTTATAAATTTGGGTTGAAATTGGTATGATGTGACTGAAAAGTTGCGTGTGTACGACAAGTTGATGTGATGGAAAAAGTTGGAAGTTTGGATCTACACAGCATATGTGTTGGTACGGTACATCTTCCGTGGTGGAAATTCAGACAACTTTTATGTGTTGGTACGGTATGGTTACAAACTTAAAAACACGTTACGTCCTCTAGTATTTATTGTGTGAGAAAAAATATACGAAGTTAACAAAACAAAAGCAAATTAATCACATAAAAGAACATCAATTAACTTAGGGGACAAGGTCCAATCTCAGATGACGCCTCCTATATCTCTAGAAAGCGCAACAGCACGTCACATGACATATCGCCGTCACCGGCTCACCGCCGCAGGTCCCCCTCCAAAACGGAGGGCAATAACGGAACAGCCCTCACACCCCGCACGTCGCCGTTGAAGATTGAAGAACCCATCATCAAATGATCAACAAAATCCCAAATCCAACTGCTTCGCTAACCTCTCCAGATGACCACAGATCCGAACACACACCACACGTTCGACACCACGACACACCTCCACGTGGCGGCATCCCGCACGAGCGCCGCGCTGTCCGGTGTCCGGACTCCGGACGCGAGCACCGGCCGAGAGCCGCGCGGGAAAAAGGCATCCGAGGTCAGGAGCACGAGGGTACGGGGAGACCCCCCGCCACGTCGGACCGGACGGGCCCAGGGCCCCACCCGTCAGAGAGGACGACGTGGCTGCACGCGGTGGTGGGCCCCACCTGCCGCCCGCGTCAGCATCTCGTCCTTCTCCATCCATCGCGGCCGCGGGGAGCAGTAAAAAAAAAAATGGGTCTCGCCGGGAGGAAGACGACGACGAGGCCGTGCGCCCGTGTCGACGCAACGCACGCAGCGCTATGACTTTTTCTCTTTTTTTTTTTGACAGCAGCGCCTGTGATTCTTCTGCGAGCGTAACAGTGGAGGGTGAATTCAAAATTTAAACCTTGCCGCAAAGGTAAAAAACGCAAACCGGCAAAACCCCATTGTGATCTGTGAATTCTTCAACTTTTTTTCTCTGTGTTCGGAGCTCTCCTCTTCAGATTCTTTCCCTGGTTCATGTGGATGGATCCGATTCATCACCCATCAAGCGTGGAGACAGCTCGTTCGTAAACAATAACGCCGTGTCTGTGATAAGGATCTAGCAGGAGAGAATACTATGCCGCAGCAGTAGTAGCAGCATCCGAGCTTTCTCATCAAGGGGGAAGAAAGAATACGATGTAGCACTAGCAGCAGCGTGCAGCATGCTTGACCCGACACACACATGAAGATGAGCATTTTTAACTGCAGATCCTCTCGTGCTCGTGCTGCGTGGAGTATGCATGTGGCGTAGTCGAATGCTCTACGGGGGTCTAGGCTAGTAGTAGAATAATTCTCTTTGTATCAAAATAAACCAATATCGTATCGGATATGATACATCGTTCAAATTCATCGTATAAAAATATGTTACATCTAATATTATATTGGTTTATTTTGAAACGGAGAGATTAGTATAGAGCCTGTTCACTTTGATGTAAAAAAAAACCTTTTTTGGTAAAGTTGTCAAAATTTCAGTAGGATTTCTTATATAGTTACCAAAATTTAATAGCAAACTAAATGTAGCTATTTTTTTTATAACTTAACTAAAATTTGGTTAGATTGAAAATGTGAACATGCCCATAGATTTGCCTCGCTGGTCGGCTCGGTGCCGACTTCTGAGCTCCGACGAAGATCAGGTAGGTGTAGTTCAGGTCAGGTCGCATGATTAGTCTTGGAGCGGCGTTTTGCTCCGTAATTATGGCTGCAGATCGATCGGTCAAGGCGTACCGCGTACAGTATGTACTACTCGTATAGTCTACTGTAGAAGTAACATGCTGGTGGTTGGCGATGCCTTGTTAATCTTGGGGGCACGGTGGTTAGATCATGATTCGGAAATGGTAGTTGGGCTTGCAGAGGAGACAAAGCAATTACATGTGTAAAGGGGAGCGATTTTTTCTTGCAGGTACAGGAATGCCTTTTCAACTGGTGTAGTACGCATTAGTAGCTCGGTTGTTGCGTATTCTTTGGATTCCCCCTATTTATGTTCTGTATTGTGTTGCTCTCGACGCTGCTTGTTCTTTGGGCTTAGGATTCCCCTTAAGTATTTTATGTTTATCCTGTATTATTATTGCGGAGAAGCAAAGCTTGAAACTTCCTGGAAGGAGTACAAAAATCTAGAATTCGGCCTGCCTTGATGTGGCTGAGAACGTTGGCCCAACTTAGCCCAAACAAATTTAACTGGCTTTGGCCCATACAGGATTCAAGGTTTTTGGGTCCCACGGAAAACGAACTGAATGTATCTCTATCTCTGTCAAAGTTAAAAATATTTCTACCACAATTTTAGTACGTCATCCGTATTTGAGTTAGTTATAAATCCATACTTAATTTGAATGTCTAAAATAACTAGTATATACTTTTAGGGACCACCTATTATGCAGTTAATTGAAAAAAACGAAATCATCAGTTGATTTTGGTATAGCGTTCAAATCCAACGGTTGTTGAGTAAAACAACCCAACTCAACTAGCTCAACCTTTCTCTCTCCCACCCTAACTCGACCGACCCATACCATCCCATGCGTCTCCAATCGACGCCACGTGCACCTTCTCCGACCGGCGGTCTTTTTCTCTCGCTAATCCTGACCCTCTCCCTCTACTTCCAATCTCATCTCTTTTCTTTTTTTTTCTCTTCGAAATTCCTCTTCTCATAAATATTTTCCTTTTGAATTTATCATTGTTTAAAATGTGAAATGTAGTAAGTTTGTTACATTGCAAATACCTTTCCATCTAGAGTAAAAGAATGTTTACTAATGAATAAACAAAATTTCAACATTTGATTGACGAGGTATAGTAAAATGCGTCAACTTATGTAATAGACACTTGATTGATTTGTGAGATTATAGAAAAGTGTACATAAGGGATTGTTCGTTCCATGATGCATGAAGCACGTGTAACCCGCAATGCTATACATGGTTTCTAACTTTATTTGCTGTTGTTTTATTTGTCTATTTTCGATTTTTATCAATCGTATAAGTTATCTCACTGGTTAAAACGCATACATTTTTGCTGGTTCGATAAAAACTGCGAAAAAAAGAGCAGTGGCGATCGAGACTCTTCGAATTCGTTCGATTCCCTCCACGAAATTTGCCCAAAAAACAGTTCTCCCGCCAAAGCGTGAATCCCCCGGCCAAATTTTCCCCACCGGATCTTCATCCTGCGACCGCGGCTCAATCCCAATCCCATGCCGATCCCCTCCTGCTTCCTCTCTCAAATCTCCCTGCCGCAACCCTAGCCTCGCCGCCGCCGCCGCCGCCTCCGGCTCGCCGGCTCCCCCCTCCCCCGCGGATCCAAGCTATCCACCAAATCCCTCCCTCGCCGTCGCCGGCGGATGGACTTCACTGCCCCTTCCTTCTCCCTCGGCTCCGAGTTCGACGAGCCAGAGGAGGCGGTAGGGTATACGGCGCCCGATGCCCCGTCCTTCTCTCTCGGAATCGATTTCGAGGGCGACGGCGACGAGTCCCACCTCACCGATGCCGGCAATGGAGGGGAGGAGCAGAAGCGTTATGAGGCTCCCGATGCGCCATCCTTCTCTGTCGGCATCGATTCCGGCAGCGACGGCGGTGAGGAGCGCCGCCGGGAGGAGCAACGGCGAAGTTACGAGGCTCCCGACGCGCCCTCCTTCTCCCTCGGTATCGACTCCGATGGCGACGGCGGCGACGAGCCCCACCTCACCAACGGAGGCCACCGGGAGGAGCAGCAGCGGCGTTACGAGGCGCCCGACGCGCCCTCTTTCTCCCTCGGCATCGACTTCGGCGACGGCGACGACGAACCCCGCCTCCCCAACGCAAGCCGCCAAGCTCCGCGCTACGAGGCGCCCGATGCACCCTCCTTCTCCCTCGGGTTCGATGACGACGAAGACGATGTTCTCATCGGCGGCAGCCGTCACGAGCTCGGGACTGTCGAGGAGGAGGACGACGACTTCGTCCTCGCCGACGGCCAACAGCAACAGCAACGGCGGCACGAAACTGTTGTCCCCGACCCGGCGCCGCCGCCGCCAGAGATGAATCGATTCAAGCGGCTGCGGAGAGGCCCCGCGCCGCCATCTCAAGCGCCAACACCACCTCCTCATAGGACACCAGCGCCGGCTACGATGGAGGCTTCTCCGGTGGTGAGCTCGAAGGCCGTCTTGGGGGATATTGGGAGCTTTGAGGATGAGATCGAGGATTTCACCGACGAGGAGAGATTCATGCGAGGTGAGGGAACCACTGACCCTACTTTCTTGAATTTTTGTGCTTACTTATCTTTCTAGGCATTTCCGTTTCTTATTCTGAATCTAGTAATACACACGTACACACTCCTGGTCAATGAATTTGTAATTTGGCTTCTTCAAAAAGCTGAAGGTTAGCCAAATTACTGGAACCAGCACAGCACACACTAGACATCCACCAAAACTTGCAGTCTGAAAAATAGAGAGAGTGATTTCTAGCGATTTGGAGTCACATGCCTGTTCATGTAACATAAGAGTAATCCAGTAGTCAACCATAAAACCACACACTCAGTAGATCTCCAAAATAACACTGGTCAGATTACACTGAAGACTGAACAACCCGTAGTACTTCCTCAATCTTCAGAACTAACTTCAGACAAGAAATTAGCTGGGATATCCTCAACCAGGCTTGCTGCCATTTCACACCAATTATGCCTTCAGATTTGTTGTATTTGTTGCTTGATTGCTTGAAATCCTATTAATATATTTTTCTGGTATCGCCCCTTGACTAGACATTCCAACATGTGCTGTGTACATCTGCTGGATGAGGAACTTATGCCCCTTCCAATACCATCCTGTTTGTTGTCAGCCAAAGAGCCCAACAAAGAGCTAGCAGCCCGTATAACATAATAGTTTTTTTGGCTAACTTTTTAGCTTCCCATGTCTCATCTGTTCTTTGGAAAATTCAGAAATAGAGTTAGGAACACTGCAAATTTGCCATAGAGCGCTGAAACAAAGAAAATGTGGCCAGCAGCACCCAATTATCCACACAATTTCTATTGTGATTATTCATTCATCATGTATGTGGTATATTTGTCTGCAGCTGGCTAATCTCTATATTTTACGGAACTTTCTTCATTTCCTTGTGTGGATTGTGGAACATGTAACAACTTCTCTGCTTGCAGACGTACCGCCGTCTGTTGGTAGCTGCATCACTTCTAGCAGCTCAAGGTTCTCTCATGCCAGCAATTCAAAGTTCTCGCTGATGAACCATGGTGTCCTGATGAGCCAATCAACAAGTAAATCAAAGAAATTTGCACAAACACCTAATTATTCTGCTTCAAAATCTATGGAAGAAAGCAGCACCAAGAAACTGCTCCCTAAGACAGCATTGAGCCCAATGAGGAAAATTCATTTGCTTGATTCAGATAGTGACTCGGATGATAACAAGGAAATGCCTGGTTTGCAGCAAAACTGCAAATCCAAAGTGAGCACTGTTCAACATAAGGGCAAGGCTGAGATGAATGACAGTTGGGCGACACCTGCTCTTGATGAGTTCTGCAATGAGTATTTCAAATCCGTGGAAGACTCGAGACCATCTCAGCAGAAAGAAGGCAACAGTTTTTGTGGCCCCAAAGTCATACGTTCTAACTACTCTGTTAGTGAAACTGGAGGACATTTTCCACATCAATCCACTCCAAGTGGGGCTGTACTAGAGGACAATCAGACAGATAGTCATCCTCCTGCAATGCATTATTTTTTCCACCATGACCAGTTGGTTCGTGACCTGGTCCGTCAAAGACTCAAGCATTTTGTTCCTGTTGGAGTAGACAGCAGAGGAAATGAGCAAGATGGAACACAAAATCTCCAGTACAGGTAATTGCGGTTCACACATCAACAAATTCACAATCATATCCTGCAGTCCTCTGTGCAATGTCTTCGCTGATCTTGGTTACTCTGTTTCATCATCCTTCTACAGGAGTCAGACCGGCCGGTGTGCTGCTGAAAATGATCGGTGGGTGACTCCGAACAAGAGGATGCCTGTTGCAACTCAAGTTGGCAGAAGAAGAGTAAATCCTGCTGGAATGTCTGGCTCTGGCCATTGGTTGACTGGAGACGATGGGAAGAAGGTAAACCTGCATGTTTGTTTTCAACACTCTAGTTGATTTCTTGATGGAAAAAAGGCTCTGTCGCATATGCACTGTTTTTCATTATGGAGGCCGACCTGTTTCCCCCTGTATTTTGGTTACGTATTCATCGTTGTGCTCCATTGGATTTGGGCTGCAGGTCTATATCTCCAAAGATGGCCAGGAGTTAACTGGAAGGGTTGCTTACCGACAATACCAAAGGGTGATATGCTCATTCCTTTATGATTAATTTCAAAGCATTATCCTTGTTTGCACCACACTAGTTTCATACACAATATTAGCATATTTTGATTTATTTTCAATTTAAGCATATAGTGGTTACATATGCCTAGAGTTGCACAAATATATTTAGTTTGGAATTCATAGTGAACCTGGCATGAGGATGTTATTTTTACTGCATGGTGGCATGCCATCTAATTTAACAAATCTGTGCGGAACAGGAAAGTGGCAAGGGATTTCGCCAGTCGAAGAAGAAAAGTTCGGCTGGAACTAGAGCAAAGAAAGCCACTACTAAGGTGAAACAAGAGAAAACTAGAGCAAAAAGAAAGCGCTGAATTCAAGACGTGCTGGCCTCGTATTCACAGACGAGGTGGTGCCAATGTAATTAGTCAATGAGAAATCATAGTCATTATTTGTTCAATCCATTTCATAAGGAGTTGTTAAAAACATAGAGCAGAGTAGAATGACATGGTTTATGTCGGAGAATATAATCACATAACAAAGCTTCAACTGTTCTTCTTTGATAAGGTAATTTGGGTGACTAGTTATTTGTTAACTTGATCAGGCTTTGCTACTATTTTACACGTCGTGCTCGTGGTTCTCTCATAGCACTAATGCAGGAACACAAGGCCTTGGGGCTTTGAAGCTGTTCACTGCTGGGTGAACCTTGATTGGCAAACGAGGTCTCCATGGAGTCATGGAGAGAAGAAAACGGTCAGACAATAGCGGCTGCGCAGCCTGGGCATTCGTGACCGTGGCTGATAGCTGCGGCGCACTGGTGTTGGCCTCCCTGTTTCGCGCTTAAGGTGTTGTTTCTTCACTAGATGAGCTGAATTCGCTAGGATACGTAGCAGCCAAACTAGTAGGCCTAAATGGGCCTTAACATTTATTTCACAAGAAAAGCTTCAACTGCAGCTCTCCTTGGATAAGGTGATTTGGGTGACGATTGACTTGTACTCCCTCTTCCCTCTGTCCAAAAAAAAAAAAAATAAACCCAACTATAAAAAATTTTTATATAAGACGGACAGTTAAAGTTGGACATAGAAACTTAGAGTTTATCTTTTTTTTTTTTGGACGGAGAAAGTACGTCGTACGCGTGGTTCTCTCCTGTTGCCACACTCAATTGTTTACTTACCCTTGATTAGTTGTTTGTCGTGTCGTGTCGTGCCCGTGGTTCTCTCCTGTTGCTGCACTCCATGTCTATTGTTTTTACCCTCGGTCAATTGTTTGGGAACCCACGGTATCGAGCTGTTCGCCAGCCGAATCGTAAGTTAGTACAGAGCTAATGCAGACAGCAAACATGGTTGCGGAACATGGCCATCAGCAGTTCAGCACTCCCCAACGTTCTCACGCGTTCTCCAACCCTTCTGCCAGAGCAATTCTCACGCGTGCACGCGTCAGGCCTTCGATTTGTTTATGTTGTGCACTTGTGCTTGTGCGTGCGGTGTGCCGGAGTTTCGCCGGCCACTCTTTCCACTCCATAACCATAATCTCTCCGTTTTGACAGTCCACCCGCGGAAGGGAAATGCCTGGAGGCGCGGCTCGTGTGCTGGCCTGCCCAGTGGCCGAGTGCTTCCACGCCGTGCGCTTGCTTCCAGTGGCCGAGTGGCCTTTGCCTTTGCTATGATCAAGATGAGCGCAATGACGGGACGTGCAGCTGCATCGTTCCCGCGCCGCGCGTCCAACGGCTAACGCCTCCAACCGCCAACGAAATCCAGAGTCCTAACTAATCTCGCGCAGGGTTCGGTTACCTTACCTGCACTGAGCTGCCGACCGATTATTGGTAGACCGGCCGGAACAATTCAAGTCCATATTTAAATTTTAAATTGCATGATCTACAGATTCCGTGCAACATATATGTTGAGGTGGATCTATAGAAAAAAATGTTATGCATTACATCATCTCTACTCTCTAGTAGTATCCTCTACTTTAGAGTCCCTAAGAGCACCCGCAATGGTAAAGTAAGGTGCTCTCTATAAAACATGTACATCTCAGCAATAGACTAGATAATAGTAAACTACTTCAATAGTATGTCTACATGGGTATCTATAGCTCTCTAATGCATTGCCTCGTTTTTCTCTATAGACTATCTCCAGGTTAGTAGATAGCTGTGCTCTCTCTCTTCATTTAATCTCTTCCAAGTAGGAAAATATGCTGACATGGATCTCTTGTAGAGAGCCTATATATAACCATTGTGGGTGCCTTAACAATCAAATGGGGGTTGCCTCCAATTCTTTAAAACCTTAAATATGCCATCAACTTTAGTAGTAGCCCTCATATTTTAGCTCCTATTTCTTTTCCTCTTTTATTTTAGCATATAATTTATGTTTATATATAGTTTAACACCAAAAGTTTGAATTTTAAGTTTTGAAGTCAGGAAGGCGGATTATTTTTTAACCTGGGTTTATCGGCAGTGATCGGCTCGTTATCCGTGGAAACCAGTTTTTCAATTCAAAATGTTATTATATTCAAACTTTTGTCCACAACAACTGGCCAATTACCGGTATTTTTTTTCACGGAACTTCACCGTAGCATGGCACCACGGGTCCACGACCGTACATGGCCCGAGTCGCGACTCGCGAGCCCCGGCCCCCGCACATGGCACACCACCCTGCGCGCGCGTCATCTTTCGACGGTGTCGGTAACCAGTGACCACGCGCGAGCCAACATCCGCCGCCCACCCGCTCGTCTGATCGGCCGGTGTCCCGTATGACGCGCCGATGCTTGCGTGCACCGTGCACTGTGCGGGCGGGTGCATGTCCATATCGATATCGAGCATCACCAACAATCTACTTATCTTATTCCAAAACTAATTTTTCGAGATTTTAGTTAAAAAAACAGTTCCAATATATACCTACTCTCCTACCCGAATTTTGAGTTCCCTTCTCTCGATTCCTCACTCTATTTATATGCGGGTGTGAAACTCACTCCCAATCTTGCACTCCGCCTCTCTCTCTCCAGTTACCGCGTGGGAGATAGCGATCCTTACATGTGTGAAAGAAAAAAATGGAATATTCTATTAGTAGTTTGACAGAAGGGCCCATTTTTAAGTTTTAGACGGTTGAATTTAGGCGGTTGGAGGGATGAGTCTTTCACTTTTTATTTTCAGTTTAGAAAACCAAAAATACTTTTTTTTTTGGAATGTGATGCTCACCAAAGCTGGATTGAAACGGCTCTCCATCAATGGCCTGAGCGCTAAATTTTGCGAGGAAGTTTTGGCGGATGGGAACCGGTCGATAAAACAGAGACGATCATGCTACCCGATACAACGCTGCCACATGTTAGAGCAGGAGTTTGTCAGTTTTTGGCTAAACGGGCAGGATTACCGGTTTCAACCGATGTATTTGGTGTAAAGAGAACTTTTACGGTACAATCTCTTAGTATATACTAGTAGTATATAGAAGACATGTTATCTATGATCGGGATCAGACATGCTGTGAAAGTTAAGCTATCGGAAATAGAAAAAGTCTATACGTACTAAATTTTTCTTACAAAATGTTTACAAACTCTGATATGTCAAACTGTGAGTAAATCTAGATTTCTTACAACTTTCATCTAGTTAAATCAAACGGTTGAGAAATTTGTTAGTAAAAGTTTTGTAAGAAAATTTTAGTACGTGTAGCAGTACTCTCGGAAATAAGCAAGTAACTAATCAGGATTTGATCCCAAGGATCGTATCTACAGATTACAGAATCTGTACGAATTACGTATAACTGTTAATACGAAACCCTTAACAGCATCATCTTCCAAATGCTACAGTAGTAGTACTACATTATATGTTCACTCGCCATTATTGCGTTGGACCTTGCTTGATCGCGCGTTCGGGACCTTGATTAATTTGTTCTGGTGTACCCGAGTTCAGTCGGTACTCGGCAGTGACGTGGTTGCAGCAACGTGAGAAATCCAAACTGCCTCCTCTCCAGCGGCCGCTCGCCCGTCCATCTGCTTTGCCCATCCCACCCCGAGGGACCGAGAGCGTGACAAGCAGGGCAACCTGCTCTCCCAGCCGCCACCACCATCAAAGTGGCCGGGGCCCGAGCCGCGCACGGCGCAGCGCACGGTTCGCCCCTCGTCCGCGGGACGCTGACCGCGCGCGCGACATCTACCGATCCGCGCGGGCGTCACGGTGCGTGCTGCCCAACCGATCGTGCATTCGCGCTCCTCCCCGCTGTGCGCTAGCTTCCTCTGGCCACAGGCCGCGCGCCCGTCCCCCGGCCGTTTCTGCCACACCCCATCCCAATTCCCACCCCGCTTCCCCTCGTGCAGTCGCGTGGCCAGTGCCCGGTGAAAACGTTGCATACGCGACGCGACGCTGCTACTTCCACCGTGCCTCCCGCGGGAGGCCCCTCGCTCGCTCGTCTGATCCGCCAGCTTCGTCTCCCGGCGTTGTGCGGTGCCACCCTCTCATGCGTGCGATTCCATCGATCGATCGGTGCGCCACTGCGTGCCGGCCAGTGGCCGAACGAGAAAGTGAGCAACCAGCCGACCGGGCGCGCTCGTTTTTTTGCACAAGGCCGCCGCCCGTACGTACGTCTACACCGCTCTAACCAAGTTGGATCGGAATGGCTCCTTCAGTGGCCCTCTGCCCCTCTCGCTCTAAATTTCGCGAGGGGGTTTCGATGGAAAGGGACCCGGGTCGGCCGAGCAAACCGAGACACGACGTGTTACCTGACGCGACGGTGCCACAAGTTTAAAGTTAGCTAGACCAGGTGTTTGTAGCTAAACGGGCACTGCTTAGATACACGTGATCCGGATCGAGGCAGCCCATCAGGGGGCTCCAAATGGCGTCCATAGAAGGGGCAGATGGACCATCGACAGGTTTCCATCGTTTTCGAATCCAAATGCTACTGAAGAACTTGTTCCCCTTCACCACAATTGCGGTGGACCTGACCTGTTATTAGCTTGCGGAGTTGTGGTATCAGTCTCTCTTCGAACTTTCCAGATTTTCTTCCTCTCGGCAGGTGATGTACGTGTGTCAGTGTGTGGTCCTGACGGGCTGAATTAATCCCCTAACAACGGCATGCATGCATGGATTGATGGATACGCCATTAAACACTGAACATCCGATACTTTGTTTTCGCATATTTATTATCTGACAGTGTCGGCGCTCCGGGTTATACAAGTTTACCATGTCGGAGAATTTAAGGGGAGAGCGGTTCCATTCTTCTCTCTCATTCTCTCTTCCTCAATACTAAGGTGTGCTTGGTTTGTTACTATGCCAAAATATTGGTAACCAAAATCTAGGCAAGTTTTTGTAGTGTCAATATTTTGGTAACTTTTTGTGTGCTATTGGTAGCAAACCAAACACTATTAAAATACTAATCAAAGTGCTAAACAATTTGGTAGGGCACATTTTGGCTTCAAACCAAAATGACCCTAAAAATATGGACAGAGTGAAGTCCGGTGTCGGTTGTTAGGGTTGAGTTTTGGACAATCTCACTGTAGTTTTTTTGTTGGCCAAGCGACGATTGGTCACGTTTAGCAATGATCGGTCCAGTGTTAGCTTTCTCACGAGTTTAAGTGTTAACGATGTTGGCGCGTGGGGTGGTTATTATTTTTTTTTTCTGGTTACGATCTTTCAGGACTGTAGTCTTGTAAATTTTTTTATTCCCTATTAACTTCGTATTTCGTATTGTCTTGTGCGAGTGGGTGAAAAAAAGGTTGTTTCATTCTAGACAGGCCTTAAACACCTTAGTTGGAATTCTACGATATTACGGCGCCAGCTTCAGAAAAAACTGTAGTATACTGCAGTCCTACACAGATGCACAACAAATAATTTTCCATGTTTATGGCATGTGACTAGTCAAAGTCCTAACATACTAGCAGCCACCTAGCAAAGCAAAACATTTCTAGTATGATCTCCCTATAGTCAAACAAAGCCCTTGGAGCCACTGACAGTGGGCTCCACTTCACAAATACAAACTCCCTGGATTAAATAAGCACCACCTTAAATACGTGTCCATCAACAATCAAAACCAACCAACACGCTGTTCAACTCCAGAACCTCACTAAGTTTCTGGCAAGGTCTAATCTTAAAATAAATTTTCTTAATGGGTCAATTTATCAAAATTGCTGCCAGAACCTTCTCTATTAGCTCTCCACAACCACACAAAGCTTCGCGCCACGACGCTCTCTCGCCTCTCTGCTGCTTTAGCGTTCGCGCGCGCGCGCTGCGGCTGGCTGGCTGGACCAAGCTAATAGCTATGGACACCGTCGTGGCGGCCGCGACGACGGGATCGAGACGGTGGCTGCCGTGGGCGCGGCGGCAGGCGGCGGCGTACCTGGCGGCGGCCGGGGGAGGCGACGACGGGTGGGCGGCGTGCGCGGCGTCGGCGGTGCGGATCGTGGTGTGCTTCGTGTCCATGATGGCGACGACGGCGGCGTGGGCGGTGGTGATGCTGCTGCTGCTGCCGTGGCCCTGCGCGCGCATCCGGCAGGGCAACCTCTACGGCCACGTCACCGGCCGCATGCTGGTAACCAACGCTGCGAGAAGCCAACCGATGTTTCTTGGACTATACGAATTCAGCGAAGCTGAATAAACTTTTTTTTTTTGCTTGCAGATGTGGATTCTGGGGAATCCGATCAAGCTGGAAGGGATGGAGAACCTGAACACGAGGGGAATCTTCATCTGCAACCACGCTTCGCCGCTCGACATCTTCCTCGTCATGTGGCTGGCTCCGACCGGCACTGTCGGAATCGCCAAAAAGGAGGTAGATAGAACTGTATATACACAGTTGTGCTAGCATGCAAGAGAGTGAGAAAATCATCTGCCTAGATTGTACTAATAACGTGGCTGAAATTGCAATTTATGCAGATCATCTGGTACCCACTGTTCGGGCAGCTCTACGTGCTGGCCAATCACCTCCGCATCCACCGCTCTAACCCTGCCGCTGCAATCGAGTCAATGAAAGAGGTATAATTAAGTTCAGTGATGTTTACACACTCCTGTTCATGTCGATGCATCATTGTGCTTGTGCATTTGTGCTGTTTCGTAGCATGCTCATATTTCTTCTGCCCTGCTGTTCCCAGGTTGCTCGTGCAGTTACCAAGAACAACCTATCACTGATCCTGTTCCCAGAGGACACACGGTCCAAAACCGGAAGGCTACTCCCCTTCAAGAAGGTACTACAATACCAATACAGATTCAGCAACTCCTCATCATCATCGTAATATCAGCTGAAAAACTCACCGATGAATCTCGATGCGTGGCACGCAGGGGTTCGTGCACACGGCCCTGCAGACGAGGCTGCCGATCGTGCCGATGGTGGTGACCGGCACGCACCTGGCGTGGAGGAAGAACAGCCTGCGGGTCAGGCCGGCGCCGCTCACCGTGAAGGTGCTGCCGCCGATCGAGACGGACGGGTGGGTGGAGGAGAGGATCGACGAGTATGTGGAGATGGTGCACTCGCTGTACGCCGACAGCCTCCCGGACTCGCAGAAGCCGCTCGAGCCTGTGAACACCGGGAAGAAGAAGATGAGCTAAGTTCACGGTTAGTTAACGCACACACGGTGACAATGGGTGTAGTTTTGTGCATACGCGCTGTGCTGATTGTTGTATAGATTGGTGTGTGCGTGATATACATGCTTGATTTGGGGATTTGTAGATGCAACAGAAGGTTAAAAAAAGGTTATTGATTTTGTGAGCACATGAAGCATTGAGCTTGTATTTGGGTGCCAATGCTGTCTTCAGCCCTTCTGCGGATCATATTTTCGTTCTTTTCTTTGCTCGCTCTCCAAGCGAAACACTATCTAAAGAAAACAGAGCTAAAGACCGATACAATGTTGTACTCATTTTCTCCGTGCCTGGATTCCCTTTATGTAATTTGATTATCCCAAGCTGCAGCCTTCGTTTCTTGAAATTGTATGGAGATTTTTTTTTAATATTATCAACTAAAATACGATTTAGCACTTAATACACTAAGCATTCCCATTACCAAATGCTCCAAGATCAATAAAGTTTACCCAGTGAAAATGACTAATGCAAGAGATAGTGAGCAATAATAATGGATGTCCTTGTCACAAATTAAGAGATCGATTGCATTGATGAGCTCGGTACAGGTATACTCAGCCGTTTATAGAAGGAAGAAAAAAAAAGGCACAATCAACCTTTACGATCCAATTGAGGACCAGGCGTTCTTTTGATTATATATGTATACACAGGTCAGTTATGCAGCAAATACCAATGTTAGGTTCGTATTGGCAGATGCTTGCTTCAAAACTGAGAGTTGGAAATCTTTCCAGGCATTTATCGACCTGGATTCCCTGAACCTAGCAGCAAAAGAAGAAATGTCGCATTAATTCATAACTGCAAAATAAATATCAACGCATAATAGAAATGATGGATAATAGTGATATATTACCACATCATCATATAGAGTCCTGTAGTGATGACTGATGAAATAAATCATTATCCCAATTTCTGTTTTGAGTTACGCAAACACACCAAGTCCTCCTAGCGTAACCGTTCAGTCAGTTGGTCAGTTGATTGCCATTGGGCTCTGGGAAATTAAAGAACCGTTTCAACTTCAGCAAACTGAAGTTTACGTCTATTTAAGTATGGAATGTCTTTCCCACTGAAATAGGCCAGACTTCTCAACATCACCAAGTGACAACACAGGAAAACCTGAAAGCCCAGCACTGAAGCTGTTAGAAAACATAACCAGGAGGCTTTGGCAGGCCTGCTCTTCTTCTAGGTGCTCTGCCTCATTGCGATGCATAGCAGGATCCTTCCAAGGTTGATAATAATGCCTGGGAGAATAAACATGGTTAGATCCTGCAGTACAAAAATATCTAATCATAAGAGAAGCATAGACAAATGTAAATGATGTGGTTTTACACACTAGAGGCCATACCATCTCCATGCAGGATTAGCTTCAGCCGGACATTGTATCTGTGAGCACAGCATTTCGATTTGTCCATAATCGCCAATGAAGTTTCTGATAACTGCTTTAAGAAGGTTAAAAAAAATACGAGTGCAAAGCATTAGCAAGACGGGCGCATGTTAGACCTAGAATTGATAGATTAAAAATTCAAATCACGGTAAACATACCTTGTTTATTGGATCTGTCAAGAAGCAACAAGCAAAGAGCAGCCACCACAGATGGCAAAAAATCTCGGTTCATTTTCAGATGTTTTTGCAGGTACAGTATAATTATAGCTAGTGCCTCATCTGCACTGTGACTGCCAACAGTTTCAACCTTTTCATCATATGTATAGTTCAAGAAAGATTCAAGAGATCCAAAATTGTTGGCATCCCTTGTAAGGTCTCCACACTTTTCATGAGAGATGCAGGAGATTTTCCCAAGAATTATGGAAGCCACTAACCAGCGCAGCATCTTAGAAAGTAGGCACTCGTTTTTTAGTGGCTCTTCATGTGGCATTTTCAGTACAGATCTTTGTTCATCACACAACCAGAAGATGTTAGAAGTTGCCCATGAAACAACAGTTGCTGTCATCGACTTATCCTGCCATTGTCACAAAAAATATAATTTATAAATCCCATTACACAAAATGCATATGAAGACAAAAAAGAAACATGTTACTGCAAATTATATTAATTATGAGGTCCACATTGTTCATGGCACTGCACATTCTCAGTTATTAACAGTACCACATGGTTAGGCACAAAAATATATACAGTAAAATCTTATAAATTCCACATGAATCAAGAGTATGCAAGAATAGGGACAGATAGAGACAAGGCAAGGCACAAATGAAGTACCATTTCAGACAAAACTGGCAGAGGACCATTCATAAGAATGACATCAATGCCAAGTTGCATTGCAAGCTTAACTTCTATGCTTCTTGAGATGCCACCAATAGTTCGGCACAATTTATGTATGCCATGGAGGGATAAAGAGAAATGTGGTTGGTAAATCTTCCTTTTCATAGACAACCTCATCGTTGATGCAATCACATTTAGCACTGAAGTTAGCAATGGAACATTTCCTTTCAACAATTTCATATCTTCAACAAGGACATAAAGGTATTTAGATATTCTTGAGAGTTGCTCAAGGGCGGTTTCTTGGAGCCATTCTGCAATTAATCTTGATGATGTCAAATCATTCACTACCTGGAGAGAGGACATAAAATCATATGTATAGATTAAAAAGCAGATTCACAATACTATCGTAAAGAAAATGATGTGCAAAACATTGCTAAAAAAACTCTCCAAATCATAAAATAATACTAGACCATTGAACAATGTCGTTCTCATAGAAAAACAAATGTTATAATCTGTGATGGTTAATGGTATGCAGGTGACAAACGGCTAAAATAGTGTGTTTGTATCAATCCTATGGGTTCATTGACTGTTTTCTAAAGATATGATTTAGTGACTCATGTTTCAGTAGTAGTTGCTTGACAGAAACAACTGACTGGCATTATCAGGAGTGTGAGTTGCAACCTACTTAACTTGTCTAAAGAAACAGCATTACTAATGAGTGAGAAACATATATTTAGAACTGCATGCACCAATTAATGTTATAAACTAAACTAGGACAGCTGCAATAATTATATATACTTTTAAAGTATTGACACAAGGAAACAGCAAATATCACTGCAGAGTGAATTTGACTTAAGGAACAAAATCAACATTAATAAATCAGTCAGTTCTAGTAATATCAAGCAACGGCAAGAATCAGTCCCACAAAGTAGTTAGTTGAAATGATCCTCATGGTCACCAGCAGAGATCCCATGAAAGAAATGATGGGCTACAACCTACAATCAAGATTCATGAAAAAATATGACAAATCCTAGAGAAATGGTTCTCCAAGTGTATATATGTGGGTACATGCACTGTCCTGCCCAGTTATAGTGCTTCAATATCTGTGCAAAGGTAACACGATAGAATGAATGGATAGGGAACATGGGTGGTTTGGTTTGAATTTTGAAGATTTTACACCAATCTCAAGGCATATGTTTGACTGCAGTGATACATGCAGAAAATACAATAACCAACTCGTACAGTCAAGAATCTCATCTATAAAAGTGTTATAGAAAGTAATGTAAAACAGTGTTTACCTCCAACGCTGACCCAATTACTGTAGAAGAATAGGAGTTTTTTACACTGTCCAGCCCTTCGACATGAGATGAGATTACAGAGGATAACCACAACAGAAGGCCAGAGTCTTTTGTTAAATGATGAGCCAGAACGGGAAGTTTTACACACTTCTTTAGCACCTAAGTTACAAGGGATATTATAAATAAAAACAAAATATTTGAAAATTCGAAGTAGTTACTGGATTCTTGGAAGGCAAAATAAAGTATACAAAGCCAAAATGGATAAGTGAAGCAAATTACAGTAAAAAATACACATCAAGTGCTGCATAGTCCATGGCTTCCAGTGTGGTGTAGCAGGTAAATTAATGTCAAGCGACATGTCAAACTCAAAGTATCATATATTGCTAATTTGTTATGCTCTTATGTTGTTTTGTGTTTTAGACTGCATGCAGCAAACAAGATACTAAGCATGAAAGGTTTACTAGATATAAATGGCAGCAGGCTAACTACTAATGTGCATAGTAATAGTAATAATAATAACTACTATAGTGCACCATCTTGAAATCGGTTTATAACGAGAAAATTACAGAGTTACCTGGAGGGTTAAAAGCTTTGTTTCAGAATCTGAAACAGCCGAAGAACCATAGGAAAGAGCAAGCTCTAAAACACCTCCTCTTTTGTATATCTTAGCATCATCTGCTAGGTTTGATCCAGCATATAACAACTGAAGCATCCACAAGCGGTCAGATTTGAAATGCACAGCATTACTCCTAAACAATGCTGGAAATAATGGAATGCTCTGCAGTCACAACAAAATAGTATATATAAGTATGACGCTGTGTTCATTATTCAAAGCTAGTTAATAGGTGTAAATAAACATAACGCACCTGAAGGTTGACAGAGGCAGAATGCATCAAAAACTTACTAATTGTAGCAAACTGAGTATGAGAGCTATCAAGTAGTGTCAAAGATGCTTCTGCGGCAAAAATAGCAATAACAGAAGGTATCCTCTGCCATTGTTCAGATATCCCATTCTGTAGATATGTCAAAAGAAGCTGGAGCTGCCATGTTTCCTTGCTTTTCTGAGAAGCCTGTATTATATAGAAGCAGTGATTCTTCAAGAAAATTACAGATTATTGTAATGAAAACATTCTTTATTCATACAAGCTTTACACACTTACACCTAGTGACTACTATAGAAGATAACCACTCTGTACTCAGATCTACTGTAATGAAACCATTCTTTATTCATTCTGCATGGGATATGACTAAAGAGTTAACCCAGATTTCCTTGTTATCCCTTTTCAGGCTTGTTAAGTTATTTGTCAGGCTTATCATATGTATTAGTTGGATCAGTTAAGGAGGGTCCTCAACTCCTCATCTCTTTTGAGTTAAGGAAGAAATGAATTAGCCCCTCAAGTTCCTCTCTCTAGTCTGGTTCCTCTCGACTCTACTCACCACCCTCCAGTTTTTCCTTCAAACCATCATTATCAGTCTATTTCTACAGAATTTTAGTCCCACATCTACCAGAAATCAAACTGCTCCCAGAATGTCAATACAAATTATCTTTTCACAGTGGTTTGAGACAAATAAATATCAAAACCATGAGCCCATGACATTACATATGTGCCTAGAAAGTTAAGAGAACATTCAATGTGTTAGCATTACAAAGACATGTTTAGCTGGCAGTGTAGCAATATAACACAACAACAAGAAATCAAAGTAGGGCTGCCACTGCCAGAGTAGGCAATAACCAGTGGCATTTGAATTCAATAAACCAGTATGACAAAATATCATATCAATATTCAATAAATAGCAGCTGTTCAGTACCTCCAATGATTTTTTGAATGTTCCTAGAGATTCATAACCCAGCTTCCTTAAGTCTTCATCGGGAGATGATATGCTAACTAATGTTATTGCAAGTAGCCCTAGTCGGGAAAATTCAACAGGTTCAATATAGCCCATCAGAAGAGTATGGATTGAGAAGTGCAAGATAAACACAGGATCATAAATCCGAACCGCATCCATGCTTTGAGATGTTGCCTGTCAACCAATACAAGTGTGGTTTAAGAGCACAAGGGAGACAAATATACCAGGAAGATAAAGGAGTGTTATTCTGAAAGAAAAAAAAAATCTAGAACAAAAATGGAGTCAAAACTTCAATTGACACAAATTACCTTGAAAATATCGCCAAAATTATCTTGCTGAAGCTGTTCCAGTGAAAAAATAGAAGCTCTTGAAGATCTCCTATAGCAAAATTGTAAGACAGTCATGACACAGAGCTTAGAATCAATGGGTATGTTCTCGCGGAATAGCGACCTTCGCCTATCACTAATTTCCGCATTTTCCATTTTGTGCGTATCAGATGCTGAAAATTCTAGCTTCAGTTCTTCTCTAAATTTCACAGCTGCCTTTCCCCAAAGATGATCCACATCAGTAATGGCTTTGCACTCAGATGACTCTATCTCATTCATAAGGTGAAGTATCTCTAGATCTGTTTCACTAAGAGTTGCACCATAAACAGATAAAAGCAAGAAACCAAGCTCCCTTGATTCATCCAATAGGCTACTGTTATGTTGCCTACTCTTAATATCATACAGTACCCTGAGTAACCTGATGATTTCTACTTTCTTCCTTTCTGGAATGCAGTCTTGGAACTTGTTTTCTTTTGCAAAAGCAGAATCAACTGATTTTAAAATACTTGGTGCTGGCTGAAGCAGGCCCCCAGTGGGATTACAAGCAGATGGGCACTCGGAAACTCCACTGCAGGTTATTGTCGACACAAAATGGGAGTGACCCAGTATGAGTTCAAGAATTTCATCAGCAGGAAACTTCCCTTCAGATAATACAACAATTATGCATCGGATTGCTTTTATTACAACAGGATCACTGAATCTATGTAAGAGGGATGATCTGATCAATTGGTTGAGGAAAGGTATTGGCTTCAACTGGTTCAGATGTGACTGAACCTCCGAAGACAACTCAACAATGTTCTTGAGGATTGCATACTCCAAACAACTGACGACATTTTGTTCCTCAGGAGAGGAAAGTAAGATGCCATCACTATGAGGGAAATTCCTGAATATTTTATCCAACGTTCTGACCAATATGCTTATAAAACTCAGCTTTGCATTGTTGACTCGCTTGGACTCCTTCTCTGGGGCTATTTCATTGTTCAACGATCCTCTAGGAGGAGATAACAACATCCTAATCAGTGATATCTTTGCAAATAACTCATTAGTAAGCTTCATAATACCGTTGCATGAAACAGGAGTAACAAAACTGATGTCAGAATCTAAGAGCTCAGATGATTGTGGGCAAATTGAAGCAATTATCTTTAATCGTTGCTTCCGAGGTATCTCTTTCGAATAGAAATAATAGCATAGCATAGTTATTGACTTCCCCAAGAGAGTGTCACCGAAATAATTCATTATATCTTCAACTGATGTGTGTCTAAAGTCACTAAAATCTTCCTCAAAAATACTTCTAGTAACAAAACTTTTCCAACATGGAAAGCCATTATCACTCAAAAGAATTTCACGATAGAAGACTGGAACTGGCTCAAGGAAGTCAACACACTGTCTATTGCCACCACTATGATGCTCTATGTATGATAAGGCAGCAGGCAACAAAAGTATAAAACTATCCTCATGAGTCCATGAAGCATTAGAATCGGAACCCACGACTTGCATAACAGAAGTGTCTTTTTTCAGAATATCCGTGAGCAATTTTCCAAAAAGGCGCATGTGCATAGGATTTGCTCCCAAAAGCAACTGTATAGCTTTAGCTTTAACCTTAGATGTGGGAAACATGCAGTGATGAAGAATGTCAATGGGAGTGTTGGCCACCATTGTCGATAACATCATGTGTAATGCAATATAATCAGTGTTCCTAACTGCAGATATTTCTGTATGGTGGATACGAATTAACATCTTCAGCAAGCAAAGATCAGCAAATTCAAGATTCAATTTAGTAGCAAAATGAAGAATGATATTATAAACTTGCTGAATGGTGGCAATATCACAATTATGAATCTCCAAGCCCCATAATCGACAGGGTCCTGATCTCTGATCAATTTGTTGTAAATAGTCATATAGCATTTCGAAGGCAATATCGGCAGTGTATAGACAACAAAATGCAGCGGGAGCATATGCAGGTGAACTGGAACTGAAACCTTCAAACGTTGAGAACATCCAGTTTGCAAGTTCCAGGAGTCTGACAGGAGATACAAATTTTGCCAGTGTACGGAACATGTAAAAATTTGGCAAAAACAGTCCAAAGTTCCTTTTCTCCATGCAGAGTTCAAACTTCTCCTTGAACAACAGTAGTATTCTCTCAAGCAGTAGCTTCGGAGGGCCAAACAGTGACTCAAGGGATTGATCATCATTATTAGAGTAGTTAGCTCCAAAACTACCAGCTAATAATACAAGGCCATATAGATTACTCAGAAGATTTAAAACAAAACTATCAGCAAGGTGTAGCTTTTCCTTAGAAAAACTAGCAAAATCTTCTTTCACATATTCCACACTCCCATCTGCTAAGTCTTGAAAATTGGATAAAGAGCATGACAAAGACAGGCCAATTATAGGATGCTGGACAACAGACTCAACAATGCCATTAAGACATTCAACTGGATAGAATGCCACTGAAGATTTTGAGTTAGCAGTATCAGCAGTCAAAACTCGAATGCGCTCGAAGATGCTGTCAATAAGAGAGAAGCAAACACCACACAACTGTGCAAGAATATCTGAACACTTCACAGTGTATGATGACAGCAAGTGATGGCTCCAAAATAAGACGACTCTCAAGAAAATTGTCAACTCACTTAATGGGCTTTCAGAAATCTTAGCTTGAAGAAGATGTACAAGCTCATCTTGAAGTAATGGATGTGCCTTTGTGATTTCATCTGGTGCTGAAAATGCGAGGCTTAATACTGATGGTAAGAGTGCACAAAATGGAGTCACATTTAGAAAAGTACTTATCACAGCTGATTCTGAACAAGTTGAGTGCTTTCCCCATTTGTCCTCAACAATATTGACACTATCAACATCAAGATTTCCCTTGATCTGCCTGAGACTGCTGAAGAACATGTCTGGGCAATAACTAGCAACCTTAGCTAGATAATCATGTTGCAGAAAAAGAACTGATGACAAGAACGGCAAATTAGAAGGAAAATGTGTCTTCAGAACATGAAGAAGCTTCGGAAAGCTACTGATAACATCATCTGGTGGTGCACATATGACTGAATATAAGAATGATGTTGCTACATCATCTGGTAAATTGGTGGGTTGCTGATTTGACATTTCCTCAATTGTTCTAGTTACAGAACACAAAGAATTTCCATAAACTTCAGACGAATGCTCAAGGGTGCTGAACAAACTAGAACTCTTTTGGTCAGAAATACTCCTCAAGATATGCAACAAATACATCAGTGGCCTCCATTCAGCAAAACAAATCCTAGAATTTATTTCCTCTGATGAAAATTTACCGAGTCTCTCATTTAGGATGGTGCCTACAAGATCAGGCAATAAAAGCACATCTACCTGTTTATGATCATTGGATCAGTGAAAGAAGAGTAGAAGACCATGCAAGACAGGCAAATAGGCGAGAGAGGACATAAATGCAATACCTGTGACTGCATAATAAGGTAGACTGTGTTGCACACATATAATGAAATTGTAGACTTCTCATGTAATTTCACACTTGCAGACTCCGAGTCTAGTAGCCTAAGACATTTCTGGAGAACACAAACAATCAAAGGACTGAAAGATGGAGAATAGCCTACAAATCACAAGAAAAGTTTGAGCATAGGAATAAGTTGGTTCTCATTAGGTAATAATTCAAAAGCGTGGCATACATGGATAAGAACCTGCCAGAAGACTCAGTGTATTAAATTAAAGTAAAATAATAGATGCAACAAAGTACCACATTTATAATAAAGAAGTTATAAGGAGACCAGAAGTTTAGAACAAAGTGTAAAACTCCAAGTCTCCGACTGAACAAAAGGAGTGTGGTTCAATTAGATATCCATGTGCATGGCAACTACATAATACAGACAAACAATAGAAAGATAAATAAACCTGTATTCCAATGAAGTTAACAATATCATGATCATATGAAAGATTGTGGGAGGACTTTAACCCCTCAAATGTTAATCCTTCCATTTCATATTATAAGTCATTTTGACTTTTTTCCTAGTCAAACTTTCTTAAGTTTGACTAAATTTATACAAAAATTTAGCAACATCTAAAACATCGAATTAGTTTCATTAAGTCTAGCATTGAATATATTTAGATCATATGTTTGTTTTGTATTGAAAATGCTACTATATTTTTCTATAAATTTAAGTTTGACTAGGAAGAAAGTCAAAGCGACTTATAATATGAAACGGAGGGAGTACAAACTATGATAGCTCACATTGTATTTTAGGTGATATATGTAGCTCACATTGTATTTCTGTTTGGCACCAACATTTCCAATAGCATTCGTATTAAAGAAAACAGGAATTGTACTCCTTGATTTTCATACAAAGACAACCATACCTTCAAACTGGTTAAATTTAGAGATAAGCTTACGGATATGCTCTTGGTATTTGTACAGATTGTTCCCAACTACTGAAATGGCATCACAAAGGAAAGGGATCACAATGTGTGACAGTCTATTAGATGCTTCAACTCCTAAGCCCTCTCTTTCAAAACCTTTGGCCTTGTAACACGGCAAGAAAGCCAACCATGCATCAATCTCTGCAATGTTCTGATCAAAAGCGCCAGAACTCGCCACAGCAGCTTTAACTAAAATATATGCTTTATCACGGATGCTCTTAACTTGCGAATGCAACATAATGTCAATCAGAGGTTGCAAATACTTGTACATAGATTCTGGAACTTTTTCTGGGCACCAATATCCATCAGATTGACCTGAATACTCAACTAAAAGAGATAAAAGGGACTGCTGTTCATCCATGGACAGATCCAAAGGATTAGGCGGCATAACCTTGAAGAAGTCAAATGATCCATCAAAAGAGCTAGGCATTACCCTCTGAAAAGAAATTGAAGTTAAAAGTTAGAATACCAAAAGAGTAGATTGTGAACGAAACTTAATATATGCATTTGAATATCAAAACATTAAAATCATAAATTGTGAAGGAACATTATCGATTTCCTTTTGCTAGTCACAGAAAACAAAAGGAGACAGAGCAGGAATGGAGGAATTAATTAATTCGAGCAATGAAATAAGCAAATATAGATGAAGTGGAAGGAAATTTAACTGTACCTACCAGATAGAACCTGAGAACATCAAGCAACTTTGAGTGGAAAACATCTCCAACCACTTTTGCATCTTTGATCTTCGGATCTTGCTTATTTAGACCCCATATCTCACACAGAATAGTAGTATGATCATTTGCCAAGTCCATCTCTTGCTCTTCAGGCTCATCCCTAGACAACTCAACATCAATCCCGCCAATAATAATATCAGCATCCTCATCTGTGGCTCCACGTCTCCTTTTCTTTCGAGGAGGCTCAAGCTGTGCATGTTTCTTTTGTTTACTCTGAGAATAATTTTGATGCTTCTGACTAGCAGAAGAGAGTAGCTTGAGAAGAACCTGCGGATCAGGTATAGCTCCACGAACTACATCTTGAATATATTCTCTCAGAGTTATCCACCTATCGACGTGCATTTTGTCTCCATGTAGAACCTCATGTACAATGGATGCATCTGCTGAAGTAGAACAGCTTAATCCTGGAAAACCGTCTATTTTGACTGTCACTTTTGTTGAATTATCGTGTTCTGACTTTACCCTAGCATTTGATACTATGTCATTGATTACTTCAATTACATCGCACAGAAGGTTGACTGATTCAAAAACAAGTCTCAGAGCACCGTGCTTTACAAGATCATCAGAATGCAGAAGCCCCCTGTTTATCACTGCTCGAGTGCACATATTGGGCACAATGCACTTCAACAGTACTTGCACTTGCTCATCATCAACAGATACCAGATCATGTGAAGTGGACAAAAGATTTTGAAAGATGCCATCACAGTTTACTGAAGATATCATGTCCGCTGCTAGGGATATGGCAGAAAACCTGAGAAACAGTAATTAGATAGGAAAGAGTATACTGCACGCCAATAAAAATTACAGAGATGCTCAGCTCAAAGAACTAACCATGAGGAGGATGGGCGTGGTTCAATGCTGTAAGGGAATTCATTCATGTATGCTGAACAAAGAGACAAACTCTTACTCACAATAGCCAGCAACAAATTCTTGTGGTGAACGACCTCAGTAGCTTTCAACTTCTTCATGAGATCCAGCAGACGTTTCTGGTTACCTCTCAGGTTTGAGCTTGGCATCAGTCCATTTTTTGGATCAGTACACACCATGATTAACACCTCATGAGCAATGTCAGCTGCCTCCCCCGCATCCAAATTCCCAGATATCAAGCTCAGTTGTTCCAGTGTGGCACTACCAAAAAGGACACTCCGGAGCCCTGGTGGGACAAGTGACTCATCTACCAAGACATTATTCCGCAACGTTGAGAGGATATAGACAATGGTATCAGTATCATCGTCTCCGATCCCACGAAGAACCCCTGAATAGAGCTCCCTTTGTTGAAGGATCCATCTTAGCATCCTCGGGTTCCCAACCTCCAAGAATGACATGGCAAACCCAACAAACGATCGCCTTGTGGATCCGAAATCAGTTCCCTTCTTCCGATTCCCCCCATCTCTGCCACCTCTCTTCTTCCGCACCCCCGAGAGCTGCGGCAAAACAGCCATCTTGAAATCAAAGCTCTTAGCAATCTCCGACGCCAACCCTCCACCACGCCTAACAATTGCAGCCAGCAAATCAAGCGCAGCATTCTGCCTCCGGAACTCACCACTGTTCAGCTCCAGATACACGTCGCCCATCTTCTCCTTATCCTCCAGTATCATCCTAGCAACTCCATCCAGGCTCTTCTTAACCAAACCATGCCGCCGCAACTTACCGCCAGGGTGTCCTAAGACAGTAGCAAAGAGCGAAAGTATGTAAGCCATCCCTGGCTTCTCCCTATGCAATCGCCATGCCTCAGCCAGCTCCACGAGCCGTGGCGACTGCTGCACATACTCCCGCAGCACCTCACCCTCAGGGTCACCATCCAATAGCTCAATGAACTCCCTCGACGCGTCGGAGTAGATTTTGATCTCGGCGGTGTGGAGGTTTTTAAGGATATGGATTAGCCTGACCTTACAGGTTGCTCCGAATGACTGGTTCCAGGCCTCCATCCCCACCTTAACCAAATTTTGCTCCCGTTTGGGTTCCGCTTCCTCCATCTCATTGTCTTCATTGAGATCAACATCGAACTGCTCGTCGTCGTCATCTAGGATTCATTAAAAAAAACAGTGAGCATGTTAGTGTTCCATCGAGAAATCCGCACCAAATCGAACCGAATTTACACCAAATTTCACCAAAAACCGGGAAGTATTTTGGTAGCTAGAGGTGCTCACCGAGATATAAATCCTCTTGGACGATTTCATGCTCGTCTTCACCTCCAACGTCGGCGGTGGAGTCCATCGGAGTTTGTCTCCCGGCGAGCGATTGCGAGCACAATGCGGAATCGAGCTGGTAGGGTTTAAGCGAATCGAAGGGTAGGGTTTAAGGGAGGGTATAGAGCTGCAACGGGATGAGACCCCCCGCGGCGGAGGAGGAGAGGACCCGGCGAGCCGCCGCTGTCGTCGGAGGAGGCGAGGACGGCCGGTGAAGTGGGTGCTCGTGGAAGAAGGGGAGTCGCGTCCGGTCGCCGGAGCAGCGGGCAGCGGCGCGAGTCGCGCGCGTTCGCCGCCGTGGAGAAGAAGTCGGCGGCCGGGATGGGAGGGGGGAAAGCAGATGAAAGACAGACCAGGGTTTCACTTCCGTTTACATGGGCTTGGGCTCTATCCACGTGGGCTTCTATTTACATGGGCTCAATCTACGTGGGCTTCTATTTTAATGGGCTGAAAGGCTGAGATATGTGAACACCAGACCAGGTTTGGCCCACCATCATGCGTTTCGTGGCTTAGAATAAGTTCACTTATACTCTCTTAACAAGTGGTATGCCTAAAAAACTACCGGATATTTTGAACACTCAACTATTAAAGCCGCTGCAATTTGACTCACTTGACGATTTAGAGGTGTGACACCTACATAGTGTTGACCTAGGGTTCATCCAACGTCAGATATGAATCAGATTAGAAAGCTAGCTAAAGGATTTATAGAGGAGTTATTTCCTCTTGGCTTTGCGTCACGCGTAGCGGCATGCGCGGTAGTTGGATGACTTGGATCGATGCACGGAGCTTTCATTTTTGTTTCGCATACTACTAGCTTGGAATATGGGCGGGTTAAACGACGTAAAGAATTCTCGAATTAATACGTAGTGCGAGAATGCGAATAGTCCATAAATACCCGCACCGGAAGCGTTCGATATGATATGACCCGCCCGCCTGTTCCTTTCCTTTCGATGCCACCCATGGCTAGCAGTTCGACATCGTCGAGATGCCTGACGGCGAGCGTCACCGGGACGCACAACTTGGAGGTGACGAGCTACTCGCTGCTCGAAGGCATGGGGGTCGGCAAGTTCGTGAGCTCGACCACCTTCTCCGTCGCCGGCTACGACTGGAACCTCCGCTTCTACCCCGACGGCATCACGGACAACGACAGAAAGGAAGGCTACGGGGCTGTTTGGATGCTTGCTTCAGTTTACCAAATTTCTATAGCTAAGGTGTGGCATGCCACAATTTATGTGGCTAAGAAATTCTTGGCCACAAGTTAGGCAAATGTTGGCAAATGTATGTGCCTATGATAAGTGGGGTCACAAAATCAAAAAGTGTGGCATGACAAAGATGTGGCAATCAAGCAAACACTAGGCTAAATTGGTCAAAGTAGCTTGCCAAAGTTGTGGCAAAGTATGATCACCATCCAAACAACCCCTATGTATCCGCCTCTCTGCATCTCGTTGGCACCACGACGGGTGCCATGCCAATTAGGGTGAGATTCCGCTTATCCCTACTGAACGGATACGGGTTTGACGCATAACTTCGAGCGAGCCGGCAGCGACTGCAGGATCGCCAGGTTCGTCAAGAAATCTGACCTGCAGGAACATGCAATTCGCCGGATTCGGTTCACTGGCAACGACAGCTTCAAGATCGAGTGTTCGCTGACCGTCATAAGCGAGTCTCGCGCTGAAGACGTGAGCACGATCCCAGTCCCGCCGTCGAACCTGCACCAGCACCTCGCCGGCATGTTGCACGGCGTCGAGATCGCGGATGTGGAGTTCAGCGTCGGCGGCGAGCCGTTCCGCGCCCACGCGTGCGTGCTGGCGGCGCGGTCGCCGGTGTTCAGGGCGGAGCTCCTCGGACCAGCTGCTGCACGGAGCATCAAGATCGACGACGACGACGACATGGAGCCCGCGACATTCAAGGCGCTTCTTCACTTCATCTACACGGATCACCTGCCGAACGACTCCGGATTCGGCAAAGACGCGGCAATGCAGCGGCGTCTGCTGGTGGCTGCCGATCGCTACGGGGTGGACAGGCTGAGGGCGATGTGCGGGGTCAAGCTGTACAAGAGCGTTAGCGTTGGGACGGTCGTGGATTCCCTGGAATTCGCAGAGAAGCACCACTGCGCGCAGCTCAAGGATGCTTGCCTTGGATTCATGGCTTCACCTAACGTTCTTGGTGTCGTCAGGAAAACCGATGGATTCAAGCGTCTCGTGGAGGGCTGCCCTTGGGTCTTGAAGGAGATTTTAGACAAGGTGCCTAGATTCTGAAAAGGTGTGGATTTTTCTTTGGAGAGGATTGGGAGTCCTGGGATGAGTACTTGGCCTTGCTGACATGCTTGATTTCAGTAAGATCAACGACACTGTGCACTGAAGTTTATCTATGTTCGGTTACAATCCATATCCTGCTTATTGATCCAGCTAATAAGCTTATTGACATGTAGGCCCGATGATATGAGATCCACATGTCAGTGAGCAGTTACTGCATATCCCATGTAGTGCCGCATTATTAGTACTATATGGAGCATATTTTTTAGATAATGACTACATGGAGTATAGTTTTTAGATAATGACTATATGGAGTATATGCTAGTATTGTGATAGTATTATTCTGAACTCTGAACTTGTCCAATGCTTCCCATCAAAACTTAACGAGAGTGATCTAAGCGCCTAACTAAGTTTCTATATATTTGTCCGATGAGTATAAGGACTCATTCTAAGAGTATACTCCTTTGTTTTATATTATAAATCATTTAACTTTATTCTTAGTCAAAGTTTTTATTGTTTGATCAAGTTTATAGAAAAAATTAGTACTCCCTCCGTTTCATAATATAAGTCATTTGATTTTTTTCTAGTTAAACTTTGTTAAATTTGATTAAGTTTATATAAAATTTTATACACATCTAAAATATCAAATTAGCTTCATTAAATCTAGCATTGAATATATTTTGATAATGTATTTTTTTGTTTTATTTTTATGTGTACTAGAAAAAATGCCCGTGCGTTGCAATGGGTGAAGTTTATTTTAATCTTATTATTGTTATATGGTTTAGTTAAAATGAAATTCGTTGTGGGAGTTCGCTTGGATATATATTTTTTTTAGAAAATCATGAGCTGCAGTTAGGAGTTCGATCATCTCAAGTTAGCATGGGAGTTTTTTTTTTAAATAGATCTCTTATATGATTCCTTATGTATTACCAAAAATGAACGATCTTAAAACCAACTCAAATACGGATATGTATTTTCAAAAGCAAACGAACTTAAAAATCGACTCATATACGGATGACATAGAGATATAGATTAAAACCAAAACATAAAATTAAAGCTGACTCAAACATGGATGACGAACCACGGAAACATCTTTAATTTTTATAACTGACTCAAACACGGATGACGGACCGCGGAAATGTCTTTAACTTTTTTAATAGATAATAGACTAGAGTAAAACTTGTTCTAAAAAAACTAGAGTACTGAACAGCTTCCATTGATCCTTCTCATGCTCATTTGACCTGCATTATTCATTAGCATCATCTAGTAAATGTTTGCTACACCAAGAGCTCCTCCAAACACTTGGCAACATCACTTGAACCGTTCCTATGAAGAGCTTGAAGAGAACTCATGGGAATACCAAATGTGTCTCGTAGTTTGAAATATCACATGTTAAATGCCTGATGACATCGAGAGTTCCCCCAAACACTTCACAATAGGCATTGAAATAGTGCCACGTGAAGTGTTCGAAGGGAACTCACGGTGATACCAAACTAGGCTCCACCTCTTTGTAGTTTAAAATGTCACGTAATAAGTGCTTGGTGACATCGAGAGTTCCCCCAAACAATTCACATAGTAGGCCTTGAAATAGTACCATGTGAAGTGATTGAAGGGAACCCGCGATAATACCAAACGTGGCTCTCATCTCATTCTTGTGGTTTAAGCACTACATTAAATGTTTGGTGATATCGAGAGTTCCCCCAAACACTTCACACAATAGGCCTTGAAACAGTGCCACGTGAAGTGGTTGAAGGGAACTCTCGATAATACCAAAAGTGGCTCCCATCTCAATCTCGTGGTTTAAACACTATATGTTGAATGTTTGGTGATATCGAGAGTTCCCCCAAACACTTCACATAGTAGGCATTGAGATAGTGCCACGTGAAGTGCTTGAAGGGAACTCACGACAATACCAAACGTGGCTCTCAGTCTTGTGGTTTAAACACTATCTACTAATTGTTTGATGACACCGAGAGTTCCTCCAAACACTTCACAACAACCCTATAAATAATGGTGTCGTATGAAGTGCTTAAAGAGAACTCTTGATAATACCAAACGTTTCTCTCATTTCTTGTAGTTTAAACACTATCTACTTAAATGCTTGGCGACACTAAGAGTTCCCCCAAACACTTCACGACAACTCTCAATACAGTGTGTCGTAAAGTGCTTGAAAGGAACTCCTAGGGACTCCAAACCTAATCATTCTCTGTCACTTACAAATTCATAAAGTACAAGCACTTACATACCTAACTTGAAAATGCTGAGTGTCAACTGGAGTTCCCCCAAGCACTTCACTATACATAGCTAGCTTTTGGCCCCATGATCACAGTTATGTAACAGTGCAATGCAATGAGGCCTAGCCATAGCTATCTACTGAAGTGGATTGAGGAGAACTCCAGTGGACAACCAACCAAATTTTGACTCCCTAGACCTGATTACTTCATTTTTGATGTGGACCACTTCACTTGTTTAATCTGCCTTGCTGATGAGCACAGAGCCGGTGGCTATTTATAAGTGTATGTATGACTAAAGAGTAAGCTAGCTAGCTATCTGTCTCCTGTGGACTGTGGTGTGTGTGTGTGCATATGGTCGTCCTTGCAATGCGGTTGGCATATATTGGATGAACTTGGCAACGGATGCACCTAGCCGTGATGCAGACTAGGTTAGAAGATGGAGTGTAGTGAGGAGAATCCAATGTGATCTTTGGGCTGCACTGATCTCCGAATCGTAGAAAGCATGCATATGTGGAGCAAAAAAGTGCCCAGCCCTGCAAATTCCTTATCACCAGCAGAGCACTGTGTCGTCGCCCGGTTTCTGTCCACGCACATTTCTTTCACCTCAACAAAGATGGAGAGAAATCGTCCTGACCATTGACTTGCTGCAAATGCGTGCAAATTGCAAGCCCCGGGAGGAAACATGTGTATGTAAGATTGGATCACGAGTAATTTGCTTAGTTTGTACTAGGCTTCGTAGCACGTCATTGCGTTCGTCGTTGCGTTGCGTTGTTCCTGGTCTTTTCTGATGTGATCGGTTTGCAATATGCCCATTTACCGGTAGTGCTTACTACTGCAGTAGTGAAGTGCTCCTACTGAATTCTACTACCATCCCAAAATATAACAATTTAGAATTAGATGAAACATATCCTAATCTAATAAATCTGGAGAACAAATTATTATATTTTGGGACCGAGGGAGTACCATTCTCTTAAACTACTTAATGAGTTGAGAATCTAGTGATGATGAAATTACCCTACGAACGTCAGATCATCATGTATGAGAGCACATATTAAAGTATATATTCAGTTGTCTTTTGCATGTCGGCGACCAGTGGGTGTCACAGGTTCCCCAGTGATAGAGGACAGCAATCATACAGATAAACAATGGAAAAACAAGCCACCTAATCTGGCACCTTTTCTTACTGCTACTCCCCGTTTCATAATAAAAGACAACTTTCTAGCATTGTTTATATAAATATTTATATAGATGTTAATATAGACATATATTTGTGAGCAAGTATTAAACTACTTGCATGTCGGCGACCAGTATATATAAATATGAGTAATGTAAGAAAGTTTTATATTATAAAACGGATGAAGTATTAAACTACTCCATCATATATACTCCCTCTGTCCCATAAAATACGAATCTAGAATTGAATATGACATATTTTAATACTATGAATCTGGACATATGTATATCATCCGGTACTAGGTTGATTTTTTATGAGACCGAGGGACTAAGAATCTAGAATTAGATTAAATATTTTTTAGTACTACGAATCTAGACATGGTATCTCATCCGGTTCTAAATTCTTATATTTTGAGACGGAGAAATATAAGATATTTTAGACGGATGTGACACTTCTCAGTGTTACGGATCTGAAAAAGAAGTACTAATAAGTGTCTCATCTATCCAAAATCTCTTATATTTGAAAATGAAGTGAGTATGAAAAAAAGTTGGGACACACACAAACAGTGGGATGGCAGCATTTTCTCAGCCACCTGATAATCGATGAGTCATATTCCCAAACCCCAAAACCATATGCTCAAAAAGGGGAAAGAAAAAAAAGGTGAAGAAGGCGTCCAGGTTCAATGTATGCGATCCTTGGCATTGCAAGGACAATCTTTCAGACCCACCAGCTGACCACTTTCAAAGCATGTCCAAATAGCAGGCTAGGTTCCAGCTTTAGGAGGAGGGGAGAGATATTTGCAGTATAAGTAGCTTTGGAGAAGGAACATTCCTAAAGCCAAGATGCATCAAGAACTGTTCTTCTTCAAGCTGTAGCCTGTAGGAGCGGTTGCGTCAGATGGAGTTCCCCCATTCTTCACTTCTGGTTCTTGTTTGCTTCTTCAGGTAGAGCTGGTTTGGTTTTGGTGATTTTCGTGTTCATGATTCATGGAGAGATGGATTTGTTTCTCAGTATCCTTATGTATGTTGTAGCTGGATCATTTCAAAGCAAATAAATCGACGATGAGTAAAGAGATTATCTGTGTTTCTCGATCTTTCTAGTTACTTGTCTATTTGTGTGTTCGGATGTGATGACCTCAAGAAATGCAAATGAGTCAGTTTCATGCTGCCGTTTAGAGATCGAAAGGTCACAGATCCAACAGGCAAGCAACCCATCAGTGTCAAGATGTTTAGGCCGTGTACCTACACCTCTGTACTACTGGGCATCTCGATTCTGCAACGCAAAATCTCACGAGGTTTCTGATGAACTTTAATAGCCGATATCATGCCGTGGTAACCAGGTTTACAAACTGTACCGTTATCGTGGTTATCACGTGTAATAACCTTCTCAATTTTTAAAATCACGATATGTCTTACGGTAACCGTACGATGACAATAACCACATCAGTTTGGTAAACCCTAGTAGTAACGTACACGAGTCTTTGCAGCCAGGCAGCCAGCTCGAGTTATGAACCATGATGCGTAAATCGTGAACCATCTAGCTGACTGCATAAGTTGGAAATGAGTGATATGTGGGTCAGGATGGTTCACCATTTGGAAATAAGTTATCATCCAAATGGGCATATATAGTACAGTGCCAAGATGAAACATCGAACTTATAGCAAAGGAAAAATTGAAACCATGCCATTATAATTTTGCAAAATTTGAGATATGCCATCCTGACCCACGTATCACTCATGTGGGTCCTATATGTCATTGAGATACCGATGACATATCTCAAACTTTACAAAATTATAATGGCATGGTTCAAAAGGTTTCATTCGACCTCTGATTCACCCCATCCTAGATATGCCATCGGTTGGTCACAGGACATCAAAGGCAGGTGATGGGAATTGAGTTAATTTTCACCCAAATATATAGCAAAAGAAAGGTTTCAGCTGACTTCAGATTCACCCCTCCTAGCTATGCCATCGTCCAACCGGACGAGAAGTCATGTGGCTACATCACTACATGCCCATAGCAGAATCTCCAAGGGACAACGAGGATATATATACATGGTGAGTTCGAGAGTAGATGTGGAGTTCTAGCAGACTTCTATATCAAATCTAAGGCAGATCCCAATGTTGAATAGCTCCTGATATAGCAGCTTTGCGCCGTATGGGCGTATGGCACATAACACATTGATCCTTACTATATCTTTTTTCTGAAGAGCGGCAGAACCCACGTGATTAATACAATTATGATGTAATTATAGTGTACTTTCAAAAATCTCTAGGTGACATGCTAATTATGTGAAAACGAAGGTAATGATATCGAATCCCTTACATGTGCGTGAGTTATCAGTTTATGTGCATCGAGGGGAAGCAACGATAAAGTGCAACCCCCGAATGAGTGAAGATTCTATCATGTACCATCACCTATACCCTCAATATCAAAAATGTACTAGACAATCTATTACTACCTTCGTCCCAAAATATAGCAATCTATTACAAGATGAGATATATATTAGACCAACGATCTGGACAGGCCGAGATCTTTGGATTAAGATATGTCCTATCTATTCCCAAATTACTATATTTTAGAACGGTGGGAGTACTATATATATATGGCTCTCATTTTATTTCTTTTTCTCGTTGCTTTGTTTGGCTGTATACCTCTGTACATATATCTACTCCATTTTTTTTTCTTTTCGAAGGATATAAGCAAGATAAGCAAGAAGTGTCGCACGTCCAGTGATCGTCGCCGGCGAATCGCCATGCTATTGGGCCTGTCGAGACAACTCCAGCACGGCCCAATCGCTGCCCAAATTGGGCCATCTATTCTGTCGCTCGCACGGATACCGCTTTTGTTTTTCTCTGGATTCTGAACTCATATACTTTGGCGCCGGTCACGTATACACAACAACTATATATAATCAAAGAGATGCACACAGATACGTATGTGTTTGGAAACACCCTGATTTGTTGCGAACTTCAGCTTGGAGCATCTTGATCGACAAGACAAACTCTGTATTTACATGTTGTTGTTTTTTGTTGTTGTTCAAGCTTCGTTGTTCTCCTTCGATCTTCGCCATGGGCAACAGCTTGTTCTCCATGGCGAGCAGCACCGCTTCTCCTTCAGATGGTCGATCCCCACGGCTGCCGGAAACACTGTCGAGGTGCGTGACGGCGAGCGTCGCCGCTGCGCACAATTTCGAGGTGACACGGTACTCGCTGCTCGCCGGGGTGGGCGCCGGCGAGTTCGTCACCTCGGGCACCTTCTCCATCGACGGCCACAACTGGAACATCCAGGTCTACCCCGACAGGTGGAAGCAGGAGATGAACGCCGGCTACGTGTCGGTCTTCCTGTGCCTCTGCGGCGGAGCAACCGGCGTCAGGGCGAAGTACACGCTGAGCCTTTCGGAGAACGGCGGCGAGTCCGTACAACGGAGCTTGACGCATCGGTTCGACACGGTGGGCGCCTTCTGGGGATTCCCCAGGTTCATGGAGAGGCCCAGGCTGCGGCAATGGCTGCTTCGCCGCGGCCCCGGCGGCGGCGACGACTGCGTCACGTTCAGGTGCTCCCTGACCGTCATCAGGGAGCCTCGCACCGAGGGCGTGGCCGCCGTCGCCGTGCCGCCGTCGGACATGCGCCGGCACATGGCGAACATGCTGAGGGGCGGCGACGGCGCGGACGTGGTGGTGCTGGTGCGCGACCAGCCGTTCCGCGCCCACCGCTGCGTGCTCGCCGCGCGGTCGCCGGTGTTCAGGGCGGAGCTCTTCGGCGGCGGCCACATGAGGGAGAGGCGGACGAGCTGCGTCGTCGTCGACGACATGGAGCCCTCCATCTTCTCGGCATTCCTCCACTTCATCTACACGGATTCCTTGCCAGAAAACCCGGACACACCTGGCGATGATCAAGATTGCATGGCGATGCAGCATTTGATGGTGGCAGCCGATCGGTATGGCCTGGACAGGCTCGTGCTGATCTGCGAGGAGAAGCTGTGCCGCGGCATTGACGTGCAGACGGTGGCGACGACGCTGGCTTTGGCAGAGCAGCATCAGCGTGTAGCGCTCAAGGATGCTTGCCTTGGTTTCATAGTCTCTCGGGGTGTTCTTGGCGCTGTCGCTAGGACTGATGGGTTTAAGCATCTGCTCACGACCTGCCCGTCGATTATGGTGGACATTTTAGACAAGGTTGCCAGCGTCATGAGCAAGTAATAATAGATTCATAGTCTAGTCTTTCTGATCTTATGAGTAACTTTTATTAGTGACTAGCAAAGTAGTACTGTAGTAGTAATAAAGTTCGAGACTGAGTTTGCGACGCGACATGATTTGCAGTATCACAGTAGTTCTATTTTTTGTTGGTTTCATGCTTGCCTGGAAACATATCGAAAAAGAACTGAAGATTAGAGTCACATTGTTGTTTCGGTACTCAAATTGCATTCCTCTGAACTCTGAAGCAGTCACTCTGTTCTTCTCTGGTCTCCCCTGTGTGTTGCTGTTCTATTTCCAGGTGTGATTATTGTTCTGTTTGGCGCCATTATTATCTAAGTTTTTGTTTCTGTTACACATTTTGGTCGAGTTTAACTCGAGATGAGCAAATTCTTTAACTTTGTTCCCGGTTGTAACTTGTGAGCCTGTGGCGGAGCAGGTTCAGATTCGTCAGAAACCAAAAAAAAAAAAAGTTCAGATTCGTTAGTGGCACAGGCTCTCTCAGCCCTGACCAAAAATGGGCTAATCTAGTTGGTCAGGCCTGTGGCGGGCATGTTCAGATTCTGCAGTTTTGGGCCGGAATCACCAATTTCTCTCTCAGCCCTGACCAAAAATGGGCTAATCTAGTTGGGCCGCCTAGTCAGACGCATGAACGGCCACGTGGCACGTGCTTCGTCCGTGCGCACCCGTGGATCACAGGCCTCGTGGCGGGGGTTTCGGTCGTGCGCACTGTGGAGTACAGGTCGGCAGGGAGCCAGGGTCAATCGAATCGAGTCGAGGAGAGGAGAGAGAGAGAGAGAGAGAGAGAGAGAGAGAGAGAGAGAGAGACTCAGGGAGGGTTTCGTTTCCGTTTCTTGCGCCTCCTCCAACCGCGGCGGCCGTCAGTGGGGAGCCTCGTCGGCGTCCGCCTCCGCCATTCGCGAGAGGAATTCAGGTGATCCCTCTCCCTACCAGAGCCGCGCTCCCCTCCGATCCTCCCCGAATCTGGATGATCTCCCCCGATTCCGCTCGGCTTCGCTGATCCCCCCTCCGCCGCCGCCGCCGCCGCCGCGGCGGGTGGGCTATCCCGCTTGTCGGAATCGATCGATTTCTGAGGCCTTGGATTGTGATGAAGTCATGGATATCGGGCCGCATAGCATCCAGCTGATCGCGCCGCCGTCCCTCTATCACGCCGCCTCCGCTGCCGCCATGGGTGATCACCGCGACCCGGCTTTCCCCGCGGCGGCGGGCGGCTGCCGGCTGCCCAAGACGTCGTCGGTGAGCGTCACGGAGTCCGTCACCGCGGTGCACGATTTCAAGGTGACGGGTTACTCGCTGATCGAGGGGCTGGGCATCGGCAGGTACGTCAGCTCATCCACCTTCACCGTCGGCGGCGTCGACTGGGCCGTCAGGTTCTACCCCGACGGCTCCACCGTCACCTGCCTCGGGAACGCGTCGGCGTTCCTCTACTACTGCGGCAGGGAGAAGGAGGTCAGGACCAGGTTCACCCTGAATCTGCTCGGCAAGGACGGCAAATTGTCGCAGGTGACCAATTCCTACATGAAGCACACCTTCTCCCCGGCGAGTGACAATTGGGGATTCATCAAATTCGCCGAGAAATCGAAGCTGCAGAGCTCGCCGTTCCTCCACAACGACTGCCTGACCATCAGGTGCTTGCTGACCGTCGTCAGGGAATCCCACACCAAGGATGTTGAGGTCAATTCTGTTGTTGTCCCACCGTCCAACCTGCATACCGATTTTGAGAACATGCTCCAGGATGGTGAAGGTTCAGATGTGACATTCACCGTGGGTGGCCAAGAGTTCCGTGCTCATAAATGTGTTCTTGCCTTCCGGTCCCCGGTGTTCAAGGCCGAGCTTTTCGGTCCGATGAAAGAAAATGGCACGCAATGTATCAAGATCGACGACATGGAGCCTGAGGTTTTTGAGGCTCTTCTTCACTTCATTTACACAGATAGGCTGCCAGATAGCTGCAGAGATGGCAAGGCTGCAGCAATGCAGCACTTGCTAGTTGCCGCGGATCGGTACGGAGTGGACAGGCTGAGGCTGATTTGTGAGAGGCGGCTCAGCGAAACCATTGATGTGGAAACAGTGGCAACCACTCTTGTTTTAGCAGAACAACATCACTGCTCGCAGCTGAGACAGGCTTGCATTGGGTTTGTGGCATCTCCAAACATGCTTGGGCCAGTCATAGAAAGCGATGGATTTAAGCATCTGGTAGAAAGCTGCCCGTTGATTATGAAGGAGATCTTGAGTAAGGTTTCACATATTTGGATTGACAAGTCTTGCTGAGAAGTTTATTAAGCTATCACTTTTGTAGTAGTACATCTTAGTAGTTATGAAAGTCATGATCAGTTATCTACATCTCTATATGCGACTTTGATCTTTTTAAGTTGTGTGATCCTTCCAACGCCTAATATGTATGAACAGTAGAAATCTTATGTATATGGATGACTCCTTAGCACCATGGTGTAAGTTTGGGCATTCTTCCCCTTTTCATCTTTTTTGAAATGTTGGATTTACTCTATACTCACATGCTTTCCTGAATGTATAATGACTAGTTTTTTGAGTGGAATATATACGGACTAATAATCATTAATTCAACTCTGTCTTGGTGATATAAATCATCATTTCAACTCTGAACATCTCACATTCTTTGGTCCAACCCATACCTCAGAGCATGCCCAACAATCACCCAATATTTGATTCCCAAAAAATCTGAATTAGGAATACCAAAATAAAAATTGGGCCCAACAATGAACCCCTCCTCCAAGAGATGCCCAAAAATCAATTCCCTATCATTTGTTAGTTTGCCACGTAAGCAAGGTGGGGCCCAGTTCGGTACTTGTGCACGTCTTCTCCCTCCCGCACCAGCGCCGATCGACTTCTTCCTCCCCGGACCTGCGCCGCCGTGACCTAGCGCCGTCATCACCAGCCAGTCAACCAGTGTCCTGACTGCTGCGATTTGTTAAAAAACGGAACACCAAGGAGATGCCGTAGCAATTCGTGTCATCAAGGAGGTAATCGTTAGCAAATCCCATTGATCTCTTGTGTCGTAGTCAATCTCTATGTCTATATTTTGATATGTGGATATATATTATTGGAAAATATTAAGTTTGATCTGATAATTAATTTTGCAGATTGATTATTGTTCTATTCCTGCCATCAGTTCCCTCCATTGCACTTCATCCCTGTGGTAAACGCTCCAACCCCGTGGCAAACAAAAAGAGGAGATGAGTCGTCGAAGCACCCTCCTTCAAATGCTATTGGATGAGTTTTCATCGGATGGTGACGAAGAATTTATTTCTTCGGCGGTTGATATAGTGCACGAAGAGTTCGACGATGATGAAGTTCCAAAGCATGGTGAATCTGTTATAGGTCATGCAGTAATTAATCAGTGACAGTGAACCTTGTTAGTATGTATGTCAGTGGCACATACATACTGAAATTGAATCTTTCAGACACTATTTTCAATCTTTGGCATAAGCATGTGGTTGTTCATCTGCTAATCTAAAAAGTGAGGCATACTAAATGCAGATGATCACTTCAATTAAGCAGTTGTTGTACTTAGAGCTAAGAACTGTACAAGTTATTATAATCCTACTGAACCTATGCTGTTGTACTTAGAATTCTGCAGCTGCAGCTTTCATGAAACTAAAAGTCTAATTGGCAAAAGCAGGTGGTTCTTTTATCTTGAAAAATAGACTATGGATTGCATCTTGTTGCATTATCTGTCAAATTATCTAACAACATTATCTTAATGCAAAAATTCAGAGCATATTTCAAAGATGCTGTGATGAGAGAAAAATATTTCAGACTTTCAGAGCATATTTCAGACTTTGGGAGTACATTTGACATAGCAAAAATATTTGACACAGCATATTTCAGACTTTCAGAGCATACCACACATTTAGAGCATATCCTTCATTACTAAATGTTCTGAAACCTGATTTCCTCTAAGTGTTCAGACTTTCAAATTTAGAGCATATCCTACATATTTCAGACTTTCATTCAATACAGTACAAATTTCAGACTTTCTGATATTTTCCTCTAAGTGTTCTGAATCCTGAATTCCTGAATTTCTAGCAGGGGAAGTCAGTCACAGAATAGACATCAGATCAGGCTACAACACTCTGAAAATTAATCTAAACATCGAACGAATCAGGGACAGCCTTACCGAAATTGCTCCTATGGAGGAATTCTTCATCACTCACAGAATAAGCTGTGGAGAAATCGACGCCAGGAGCTTCGTGTGAGAGGGGATTCAGTGTCTCCCATGGAGCATGTCCCTCCATGGACTCTGTCGCCTGCACACCGGAGTAGGGAGGTTGAGGATGAGGCAGACCGAGACGACGGCGAGGCGGCGGTGTGGGGCGCAGAGGGCCGTCAGCCCCAAATCGAGGAGGCAGTGGTCGACGTGCGGGCGCCCCCTGGAACAGCGCCGCCGCCGACGCCTGCGAGGAAGAGGACGGCGGCTGCATCGCCGCTTGGAGCAACGCCGGCGCCTGCGCCTGAGAGGAAGGGCATGGCCGCTGCATCGCTGCCTGGAGCAACACCGACGCCGACCCCTGTGACCAAGAGGAAGGGGACGACCGCTGCATCTCCGCGTGGAACTCAGTCAACGACGCCTGCGAGGAAGGGGTTGGCCGTTGCTTCGCCGCCTGGAAAGCCGCTGCCGACGCCTGGGAGGAAGAGGAATTTTGTTGCTGGCGACTGGCGAGGAGGGCGAGAAAAGGAGCGCGGGAACAATTTTCCCCCTACGCGCGCGAGGCAGCGACGACCGCGATTGGGAAGAAAAAATGGTTCCCTGCAAATGAGTAACGACATATACGGATATGGGAACATGGATTATTGGGATGTTGGTTAGGGAATTTGTTGGATGAGAATTTTGGTTAAAATTTCTTTAATTTAAGGATAGGGAATAGAATAAGTAATCTGTTGGGCATGCTCTCAGCCCTGAAACTTAACCTGAACAGATATTTGCAGTCAGGGCCGTTCTAGACTGCTCCTAGTTGGCTTAGCTACTTCCTTGTACTTCGTGAGCACACGCTATCAAAATGTTCTTTTTTTCAAATGTTTTCTATATATAACTTTCTTAAATAAATAAATAAATAAATCTATTTTTAAAATTTGTAATAGCTACTCCCTCCGTCCCTAAATATTTGACGCAGATGACTTTTTTAAACATGTTTGACCGTCCATCTTATTCAAAAAAATTTAAGTAATTATTAATTCTTTTCCTATCATTTGATTCATCATTAAATATAATGATGAGATGTGAGGGAGGAAGGAACTCCCTCTTTTTTAATACCTGGGTAGGGTGGCTTTACTTTGCCTACGTAAATCCCAACCATCTGTCTTCATTTAAGATCTAATCTCCAATTAAATTTCCTATCAATTCCCACCACCTCTACCAATCAACGTAAATCTCAACCATCTCTTTTTATTTAAGATATAATCTCCCATTAAACTTCCTATCAATTCCCACCACCTCTACCAATCAAGAGATTGAGAGTAAAAAATCAAATTCTTATGTTAATCTCATAATCAATTCTCTCATCTAAACCTCCAATCCTTTCTCTTAAATTGCCAAACAGAATTCTCTCATCTAACCCTCCAATCTTTTCTCTTAAATTGCCAAACAGACCGTCAACTCCTCCGAACGGAGACTAAATATTGTTTTTTTTCTTCCGAACAAGATGTACACCTTTTATGTCCCCTTTTTTCTCGATGGTGCATCCAGATGGCAATAAATAGCGTCCCATGCTGTTCAAAACTTCAGAGGATGCAACCTGAACCACACCCCATTTTTTCTCTGAACATTCAGACTGCCTCTGTTCGTACCCCTGTACTACTGAGCAGGCTAGGCTGTATGAAAGGCATCGACATGGACTCATGGTCACCACCATAGCGTTCGCGGAGCAGCAGTGTAGCACCGGAGCTCGTGTCTCTGGGCAGCCTGCGACACAAGAGTGGCGCCATGATCAGTTGGATTAAGCTCAGATTGTCACCTTGTCACACGTATCGTCTCGTTCGCATGATCAGGACTTCTTTTGACTCCCGAGTTGTGATTTGGAGGTTGAAACGGATCAGGACTATAGTATCCAATACCATAAATTATCTCTTCTTGGATCAACTCGTCGAGAGAGATTAAACGGCAACGCGTGGTATCCAATACCATAAAAGCATCTTGCAGTCTATCGACGAGGCTCTCTCTTCGGCAGGGTACCGGTGGCTGCATCGTCTGGTATGCGGTATTTCAAACTCTCGTTGCTCTTAATTGAATTTGTTATAAATATTAGTCGATATAGCGGAACGATAACTAATCTTCCCGATCGCTTCAGTCATTGACCACACAAGACATGCTAGGTGACGACATAGGAACACACAATATTTGTTAACAAACTTTAGCTAAAGTCTACATCTCTAGGGTTCTGATTATGGGCAATCCTCCACAACCAATATAGCACCTAGCCGCTACGAGTTCATGGCCTCGCCGCCATCCTCTCCCTGTGTGTCTACACTACATTGCAGTCCTCATAATTACATTATGGTACCCCTCTCTATTTAAGAGAGTTGCCGGTTACAGAGCCAGAGTCCGACTTTAACTCTACCCCTACCATCTATTATAACTCTAAGTCCAACTATAACCATATACACCTATTCTAACATAATCGATTTGATTTAAACATGCGCTTGTTTCATCCAATAAAAGAAGTGTCTTTGTTGCTAGATTAGATTTGACAAACAAAATAGCACAATTGCATCCTCTTTTTGTCAATTCTTGCAGTGGCAGACATGTTGACTTCATCGGCTGCCCGTACGTCCTCACGGAGCGTGTGGGAGGGCATCACCGGGACGCACGACTTCGAGGTGGTCGGCTACTCGTTGATGGACGGCTTCGGCGCCGGAAGGCACGTCTGCTCCGGCGACTTCAGCGTCGCCGGCCATGACTGGTATGTCGCGTTCTACCCCGATGGCCTCGACCAGGATTCCGCCGGCTACGCGTCGGCCTGCCTCGCCTACCGCGGCAAGGAGAGGCTCGTGAGAGCCAAGTACAGCCTGAGCTTGGTGGCCAGGGACGGCAGGGCGTCGCCGCTCGCCGGCGACACGCTGCGGTCGCACTACTTCACGCCGACGAGCCGCAGCGCCGACGTCCTCAAGTTCGTCGAGAAATCCAACCTGTCGTCGTCGCCGTCGTCGTCGTCGTACTCGTGCCTCGACGACGACACCCTGACCATACGGTGCGTGGTCACCGTGGTCACCGGCCCGCGCGTGGTGAGCGTCGCGCCGGCCAAGGAGAGGGGCCCCCGCGTCACGGTGCCGCCGCCGAGCCTCCACGAGCACCTGGCGCGGATGCTGCGCGACGGGCGGGGCTCGGACGTGGCGTTCCGCGTGGGCGGCAGGGTGCTCCGCGCGCACCGGTGCGTGCTCGCCGCGCGGTCGCCGGTGTTCGACGCGGAGCTCCTGGGCCCGATGATGGAGACCACCGCTCCGTGCATCGAGATCCACGGCGTCGAGCCCGCCGCCTTCGAGGCGCTCCTCCGCTTCGTCTACACGGACAGCTGGCCGCTCGCCGGCGTCGACGTCGCGGCGACGGTGCGCCTGCTCTCCGCGGCGGACAGGTACGGGCTGGAGAGGCTGCGGCTGATGTGCGAGGAGAAGCTGCACGAGGGCATCGACGTGGACAACGCCGCCGACGTCCTCGCCATGGCGGAGCTCCACCATTGCTCGCAGCTCAGAGACGCCTGCGTCGCGTTCATTGCCTCGCCGAGCACGCTGGGTCCCGTCCTGGCGTCGAGCGGCTTCGAGGATCTCATCATGGCGACCGGCGCTTCGGTGACCAAGGAGATTTTGCACAAGGTGTCCGAATCGTGGAGCGGTCCTGGTAACAGAAATAATTCAAGCAAAAGAAAGTGAGAAAAATGGCAATTATATTGAATACGACTGAACTACTCTATTCGTTAGTATTTTTAGTTTCCCCAGCAAAGATTATCGAGGGTACACTTTTCAAACTACTTCTTCTTAAAAAAAACCAATCTAAGTGATTCATTATCCTAGTTAGTGTCAAAGCCTTTTCAAGGACGGAGGAAGTACACGGTAGTTTCGTGCATAAGTTTTCTATAACAAGTTTATTTTTTCAAAAAAAAATCAATTATAAGCTTATAACAATTAATACTTAATAACTTATCTCATTTTGCGTGTTGCAATAAGCTAAACCCAAACATCTATTCGAAAGTAACCTAAACTACTTAGATTCCTCTTGTAAACACTTGATTACTTGAAAATGCATAGATTCCTAAGTACAGGGATCAATGTCCTTAAATTGCTTATACTGCATATAAATTTTAAAAATATAATTACTTATATTTGAAAACAAATAAAATATACGACACACTTATACTTACACTCAATTTTCTGGTGAAAACAAAACAAAAAAAGCCAATCAAGCAGAAAACAATAAAAAAAAGCCAATCAAGCAGCAAAGGAGCATTTTTCCCCAAGCTGACAAAAAAAAAAGGAATTTTCGGGCAACGAGCAAATCACGGGCTCTTCCCACGGCCCACGGGAAGTGGTCTCTCTCGGTCTCGGCCATATCTGAACCCTGCATCCCCCCACGTCTCCTCCCCCTCTCTCAGTCTCTCTCTCTCTCTCTCTCCCGTTCGTGCGTGCTAGCTAGGGCATCTCGTCGCATTGATGCAGCAGCCGCCGTCGCAGCCGCAGCCCGGCATGGGCGGCCCGCCTCCGCCGCCACAGGGCGCGGCGGGGCAGCCGCCGCAGTGGGGCGCGATCCCGCCGCCGATGCCGCCGCACCAGTACGGCGCGCCGCCGCCCCAGCAGCCGCCGGCGATGTGGGGCCAGCCCCCGCCGCAGGCGCACTACGGGCAGGTGCCCCCGCCCCAGCCGTACTACGCCGCGCCACCGCCGCAGGCGATGCCCGCCCCCGCGGCCGCGGACGAGGTGAAGACGCTCTGGATCGGCGACCTGCAGCCCTGGATGGACGAGAGCTACATCTACAACTGCTTCGCGGCCACCGGGGAGGTACGGGTCCTGATCTGCTGTGAGATTTGGTTGCCCGTAATTTTTTGTTTGTGTGGCTTGTTGCTGATGGAGTTGTACTGTGGTGTATTGCGACTAATTTAGTTCCTGATGCTGTATGTTGTGACTTGCGACTGACTTAGTTCTGACTTCTCAAAAGCTCTAGGCTATGAGTTGTGGGTCTACAATAAAAACAAAATTTCATGCTTCGGCTGATTTATCAGTGATTGTTGAATGTATCTTTTTGGTTTATTGAGATTTTATGAACATGCTACTTTCTTTAGTGAATCGATTTCGGAAGGTTTTGTTTGGTTTTTTACTTACTGTTTTCACATGGATGCTAAGTTTGCAGACTATATAACATTTGCGTACATTCTAAATGCTATTTATGTGATTCGGTTTTGCTATCAATATACATAAGCCATTGCTCAGATGATAATGGATGAAATGCAACATCTAATATACCCAGATTGTGTCCGCCCATTCATGATTTACCTACCGTATCTAACGTTTTGCATTTACTTGCAGGTTCAATCTGTGAAGCTTATCCGGGACAAACAAAGTGGACAGCTTCAGGGTTATGGCTTTGTTGAGTTTACAAGTCGTGCAGCTGCTGATCGAATTCTTCAGACTTATAATGGACAGATGATGCCGAATGTTGAGATGGTCTTCCGATTGAATTGGGCCAGTGCTGGCGAGAAGCGTGATGATACCCCTGACTACACCATTTTTGTCGGGGATTTGGCTGCAGATGTTACAGACTACCTACTACAAGAGACATTCAGGGTCCATTACCCTTCGGTTAAGGGTGCAAAAGTTGTAACTGACAAAATGACAATGCGTTCAAAGGGTTATGGGTTTGTGAAATTTGGTGATCCTACAGAGCAAGCTCGTGCAATGACTGAAATGAATGGAATGCTTTGCTCTTCCAGACCGATGCGTATTGGTCCAGCGGCAAATAAGAAAACAACAGGGGTTCAGGAGAGAGGTAAATGCTGCTGATCGTATTTCCCATTGACACCTTTTACTTATTAGCTATTATTATGGGCAGTTATCTTTATTTCTATCTATATGTATGGCTGGCTACTCTGCTTGATGATACCTTTTCCTTTTGATGTTCCGCTTTTACCTTTTCCGGTTTTACTTACTTTTACGGAATAAACCAAAGCTTGTGTGACCCTTTTTCTTCAAGAAGTCATTATTCCTTAGTACAACATTCCCTGTGAATTTGGATCATTTCATGCACTAGAACTAGAAAAATAGTAGACTTATGAAACTCGTGTTATCTGGAAGCAGGAGGTCAACAGGCTCTCTCCGTATTGGAGTTTTGGAACTGATTTGAGCTGTGATGCATTTCTTGTGTAATGCATGGCCTCATTTAGGTCAGTGTAAAACATTTATGTTCTAAATTTGAAGTCTGTTTCTTTCGATTTCTGCCCTCCGAATACTTCAGTCATTTATTCTTCTTGCTATTTCAGATTCTACTTCATTTGTGCACGCATACGTTTACTATACATTTTCTTTGTTTAAAAAGTTTTATGACTCATGCTTGATGTGATATGCACATAGTTAAATTAGCATGTTGGCTCGAGCTTGCTTTTATTTGCTAGGCTTGACTATTGAGGGTCATATCCGTGCTTCATGTATTGAGGCTTGATATTTTTAACATTTTCTATTTCCTTCTTTTTGAAAAATAGATTTTTGAATGACAAAATGTTAGTACCTTCTGTGAATAAATTCTTGTCTTTTTCATGCCTTCTAGTTTTTGTTTTTGTGATATTTTACACTTCGAGTTGCCACACTGTTTATCTGTTCTTTTAAACATCTGGAGAATATTCTGCTTCTTTTCTCAACATACATTATGATAGGCTTGCAATGTATCTCTCATTTTATCTGCCTCTAACTTGACATGGAATCGATTGTTGGGGCTGTATTTCATTCTGTATTGTGTTGTGTATTCAGCTTGTTTGAGATTCTATGTATACAATACTTAAAAAACAGTGTTCTGCTTGCCCTTTTCCTTGATTGGGTAGTCTTATTAGCATTTTTGGCCACTTAACTCCATTATAAGTCTGTTAAGTGAAATCTTGTCTACATGTGTACTATTAGCTTGGTGGTTTCGCCTCCATAATCTTATCAAACTTTAGCATGGTTCTGATGAACATGTTCCTGAATTGCTGAGCTATCCTAGTTACTCTATTCTAAATTGTCTTCAGTGATGCTTGATATTCTGCTTAATGCATATGGCTTGACATGGCTGGATCTATATGAATATCACTGCTTATGCTTGTAATAATCTATTTACTACTATAAGAACATCAGTGAACGAGACATTTGCATGATAAGCATTCATGTTTACCAGCATTTGACAAATCTTACATTGTATTTTCTTCACTTTTTTGCTTTCATTTACAGTACCAAATGCTCAAGGAGCTCAGTCTGAGAATGATCCTAACAATACCACCGTGCGTTCTTAGTTCTATTTTTCCTGTACAACAGTAATTTCTTTTCAGTTCATTTAGTGACTATGTTTGTTGTTGAGCTCAGATATTCGTTGGTGGTCTTGACCCCAACGTCACTGAAGATGTCTTGAAACAAGTTTTCGCTCCTTATGGAGAAGTTGTCCATGTTAAGATTCCTGTTGGGAAAAGATGTGGTTTTGTTCAATATGTTAACAGGTTGACTCTTTGTTCGTTTGTTCTATTTCCACAGATGTCTTACTGCCTTGTATTTTTTTTTTTTGATGAGGTACTTGCAAATTACTCTTGTCATTGCATATTCAGGCCTTCTGCTGAGCAAGCACTGGCAGTGCTACAAGGGACCTTGATTGGTGGGCAGAATGTTAGACTTTCGTGGGGTCGAAGCCTTTCAAACAAACAGGTCCAGATCAAACTCAACATAGTAATTTTCTTATCTATAAAGCTGTATAATGGAGCTAAAGTTGATAACATTGTGGTTTTTGAATGTCTTCAGCCTCAGCACGACTCGAATCAGTGGGGTGCTGGTGCTGGTGCTGGTGGTTACTATGGTGGCTATGGACAAGGTTATGAGGCTTATGGTGGGTATGCACAACCTCAGGATCCTAACATGTATGGTTATGGAGCCTATGCTGGTTATCCCAATTACCAACAGCAACAAGTAGCACAGCAGCAGCCGCCGCAGCAGGTGAGACTCCCCCTTCTTGTTTCCGATGTCATCTAACATTGGAAATTTACACACTTTACAAATATTGTAACTTTCTTGAAAGTTATCATGAATTCTGCCATGTCAATCAGCGTTTGCATAGCTATATCCTCTAGCGATTAATTTGAAGCATTATTTTTTCTTTCTTCCAGTGAGCCCTGTTTGATCGATCGCGTCTTTGGGCTGTGAGGCACACAACCCATTTCAAGCTACAGCTTTAGCTATGTTATTGCTATTCTCAATAGAGAGACGGTTTCTGAAGACTCCAGATTTCGATTGAGGTTTTAATGTATGAACTGTATTATGATTATGAACAACGGATGCTGCCATATCGTGGTTCCTATATTGAGTCATGTATTTTGAAAACATATCCTCTGTTTCCATCTCACCCTTATCATCGATTATTATTATTGCTATGTACCGTTTGTTTCCCGTTGGTTTTTGCGTGTTGGATTCTCCTTTTTCGTGAAGGACAAGTGAGTTTTCTGGTTGCCTGATTGGCCACGTGGGCGGACATTGCATCAGGGCATCAGTGTATGCTCTGCACAATGGAATCTCGCCAACTTTTGCTTCGACACTTTACCCCGGTTAAAATCTTTGCTCGTGTTTTTTTTCACCGTGAAAATGGCTGTTAAAATTTCTCTACTTGTTTTCACCGTGAATGGCTGTTAAAATGTGTATATCTATCTGATCGTGTGCCATGGAAGACGAAATGATAATCGTTTTCACTCGGGCTATTTACGAGGTTAGAAAGTAGAAACTAGAAAGACTTCAGGAAAGATCTGTTAAATGCCATGGTAAATTTGACACAGACAACGTAAAAGCTCCCATTAATCTAGTGCTACACTGACACCGACAGCGTAAAAGCACCCGTAAATCTAGTTGTATTATTCGCTTATTAACCCAGTTAAAGTTAATTAATCTGGTTCCACCATCTTATCCTAGCTAACGTGCTATAAGAATAGCGCGCGATCGAAGCGTCCGCCAAGGAAATCGAGAGAGCTCCGAACTTAACCTTCCCGTTCGCACGCCCGCATCGCTGCACTTGTCCCATTCCGCTTTCGTCTCGTCTCGCCTCGTCGCATCGCATCGCCTCCCCTCCCACCACCCTCTCTCTCTTTTCCCTCCCTTCCTCCCTCCCATGGCCCGCCCCAAGAGGACGAAGCCGCCGCCGCCGTCGCGCAAGGCGGAGACGGCGGCGGCGGCGGCGCAGCGGCCGTCGTCTTCGTCGTCGTCGCCGTCGCCGTCCCTCCCCGAGGCGCTGCTGCTCGCGACGGTGTGCATGGTCGGCCTCCCCGTGGAGGTGCAGGTCCGCGACGGATCCGCGTACGCGGGCGTCCTCCACACCGCCTCCGTCGAAGGCGGATACGGTGGGTGCTCCTCCCTCTCTCCTCCTCCTCCTCCTCCTCCCCGTCGTTGTTTCTGTGGTTGGGTGGCTCGCTTAGGGTTCGGAGATCGCGGGGATGTGGTTGTGAGCGTGATCCAGCTGTGTGCGCGTGTGTGCGTAGTGGGTGGCGATTTTTAATAGGGTTGGTGCTCCGGCTTTTTTTTTTTTTCGTTTCGAAGTTAACTGGTTCGTGATCCGCTTGTTGGTTGGGTTGGGTGGCGGTGGACGCTGGACGCTTGCGTTGTTTGTTTTTTGGATAGTGCCATGGTGGGATGGATTTGGGGGTGGTTGCTGGTTAGAGATCGCTGGATGAGTTTCCCCCATTTGTGGCGTGGCTGTAGATGTACTTTTGTGTTTGCGGTTAAGATCTTGGCTGTTTGGTCTTTGATCGTCGTGATTGCGGTGGGGATTTGGATGAGAGTCCCGTAAATCGTTCCTGGGTTCGTGGTCTAGAGAGGATCTCGCACTGGGTTCCAGGATCATAGGCAATGATCCTGGTCTCTATAATGTAATCGGGTATCATGGTTATGCTATAAACCAACTGCCTGGTTGATTGCAAATATATGTTGTTTTTCTTCTCTAGAATTGAGATGCCAATTTGCCATGAAGAAATTTATGATTCATTTAGTGCATTCTAGCATTCTGGCAGCAGTCACATTTTTGGGTTTGATTCGTACTCCTTTTGGATTTGTAATATCCTAGGGATGCATTTTTTTTCTTGCCAGATCATGTTTATAATGTTGTTCTTTCTGGTTTCAACAATCAATTTAGTTTTCTTTTTCTGTGTGGAGAAAAAATGATACTGATGTATTTATGTTGAACAGGTGTTGTGCTAAAGAAAGCGCGAAAGATCGCTAACGGGAATGATAATGCCAATATTCCTCTGGGAGCTTTTGTAGATAGTCTTGTTATTCACCCAGATGATCTCGTTCAAGTCATTGCAAAGGTAGCTTTGATGTGCTTAAACATGCTAACAAATTTTCCCGCCAAAAGAAAAGGTATACTAACAGATTGCCTTCTCGTGGACGCTTCTACTTTTCAGGATTTTTCACTCCATACAAAAGATGTGTGCAGAACTCCTGTTTGTGATACCGTCGCAGCCAGTGCATATGTGAAGCCTCAAACTTCACATGTGAATGTGTTTCCACTAAAGTATATTCTTGATTCACCAATAATAGGATAAAACTCTTTCAATTGTTTCTTTAATGATGCTGGTTAATAATGTAGATTTCTAGCAATCTATTCTGTATATATATTTCAATGTCTATTCATTCTTGAGGTTAATTCATGCTATTTCTTTAACAGAGAGGTTAAGAAGTGCAGCACGCCAGGTGAGGAGACTAACATCTCCATTGGGAGAAGTTCTCCTGGTATTATGTCTAACCTCTTTACTATTTTACTCCGATAATTCTTTTTCCACTTTTCTTCCTTGTACTTAAACCCGTCCAACTGTTATGCTAGCCTCTCCAACTGGATATGTAGGGCCACGCCTCTCCTGTAACGAGATAATGAGTTCTGCGGTTGTTGGATCAAAAGATGGAAATACTAAGAGTGCAGTTTTGACTACACCCACAATGTCTTCAGATGTGAAAATCTCTCCTCCAGCCACAGTTGCTAAAACTGCCACGCCGAGCAAAACCATTGCTAAGGTGAGCTCTCTCGGACCCTTGATACGTAAGCATAGGGAAAACTGTGTCTAGAGAATTAGAGATCTAGAAAAATGTTTTGCTAATATATTTTACCTTTTAAGGAGCCCAGTACTATTTGGAAAGCATTATCAGTTATTTCGTCCATGTACATAACAATCTGTGCAAGGCTTGCCAACTATGTTATCAATGTTATCAGTGTGTTATTTTCTTATTTTGTATTATCAAGCACAGTTCTCTTTCCTTCCTATGTCATGGATTTCTATGCATCCTGAGGGAATGAAGCCGTGCCAATTCTGTTTTTATGTTTACTGCTGTCCTAGATGTTCTACCTTTGTAACCTTCCTGTGCTTCATCATTGTCATCAGTCCATTCACTATTGCAGGAATCCAAACTCAACCCTTGTGCTAGGGTCTTCTCTCCTTCGTTTGCAAGTTCCAGACCAGTACTTGCAGCTGCACCCTCTGTTAACCCAATCTACATCTCAAACTCTGTAGCTGGAGTTCCAACCGGGTTACCTGTATTTGAAACTAACTCAGTGCCAGGCGGTTCATCCCTGTCCAGCAAGGCTGTTCATTATAATAACCTGGCTGCTGCAAACTATGCTATTTCACCTCAATATACTCAGTCAGTAAGTTCTTTGATTAATTCTTTTATAATATCATTGTTGCTTCAATAGTTCATCACTTTCTTCAGATTGCTGTCATATAGTCATGAAGTGATAAACAAGGAAAATATTGCAATATGGTGCCAACTCCTATTCAGCACCGACATTCCTTTAAGCTGATAATTTGCTTTATGTGACCACTACTACTATCTCTACATATTTTAACTATTATCTTTACTCTGGTGTAATTTTCCATTTATCTTGAGATTAACTATTGAACTACTAATAGCTATCGTCAGGGGCGGAATCAGGCATGGGGCAGCTAGGGCTTGAGCCCCATGCCTAGCTCCATAATCCCCATTATAATCTTGAAAAATGCTATGTAATTTATGAAAATATTTGAGATCCCATTAGCTCAGCCTTAGGCGTGGAAATTTTCTGGCTCCGCCACTGGCTATCGTTTATCGTTATGTTATATTCTGTGCATTGAATTTTCAGATTCTACTTCACTTTGATCTTATTGCTGCATAACTCTGGCATGTACGTTTTGTTCGGATATGATCCTGCCTCCTGAATCCTTATACATGGTTTTTTGAATGACAGACCATGGGGCATAATGTGAGCAGGCTGGATCCTGCTAGAATTGGCACACCTTATCATCCCATGCAAGTTGGACCTGCTTACATTAGCCCTAGTCCTCAGCCTGTAAGTTCTAATCAGTTGTATATATATAAATATATATATATATATATATATATATATATATATACTGATATTAATTTCAAAATGCTGTTCATTTGTACCTATTGGTTACATGATATACTATCATTTGCTCCTGTACTGATCTAATTTATTTTTATGTTATGACATCATAGGTTACTGGTGGGAAATTTAATCATGTTGTTTATGTACACCCATTTTCTCAGGTGAGTAATGCAACAGTGTTATTTCTATTAATAGCTCAAGTGGAACTCTGCGAGAGTAAGATGATGAATTAATGATGCAAGTACAATTTGTGTTGTTTCATACAATACTTTTAACTGATTAAATAGTGCTGATTCATTGGAGATATCATGGTTGTCTTTTGTATCGCTCAACCAGTAGATAGTGCAAGTGAGGCACTGTTATCCAAATTGAACTTGGATATTCGTCTGTTTTAAAAAATAAAAACTACTCAGCTACATTTCACACATTAGATAATGTGAAGCTTCATTTCGTGGCATGCATCTTTGTTGGCAACCCTATACATTGCGTAGTCATTTAGGCATATGAAGCTCTCCTGTTAACCGTAATGATTAATATTTGACATTATCATCCCTCTAAAAAACTCATCCTAGTTATATTTACTGCAAATACAAATTGCCCTAACTGCTTTTAGCTGATCTACTATTTGCTTTCCGCTGAAGGATGTAATGCATGGAGCACCTGTTATGCCCCAAGGATGGTCTCTTCCTGCACCATTGAACTCACATCAAGCTAGCCTCCAGAAGTTCCAAGGTAAAAATCGTACTCATTGTCGACTGCTTCCTTTATTTTAATGGAAGGTATTAAAATGTTTATTTTATTTATTCATTACACTAATCAAAACATTTTACGTAGAAACTCTCCAGGCACAGCCCCTGTATATGTAGCCCCACCTATCATGGCAACTGGGAACCTGCCATTGGTGGTACCAAGCCCTGCACCGCTTGTGCAGCCATTCCAGGCCGTTCGTCCCATCATGGTACCTGCTGCAAGCAGCATGGTTCCAGGCAAATACATGTAAACTTGTCATAGCAGTGTGATATCAGTTTTTGTTGGAAGAATCTTGGTTTTACCCCTTTGGCCGTTGGGGTTTACATCTAAGAGGACTCGCAGTTTTGCCTAATCTGTTAATTCTCTTGCTAGTTGCTGGTCTGTGTCCGTCTTTTTGTTGGAAGGACTTGCAACTTTTACCATTCTTAATGCTTTGGCATCATCACGATTTTCCTTTTTTCTTTTTTTTTTCTTTTTGGATCATTGGGGTGGGGGTGGTGGGGGTGTTCCATGAGAGCAGTTAAATGAAATAGAGAATATTGAAGCATTTTTTTTGTCATGTCAAATACCTTTTCCCTTTTTGAAGAGTAGCATGTACTATGTACAATGAGACACTGTAAAAGAGTTAGATAGTAAATTGATTGTTTTCACAGGGCTAATGTACATTGATCTTGTGAACTGTTCTCATATAATGACGGACAATCCCGCTATGAATTAGTTTTACCTTTTTGGAGCATGTGCTGACGATTGATCCAGTGTTTATTTGCGCCAAGTAGCGTTTGTTGTAGCAGCTGCTATATATAGAGGTTACAGATTTCTACTGTCCGCTACTGCTATAAGATAGTGGATCCAACATAGTGTATTGGAAATGGAACTTGGCGACCGATATTACAATAGGCTTTGTTGGCCTGCTATTACGCTTAAACACGAATACACGATGTTCTCTGTGTATGAATAGGATATAAGTTAACGTCGTGTGCTTTCTTTCTCTCATTTATTTATGTTGCTTTGTAGTTTTTATACCTTGAAATGTATGAGTAATTAAGTCTATACTTCTAAATTGCAAGTGAAACTAGATGTTAGTGTTACTACATAATCTAAATTTACTGTTTATTTTTTGAATCCCGTTATTGGACAGTAGCACCCGCGATCTTCAATCGGCTACAAAAATTTCAAGCCCGAAACCTTCACACCAGGTCTTTCACAAGCTACTTGAGAAATCACTGGATTTGCCTCTCAGACTGGCCAGGCACGCCAATGTCCATGAGTAATAAGAAGCTAGTTCTTGTAGAAAGAGTGCCTAAAGTAGCTCTTCTAGTTTGCATATTTTATATTGCATACTCCCTCCGGTTCCATATTAATTGACGTTTTGAACAAGATTGAGGTCAAACTTTTATGATTTAGACTATCAATAACTTTAAAAATATTTAGTTTAAAGAAACTAGAACAATATATATAGATTTGTCTTTTAAAGTACTATAATAAAAGTAAACATGCATTTATTTATTATATATATTATGATATAAAAATAAGATCAAAGATATATCTTGTAGACCGTGTCATTGTCCAAAACGTCAATTAAAATGAAACCGGAGGGAGTATGTTATTTTCATACTGTCGACTGGAATGCCCTACGATAATCGGATTGTCCGGTTCTATAGTTGTTTTCTACCGTTGTTGCATTGACCAGACTGTCCTATAGCTGTAAGATAATCCAACTCCAGTATAGGCTGTGTTTAGTTTCTGAAATTGGGGAGAAGTTTAGGGAAAGTTGGTAGTTTGGAAAAAAAGTTTAGAGTTTATGTGAGTAGGAAAGTTTTGGATGTGATGTGGTGTGATGGAAAGTTGGGAGTTTGGAGGAAGTTTGGTGTGAACTAAACAAGACCATAGTTGGACTGTCCGGTTAGTTCTAATTCTGCTAAAAGTTTCTTGAAATTTCAGGAAACATCTATTCTACCCTCTAGGCGACAACAACAATACTCAAGGCCCTTTTCGTGAATAGTCTGTCCTTTTTTTTTCTTTTTTTTGCAATGGTAACTGATACTATAGCCGTTGAGCTATAAAAGGGCAAGATAATACGATTGGCAACACCACACTCCATATCCCCGCGAATGCGTCCACATAACACATGCTCTAAACAATAGAAACCAGCGGCACCTCCTGATCTCACTAAATTCCTATTGAAACCTACGTGTGCGTAATATTTGTGGACACCAAGATTTAAATATTGGTGGATGGAGTCATCACCCATATATAACTTCACCATCATACCGCCGCTGGTGCTTCCCTAATCAGCTTACCATCTGATTGTCCGGCTAGGCCAACTCCCAAGGCAAACTTTGAATCACAAAAACGAATAACCCTGGTTGGCTCCACATGTATCCACTGAGCACTTTAGCGATTTAGATGTTACACCATCTAACGTGCATCACACCGAGATGATTAGTACCTTAATACCTCAAACTACAAGTTTCATCCCGCTAGCTATATATAGTACGGTCTTTGAATGTAAAAACAACCTATTTGTAAGCACGTTCACCCCAAGTCCCTAACTCCTTGAACGTGTTTTTACCTTGAAGAGGGTTGTAGCCAACTTCCGATCTCTTGATGACCGTAAGCTATCTCCAAATGGACAAAACGGTGTAGCATTGTTTGTATCATCAAAATCCTTTTTTTTTCAAACTTAGCAAAAGTAAATAGTTCCGATGATCATATTGTCATCAACCACCAAAACAACCAGAGGGGCTAGATGCTTTCACGTGGCATACCGCATTTGCTGAAGATTTTGTGGCAAAGTGTGAATACCATCCAAGTATTCTCAGACTGCACCATGATAGACTTCAATTGACTTTTTTTTTAAAAAAAAAAAACTACTTCATCTGTCCCAAAATAAGTCCAGCCCTGAGTAGAATTCAATTGATTTAATATTAACTTCTGCCAGATTCCGCAAGGACAACAATACCGGATGCACATGTCAGTAATGAAAAAGCAAAGTCGAAAGATACATCTTCCGGTTTCTGAGATACTGTAATAGATTTTGACAATAACAGCTTGCCTTCTGTTACTTAATTATCACAAGGGCCATGGTACAAATGCTTTCGATTCAGATATGCCATTTTCCTATATGGGGCCTAGTCCTTCCAAGTTTTTTCTCATTTCTTTTTGTTCCAAGTATGAAGTAACTTTTTTGTATGGCTTTACATCATTATTAAAAGGTTCAAGTATCCTTAAATGGAAGACGAATGAAAATGAAAGATAGCTCAAGTATCCTTATAAGGAAGACAAATAAAAGCGAAAGACAAGTATATATCCTAGAGTACGAGTCTACGCCTTTGGCATCCAGCCATTTATAGTAAGACTTGGCAGAAACAATCTGGATTTGAAGCTTTCACCTAACATTAAGAATCATTTTGTCTTTCTCAAGCGCTGCTTTCATTTGTTGTCAACCTTCATTTCATGACTGTCATCTGGAATTTTGATTTTCAATGTAACAGCAAGTTTGTTAGTTCTTGCAGTAAATAATAGATAATAATAAAATGTTCCCAAGAGGTGTAGAAGGTTACCTTGGGGATTATGTACTGCGGTTGAAGCCTCTACCGGAGGTGCAGTTCCTGAAATAAAAGAGGGGTTTATGTTTAGAACACAATCCAAGGAAAATGGTTATTGTTAGCATCACTGCTTATGTAAGGCACACAACAAAGAACTAGCAGAAAATCAATGGTTACACACGACTAAGGAGAAGGATTTATGTTAGCAACACAATCTAGCTTATGTATGGGGAACACAACATAGTACTAGCAGCAAATCAATGGTTACACACGAGGAAAAGGATTTATGTTAGCAACACAATCTAGCTTATGTATGGCACACAACAAAGTACTAACAGCAAATCAATGGTTACACACAAGGAAAAAAAAGCTTGTGCAGGCAAAGGATTATCTTTGAGCCAATAAACAAACATATTTGCTCAGAACATATGCCCATAGAATCAAAGCTTTTAACGTTACTCTAGGTGCCAATAAAAACATTAAAAGTAGAGGGTATCACATTTTTACCTCCTGAGGCTTCTGACTTTGAGTCATCAGCTCCTTTGGAAATGTCTCTCTCTGTGTCCAGCTGCACAGCTTGTTCTGTGCTTTCTAAATATTCATATCAACAGCATTAACTAGAGGGTTAATACTAAGCATGTCAAATAATGGAATTATGTATTACCCGGTGGTTCCATAAAAGTTTGTTGCTTGCTATTTGTAGCATTAGGCTGCTCTTTGGGACCTAAAGATACAAATCCATTTAGTGATTGTTCTTGATAGAAAATAAGTCATCGAGGGCAGAAGGGGCATATATAGTGTTGTACAGATGCTATCTTGACAACGAGCGTGCTGAATTTGTCATGCCCCAAAATAAAATAACTGAATCTACTTGTGTGTGACACACATGAATCGAGCATACAACATCTAAATCTTACCCAAAGATTCCTTTATAGCATCCATTACTGGAACATTAAGCAGATGCCTTTCCCCTATAATGACACAAAAAATGTGATCTATTATTTAAGCTTTATTTCTATCCAGAGGTAATATATTATTCAAAGTAGATCAAATTGCATTCCTCCAACGAACATACCTGATGACTCTTCAGTGTGCTTTGAAGATTCAGAGACTGTTTGAATCTCATTGACAGTTTTCCCTCCAGCGACTTCCTTGCATGATGCCAATACAGGTTGACCTGATTTAATAGGTACCACAGCAGATAACGGTTGTGGATTCACATGTTCAGTACCCTGCTCGGAGAAAATCCTTGATTCAGCATTACTGGGTGAAACTGAGATAGGTACTGCTGCAACAACCCCAGAACCCATGTGAGGTCTTGGAACGGAAGGGACCGTGTGCTTAGTGAAGGATTTCTCTACAGGCCTCCTCATCTGTAGAGGCTTTGCAAATGTAACATCCTCCAAGGGGACTGGAATAGGACCAGAAGCTTGTCTGTAAACAGTAGATGGCCTCTTTCGAACTTGACTTGGTCGAAGCATAGGGAGATCTGGGGCAAGATCATCTTTTGGTGTTATTGGGCGGAGGTTATTTTCATCTGGAATCCAACCTTTGAGAACCTGATTGTCCTTCACTTTCACCGTAATCAGAGAAAACCCAGGAAATTTCTTCGACATCTTACCAACAAAATACTTGCCAACAATATCATCTTTGACTGAATTACCTTGCAAAGGAGCACTAGTATAAATGGAGGCTTGGCTGAGAGAAGTCTTAACCAGATTGACAGAATCTCTAGGTCCACTGGATCTATTAGCTGGGCCTTGCTTTGTAGGCAAAGCCTGAATTGTGCCTATATTAGGGCCAAAGCTACCACCTGATGTATGGTTGATCTGTATCCCATCCTGTCGGATGTTTGAGCTATCTTGTGTGCTGTGAAGAGGTGGGACGCTCTGAATGTGCTGCACACTATATGGTAATTCATGCATGCCGTACTCATACTTCCGTGGACGACCACGCTTACGCTTAGCACCAGAGCTTAATGTCTGCTCCATGGGTAGTGGTTCATTATGTGCAACAGCTTTATTCTCTTCAGATGTCATCTTTGGCAATTTGCTTTAACTTTTTGCAGCTGAACCTAGGAACGATGATAATGCCCCGTAAAAGTGTATTCACCACCTTCAATTACTTGATGAGTTTTTCTCCCCTTGAACATGCAAAGTGAGCGCAATGAGCAACCTCAATAGCGAAAGGATGGCAAAATATGGCAAGTAATCACAAGAAGATTAGAAGATGATAGAGCAAGTCGACAATCAGGAAGATAGAAGCCTACTTTCCATATCCGCTAAGAATGAAATTAATTAAGTCTGCTAAGAACGTAACTAAAAAGGAAGCTCTCATGGAATTATTTTCAAAAGAGACATAGCACAGTTTGCAATAAATAAAGTACCCACAGGGTCATATCTAGGGGAGAAAATGGTCGGAAAACAGCTTCAACCATTTCTGTAACCGTACTTTTCTCGAAAATATAATTGAAAGCAGTAGAGCCGGAAATGGAAATGGAAATGATATTGAAAAATCAAAAAGGGAATAATCCGGGCGGAAATGTGTTGGAATCATTAGGAAACCAACAATTCATGTCGGAAACATCAAATAGTAACAACATATGTTTTCACACACTTGACCAACACACATATACACGTAATATAACTCAATTTATTTAATATGATGGCATGTTTACATATAGCCATTGACAATTGTACTAAAAACATTTATGAACTAATAAAATAGTTGTATACGAGGTGCATAATGAAGTTTAAATATTTAATATGGTGGTTGGTGCATGTCTTTTCTAACTTATAGGTCAGCTGTTTGAATCCCCTAGCTGGAACCATTTTTGTGAAAGAAGTGGGCAGGGTAGCTTGGTCAAGTCCTGATTGACGTAGTGGCTCTCTACACGGTGATGTGGCCTGAAGTGGTCCTCTACTTGGCGTGGATCATGGGCCTCTACGCGTTGCTATAGTCAGCCTCTAGTTGGAGCTGTATATGCTAATTACCGATTTCCCCAAAATGATAATTTCTGGAACAATATGATAAACCAAGAAAATGGTCGATTGAACAGCAAAACCATTTCTGCCACCGTTTCGAATGGCTCTTACCGTTTCCGTAACCGTTTCAAGGGGCAGACACAACAGGGGGGCCCGAGCATCCCCTGCTGCGGTCCAACCATTCTTCCATTCGTACAAGTGGCAGGGTTGTAGCGTGTGAGTGCAAGCCGACTCTGGTGTGCATGCCGCTTAGTTGAGTTCAGCTGCTCAGGTGTTGGTGCCTCTGCTGTGGGCTGTGGCTGTGATAAATGAAGGCAATTTGTGTTCAGTTTCCAAATTTACATTTATAAAATTATGAAGTAGCACTTCAAAATCACCATTAATTATGATGATATTAGTACACAAATAGATATTTAAGCACATTTATCAGTTCTCAGGACTTCGCTGTGCATAGCAGAATTACGATAAAAAATTGTCTTCAGCAAGAGTGGTTTGTTTACATGCGGTTCATGTATAAATTTGGATCCAAAAAAATGATTCCTTTCACTTCAGTCGTTACTAATGTGTTTTTTATTTCACTGGCAACCCCTACATTTTAATCCTGTGTGCGTCGGTTACCATTCCTAGTGACCAAATCCATTGGAAACAGTAATTGCCAAAAACGAGCATTGGAGGAGGAATTTCCACGAAGCCCTAGTCATATCTAATGTTTATATAATAAATAACAGTAAATATCCATGAAGCAATGAAAATGAAATTTGTCAGATGCATACGAGGCAAAAGGAACATAAATACCTTCCTGGCTATAAATGTTCTATAGCAACTATTACTAGCATCAACATGTAATAAATTAAACTGGGTTATATTCTTGGATTACAAATGCAGAAACCAACTTATTACGGCGTTGAGCTCTTGTAGATCTGTAACACATGCCCTGAGCACAAACACTCAAGCTTTGTAAAATATGTGTCAAACAGATGAACTAGAGGGACCAACTAATATCACCAAACTTGTTCGTTGGAACTTGTAATAATCCCTAAATGTTGCACCAAAATTGCAAGCCTGGGCTCAAGCAACAAAAAGAATCGTATAAAGATGAGTTGGAGGTGAAGTTCATTACCACTAGCAATCTTATCCAATTCCTACCCAACCTACCACACTAAAACCTAAAAAAAATGCAGCAATGCATTTTTTAAGTAAAATTAAAGGCCGAGGCACAGCTTTGTTGAAAGCAATAACCAAATGAAATGATTTCCCCTCCTCCTGTACCATTGATTACCATATTACATCAACACATAACATCGATTAACTGAGCTCCTAAATTCCGGGAAAAAAACTGGATGAGCTAATCAGAGGGCAAAAAAAAAAAAATCCATCTAATCCCGAATGGGTCACAAATCCAATCAACGCCGTCTCATGAAATGACGCAGATGCCCAAGAGAGAAAAAAATGGATACCTCCAATCCGATCCGACCCCGATACGATCGCCGTTCCCGCGCGCGCGAGGAGGCCGCGCACCAAGGGTGATAGTTGATACGGCCACTAAGGGGGGTGAGGCAATCCGCGCCGTGTCTCCGGCGCCCGTTCGGCTTCTCCCCCGCGGCGCGAGGAGAGGAGAGGTGGCGCGCCGAGGCGGCGGAGGAGAGCTCGCCGGGGCACCACCGGCGGAGACACGGAGGAGGAGGAGGAGGAGAGATGGGGAGGAAAACGCGAGAGGGAGGGGGGGAGGCGATGCGAGGCGTGGATGGAAATCGTTTGCCGTTTCGATCGTGAAGGCGAAGCCGTGCCGTCCGTCGATCCCAGCCGATGGATTTAGTTTGGACGGTTTGGATTTGTTGGTATTGGTTTTCTTTTCCCTTTTTTTTTTCTGAGAGGTTGTCTGTTTTGATGATGATGGATGGCTACCAACTCGAGGTTTCGAAGGGGGCCGAGCCATCGGGCCAGCGTTGGCATTAACGTGTGGGCCGACCCATAAGCTACATATGGGTCCACGAGGCCCATCATTGGCGTGTTTGAGTAGGGGAAAGGAGAATGTTGAAAAGATGCTCAAAACGAGATGAACCATTTTCACATAATTAATTAAGTATTAATTATTTTAAATTAAAAATTAATATGATTTTTTAAAATAATTTTTATAGATTTTTTCCAAAATACACACCATTCAGGAAATGTGCGCATAAAAAACTGAGGGACTTTTTCTCTTTATCCTCTCCAAACGTTTTGAGTTTTCATTTTTCTCTCTTGTTTGTTGTGCATAAGTCAATCTCAATAAAAAAACTGAGAGATTTTTTCTCTTTATCCTCTCTTCCTAAGCAGTTTGTAGTACATCTAAAGTAAGGTTTCTAGATGCTAAACGGTTCATTATAATAAATCTTATAATTTGGGTAAAGTTTTCCTCTGATAACACACGCAAGAGTAGTACATCTAAAGTAAGGGTTTCTGGATGCTAAACGGTTCATCCATTTTTTCTATAAAACTAATGTCCACTAAATATCTAAAACTCAACATGCAAACATAATATTTATTAACACTCCTAAAATCTACATGCAAACATGTCACATCAACTCATTTAACACACAAAGTTCAACATGCAAACATATATTAATTATATCTATAATTTATTTCATTCTAAAAGTAAGCATACACATGCTAAATCATCATTCTCAAATTATTTTCATAATATTTTAATCCAAATTACTCCCTCCGTTTCAAAATGTTTGACACCGTTGACTTTTTAGCACGTGTTTGACCGTTCGTCTTATTAAAAAAAATTATGAAATATATAAAACTATATGTGTACATGAAAGTATATTTAACAATGAATAAAATGATATGAAAATAATAAATAATTATTTAAATTTGAATGGTCAAACACGTGCTTAAAAAGTCAACGGTGTCAAACATTTTGAAACGGAGAGAGTATTTCATTATTTCTCCCATATCTATCATATATTCGCAGCAAAGCGTGGAGCATCTTATAATAAGAGAAACTACAAACTAAATTTTCTTCAACCGCAACACAAATTTTTCTTCAACCACAACATATCATGTGTAGCTAACACTAAACTAAATTTTCTTCAACCGCAACATCATGTGGAGCGAACACAAATTTTCTTCAATCACAACATATCATGTGGAGCTAACACTAAACTAAAATTTCTTCAACCGCAACATCATGTGGAGCGAACACAAACATCAAACTATGTGGAGCGAACACAAACATCAAACTAAATTTTCTTCAACCGCAACATTATGTGAGCGAACACAAATTTTCTTCAACCGCAACATATCATGTGGAGCGAACACTAAACTAAATTTTCTTCAATCGCAACATCATGTGGAGCGAACACAAACATCATGTGAAATTTTTTTCAACCGCAACATCATGTGGAGCGAACACAAATCATGTGGAGCGAACACTGAACATCATAGTTCACAAAATATGGAGTTTACTTTAAGTACAGTTCTACAAAGCTTCTACAAGGTGCCATACACACTTGTAAATGCAACTAGTGCATCCAGCTTCAGATCCGGCAACCGATTCGTCAAAGCCTCAGACATAAATGCTGACACCTCAGTATTTAAGAAAAGAGATTACAGCAACAGTGATTACATCAATCAATTCCAACCGTCCAATGCCATATGGAGCAGTACAGAGAAATCACAACCGCAGGTTCTGTTCCCTTAATCTAAACTAGCCTTTGCCTTCTTTGAACTTCTCCAGACTTCAGAATTTCTACAGAAGTTCAGGTTCTCTCACTTAGCGACAGATTTCTCAACAGGCTTCCTCATCTGTAGAGGCTTTGCAAATGTAACATCCTCCAAGGGGACTGGAATTGGACCAGCAGCTTGCTTGTAAATAGTAGATGGCCTCTTTCGAACTTGACTTGGCCGAAGCATGGGAAGATCTGGGGCGAGGTCATCCTTTGGTGTTATTGGGCGGAGGTCACTTTCATCTGGAATCCAACCTTTGAGGACCAGATTGTCCTTCACTTTCACCGTAATGAGAGAAAACCCAGGAACTTTGTTGGACATCTTACCAACAAAATACTTGCCAACAATACCATCTTTGACTGAATTACTTTGCAAGGAAGCACTAGTATAAGTGGAGGCTTGGCTGAGAGAAGTCTTAACCAGATTGGCAGACGGACCAACACTACCACCTGATTTATGATTGATCTGTATCCCATCCTGTTGGATATTTGAGCTATCTTCTGTGCTGTGAAGAGGTGGGACGCTCTGAATGGGCTGTACACTATATGGTTTTTCATGCATGCCATACTCAGACTTCCGTGGACGACCACGCTTACGCTTAGAACCAGAGCTTGATGCCTCTATGGGTTCATTAGGTGTAACAGCTTTATTCTCTTCAGATGTCATCTTTGGTACTTTGCTTCAACCTTTTGTAGCTGAACCTAGGAACGATGAGAATACCAGCAAAAGTGTATTCACAATTTTTCTCCCCCTGAACATGCAAAGTGAAAATAATGAGTAACCTCAACATTAAAAGGATGACAAAATGTGGCAAGTAATCAGAAGAAATTAGAAGACGATAGAGCAAGTTGACACAATATGTTATTGAAAAGGAAGCTCTCATGAAACTATTTTCAAAATAAACATGACACAGTTTGCAATCAGTAATGTAAATAAAGTACCCACACGGTCATATCTAGGGGTGAAAACGGTTTGAAAACAGCTTCAACCATTTTCTGAATCACACTTTTCCTGGAAATAGAATTTTAAATGGTAGAGCCGGAAACAGAAACATGCTTTGCATCATAAGGAAATCGGCAATTCATGTTGGAAACATGCGGTATCATTTGGAAACTGTGACACCGTATGTTTTCACACACTCGACCAACATACATATACACGTAATATAACTCAAACATGTTTTTACATATAGTCATTTACTATTGAACTAAAAATATATGTCAAATAATAAAATAGTTGTATATATGGTGCATATCAAAGTTTACATACTTTACAGAATTGGCTATCCATCAACATCAGCAACAAGGATGGTGGTTGGAGCATGTCTTTTCTAACCTACAGTTAGCTGTTTGAATCTCCCTAACCGGCGCCTATTTTTGTGAAAGAAGTGGGCTGGGTGGCTGGGCCATGTCCTGGTTGCTATGGTGGCCCTCTACTTGGAGAGGATCATGATGGGCCTCTAGTTGGCGTGGTATATAGTAATTACTGATTTCCCCAAAACAATGATTTCCAGAACAAAATGGTAAACCGAGAAAACGGTCGGTAGAACAGCAAAACCATTTCTGCCTCCGTTTTTGAATGGCTCTTACCATTTCTAGGGGTGGACACAGCATGGGTTCCTGAGCATTCCCTGCTGCGACCATAGTTATTAGGATCGAATCGGTGGTCTGACCGGAAAAAATCGGAACCAGGGCCTTAGCCGGTCCACCTAAAAGATCGAGTGTGCAATTGAACCGGAATAAACAGGTTGAACTGCTGGTTTTTACATTGAAACTGGTTGAATACAGGACAATAAACCGGCTAAATGGGCCGGTGCACGACGCTGACTCAGCTTGAATGGCACAAGATGGGTATGTGGGAGTGGAAGTGGGAGGGAGGAGAAATTAAGCCAAAAAGGCAGGGCCTGTGCATGGGGAGGTGCGCATCCATGTTGAGGAGGTGCGCATCTACCACTAGGCTATATATAGACTAGTGATTTGATACATATCTTTTTTCCATTTGAACCAGGTTGGACTAGTGGTTCAACCGGCTGGACCAAACAAACCATGAACTGAGGCCTTGACTGGTTCGATGTCTAGTCCGGTCCTAATAACTATGGCTGCGACCAAACCCACTGGTCCACCATTCATACAGGTAGGTGGCAGGGTTGCAGCGTGTGTGTGCAAGCCGGCTCTGGTGTGCATGCCGCTTACTTAAGCTCAGTTGCGCAGGCGTTGGTGCCTCTTGTGTGGTTGTGAGGATGAAGGCAACTTGTGCTTAGTTTAAATATTTCATCTATCATTGCTTCCAATTTTCTAATTTATTTTTATACAATTACAAAGTAATTAAATAGATATTTAAGCATATTTATCAGTTTGTAGGACTATGCTTTCCATTGCTGAATTACTTTCTTCAGTTGTTCTTTTGCATGATTTGATATGTTTATATGCAATTCATGTATAAATCTGGATCCATAAAATGGATTACTTTCACTTCGTTAGCCTTGTGTTTTTTATTTCTCTCGCGCCCCCCTAAATTTCAATTGTGCATTCACCAGTGACCATTTCCGATTCCTAGCGAGCGAATCCATCGGAAATGGTAATTGCCAGAATTGAGCGTCAGTGTGGGAATTTCCGCGACTGTTTTCACCCATAGTCATATATATAGTGTTTATGTAATAAATAATAGCAGTAAATATCCTTGAAGCAATGAAAACTAAATTTATCATATGCATACGAGGCAAAAGGAACATAAACACCTTACTAGCTATAAATGTTTTATAGCAACTATTACCAGCACCAACAAGTAATAAATTAAACTGAGTTACATTCTTGGATTACTAATGCAGAAAAACAACTTATTAGCACGCTGAGCTCTTGTAGGTCTGTAACACATGCCCTGAGCAGTACTCATGCTTTGTAAAATATGTGTCAAATAAATGAACTAAAGAATTCATTCATAGTGCCAGAGGGACCAAATAATTTCACCAATCTTCTTGGTTAGAACTTGTAACAATCCTTAATGTCGCACCAAAATTGCAACCCCGGGGATACTCAGATACTGTAACTGTGATAAAACAATCTTGTAAAAACGTGTTTTGACCTTTTGGAAGTGAAGTTCATCACCCCTAGCAATCTTATCCATCCCCCAACCCAACCTACCAAACTAACACCTCAAAAAGAATTGAAGCAACATCCAAACGAAATGATTTCCCCCCTTCTGTACCATCGATTACCACCATATCACATCGATTCACTTAACCCCTAAATTCGGGACAAAACTGGATGAAACAAAAAAAAATCAATCGGAGGCAAATAAATCCATCCAAAGCCCGAACAAGCTCACCAACCTAATCCACGACGCCTCATCAAGCGATCCGCGGAGGATATGAGATTGAATACCTGCAATCCGATTCGAACCGAGATGATCGATTGATCGCCGTCCTTGCGCCGCACCAAGGGGGATAAGAGCAGGGCAGGGTTCAGGTAAGAGGACGAGGCAGTCCGCACCGTGCCTCCCGGGCCGGTTCGCCGGCGGCGAGAGCGCGCGCGGAGGCGAGGCGAGGCGGCGCGGAGGAGAAGGGCTCGCCGTGTGCCACCGGCGAGGTAGAGAGAGATGGGGGAGGAGTAGACGAGACGAGTAGTGCGATGGATATCGTTTGCCGTTTCGATTGTGAAGGCTCAAGCCGGTGACGTGCGCAGATCACGGACGTTGATTTACTTTCGACGGTCAGGATCTCTCGGCCGTATGCCAGATCAAGGCTTTGTACATGGGGCCGGCCCTCGAGATAGATGGGGCCCATAAGGCCCATCTCCATGTTGGCTTGGCCTGCAGCTAAACGCCGAATTTTTTTTATTTATAATTTTTTTTATTAAAAGTTTTACAAAAATAATTTTCCATTTTGAAAATTGACGGAAATAGTCGCCTACCGCCCTCTGGGAGGGCGATTTTTAAAAATCGCCCTCCCAGAGGGCGGCGAAAATGACGTGGCAGACGGCCGTTCGCTCTCGGGCGACGGCCGTCAACGAAATTTGCAGGCGGCCCCTTGCCGCCCTCCGCGAGGGCGATTTTGTACTGTGCGGGGGGCCGCCTGCAAATGGGCGGCGAGGGGGGGCATGGAAATTTGCAGGAGGCCCCCTTGCCACCCTCCGCGAGGGCGATTTTGCACTGTGCGGGGGCCCGCCTGCAAATGGGCGGCGAGGGGGCATGGAATTTTGCAGGCGGCCCCCTTGCCGCCCTGGGGGAGGGCGATTTTGTACTGTGCTCTATATTTTTTTTATATAAATATCAATAGTTATCAAATCTTTTTATATTGAAAACTATACAAGATTAAAATCTCCAAGATTGGTAAAATACAATTTTATTATTTTTTAGGGCATATTTGGAATGTTACCGTACAAATATTTTGTTAATGCCAAAATATAAGCAAGTTTTGGCACTACCAAATATTTGGTAAGGTAAAATTGCATTTGATCATATTTGGTTTGCTGCCAAAATGTAAAATTGTAGTGAAGAATGTTGTACATAATCTCAATTCTAGATTACGTATTACCAATTAATAGGCTTCCATTTTCGTGTGTGGTGTGGTAGTGGGAAAGAAGATATGAAGAGGTTGCCTTCAGATTGTCAATTATATAGCGTCGTTTTCACTGCAATATATGTGAACTCAATGAGATACATTATTCATTAGATGTGACAAGACGATCACGCGTGGGCGTGATTCACTTTATGTCAACAGGCAGCGCCGAAAGTTGATAGTGATAACTCGAGCTGCCGCTTTTCATGTGTGCTGTTGTGGACTGTGCGCGCTACTGGATATGGCACTACCGTGAAGCGCCGAAAGTGTGTTGTTGTGAGCATAAGTTGTTCAAGCACCATACGAATGAAAAGAACTACGTAGACGAGACAAACACAAGTAGTACTGCAGTAGTAATAGCAAAAGTAGTACTGCTTTACAAGTTTGTAAGCCAAAAGAAACGGTCACATAAGGACTGAAGAGGTAGAACACTACTGACGAGGCCTCTTACCCCTGTCCCTCCTACCCTGCGCCCTAATGTGCCCCGGGGAGTACGTGAGTCGGTCCGGGGGTACGGCACGGCCAACCCGTCCTGCCTGTACAGGTGTGACCTCTGGCTGCTCCTGAGTGTGCGCCTCTGGAGCTCCTCCAAGCTGAGAGGAGCCTAGTACGTCCTGGTGGTCTGCACCGTGCAAGTCGTCGTCGTAGAACTGGCTAGTAGGACCAGTCCTACCGGCGTGAGACGAAGAGGCCCCAGTACCGAAGATCCCGGCTGCAAATCCTGCTGGACAAGGACCATCAGTTTCGTATAGGTATTTAACAGTATTAATAAAAAGTAAAGTACCGTGTGGGCGAGGGATCGACGCTCCGTGAGAGAAAGAGCTGGCGAACGCGCCTGAAGAGGTGGCGAACGCCCCTGCGGAGCTCGCGGAAGCGCCGGTCGTGCCTGCGAACGCGCTCGAAGGCATACGAGGTCCTGCGATGAGGAAACGTGCAGTTAAAACATGGTGACACATTCGTGCAAAAGCTGAAATAAAAATGAACTAATATCTGGGCTGAACTGTACCGTGCGAAACCGGTGTTGTAGGTCGCACTGCTCCGAAGCTAGGGGCGCTCGAAGACAAACGAGGTCCTGCTCCGACGGTAGGACCGCGAGGCCGTGGGTGTACCGGACCAGCTGGAGGTACGACGTCCACGGCGCTGCGACAGGAGAAGACGCGCATGACCGCACGCATCTTCTCCTGCATCCGGTCGAAAGCATTGTTACACCATGGAATCGCCTGCTGCGCGACGACGCCTTGGCCTTGCGCGCCTGCTTGTTGTTCCTTCACCAGGTGGTCGCCTACCATCACTTGCCTGTCCAGATGGACTAGCATCTGCGCCGCTTGGAACTTCTGCATTCTTCGGGCATGTCTTGTAAGTATGGCCGCGCAGATCACACTTGCTGCAGCGTAAAGTCCTCCCACCTGCTTCTGACTCATCCATATCATTTCTGATGCGTCTAGTTTGGCGTCGACCCTTTTTCACCCTAAACTTAGATGGATCTGGAATATAAAAAACTTGGGCACTCAGCGTTGTGTAAGATCCTGAGATCCCGAACCCATATATCTCCTCACTCCATGTATGAAAGATTGCTTCTTTCCTGAAATAATTTGAGACGTACACATTGGGAGATATGCCACAATCACCGGCAGCAGCAAGAACGTGTGAGCAAGGAAGGTGATGAAGCTTCGGCTTCATACAACTGTAGGTACATCCACCATCCGCCTTCAAGACACATTCCTGCACGGCTTGCTTGCGATAGATACCACGCCTGCTCCTATCAACACACATTATTTCATACCGATGCACTTGTGTGCCTTGAGCAACAACTCTATGTCTCCGTGCCTTTTTGATTTTATCTTCCATGTACTTTGTCACTACGTTGCCAAACACTATGTTGTTATCGGCCATGGACGGACCAATTTTCTTGTATCGATCCCTAAAGTAGGCTTGCGTGCCGTGAAGGATGAATTCAACAATAGCAACCAATGGAAGTACCCGAACTCCTCGCATTACCCAGTTGTACACCTCTGCCAAATTGGTTGTCATTATGCCATACCGAGATCCATCGGTGTCGAACAATAGAGCCCACTTCTCCTTAGGCTCATTCTCAATCCACTGAGAGAAATTTCTGATGGCCGACCCTGACCTCCTTCTCATTGTTGGTGGGTCATCATGTAATGCACCAAGAGGTATGGGAGGCTCGTCACCTTCAACTTGTGGTCTGCGAGATTGCTCATCTGTTTGCTTCCTTGTCAACTCATCCAACTTGTCCCACAACTCATTAAATTTCTTCTCTTGGTTCTGTGCACAGAGCCTCTTAAAGAGCTCCATAAGATGCTTGTTCTTGAATTGCTTGTAGAAATTCGCACCCATGTGACGCATGCACCACCGACTCCGAACATCAGGCCACTTAGCTGGAAGTCCCTTCTCATCCCAACCGTTCTACAAGTAGTCAATAGCCCGCAACATACCCGCATGACGATCATGTATAAGGCAAACGTTGGGCCTCATACGCACCACTGCAATGTGCACTCTCTCTAGGAACCAGTACCAGCTTTCAGTGTTCTCACTCTCTACAAATGCAAAAGCCATAGGTAGAACCTGGTTGTTCCCATCACACCCAATTGCTGTCAATATCTGACCTCGGTATTTACCTGTCATAAAAGTTCCATCTATGCATAGAACAGGTCGACAATGCACAAAAGCATTGATGCAAGCACCCAATGAGAAAAAGGCTCTTTGCAGCACACTCTTTGTTCTATCTTCAACCGATGTAAATGTATGTAGGTCATAGTAAGTATTATTATTCCTCTGGGCAATGGTGGCTAACAAACGAGGCAAATTATCATAACAAGCTTCAAATGTGCCATACCTCATCTCAATGATCTTTTGTTTGGCTCTCCAGGCCTTTGCATAGCTTATGGTGTACTTGAATTTGTTCTCGATGTGCCTAATAATTGATTTTGGTTCAAAGCCAATGTTACCAACAACACTGCTGTACATCTCACTTGCCACAAAAGCTGAAGTGATGTTTCGGTGATACTTCTCCACCCCTTGTAAGTAGCACTTGTGCTCGGTCACAATGCTAACTTTCCAATAATCATTCCATTTACCCTTATATGCATGGACACGCCACGGACAATCTTCCTTCATGCACCTCACTTCATACACATAATTTGTTGACTTGACCACCCTAAACTCTCTCTGCAATGAAACTGCCCAATGCTTCACCGCCTCCTTCATCTCATCCTTATGAGCATACCTTGCACCCTCAATTACCTCGTACTCCTTATACTCCCAGGGTACATGATCACCCTCTGATATAACAAGACCAGAGAAGTCTCATTTGCCAATCAGTGGCATTACATCACCTTCCTCATCGGATGATGCGTCGTCCTCCGCTTGCTCATTATCCGAATCTTCCTCTCATTTCATCAACAATTATACCGACTCTTTCCCTCATCCGCCATGCCCATGGCCTGCTCCTCCCTTGGTTGATTTTCCTCATTTTGCATCGATGGTACCAACAACATCCCCTGCATTGCTAGGACCCTCCACATCTTCGGTTTGCATTGAAACATTTGATCTTTCTCTTGTACCGACACAAATATAACGAGGGGCCATGACCGTTCAAAAGCCATTTCCACATACCGTCTCCAAGCAGCAAGGCTGTCCATCGGCATTAGTTCCCAAAAATAACCTTCTATTGCACGACTCACTACAACAGATACTGACATTGTGTAGACTTCTTGGTCTATTCTAAATCCTCTCAACAACCAACTATAAATTGACTGAAATGTTCTCTCCGCAGGCCTATCGATGCCCTTAGATGTCATTACAAAATCTGACAGATCAACACCATCTGGACCAAATCTAATATTTCCTTCACCGTGAACTATCTGAAATGTGACCTTACTTGACATTGTGCCTGATGAAAACAATAACTGCGTTAACCTCGCATTTCTGTACTACGCCCTAAGTTACATTCTCTACAATATTGTTCTCTAAATTTCTAAAAGTAGGTTACATTCTCCAGATCAAACTAAACTACATCTTACAATTAACACTACTGTCTATGTCTCAATTCATACTATTATATTCTATGCTCTGGATCTACACATATGTGCTGTGTGCTACAGATCTGCTAAAATATATGGAACTAAAACTAAAACGCAACATATGTACTCAAACGTAATATATTAGTACAAATGCAAAAGATGTATGGGAGCATACCTGTGATGAAGTGAGCGAACCAGCAGGGCTTCGCCGCTCCCCTTCTGCTGCCCTCCCCTCTCTCTCTCTTTCGTTTTTTTTGGATTTTTAGTGAATATAATGAAATTTCATAGGGGAGGGGCTGGGCTTTATAGGGGGGAGGCAAAAATCGCCCTCCCCCAGGGCGGCAAGGGGGCCGCTGCAAAATTCCATGCCCCCTCGCCGCCATTTGCAGGCGGCCCCCGCACAGTGCAAAATCGCCCTCGCGGAGGCGGCAAGGGGCCGCCTGCAAATTTCCATGCCCCCCCTCGCCGCCCATTTGCAGCGGCCCCCCGCACAGTACAAAATCGCCCTCGCGGAGGGCGGCAAGGGGGCCGCCTGCAAATTTCGTTGACGGCCGTCGCCCGAGAGCGAACGGCCGTCTGCCACGTCATTTTCGCCGCCCTCTGGGAGAGCGATTTTTAAAAATCGCCCTCCCAGAGGGCGGTAGGCGACTATTTCCGTCAATTTTCAAAATGGAAAATTATTTTTGTAAAACTTTTAATAAGAAAAATTATAAATAAAAAAAATTCGCTAAACGCCTATATCAGCGGCTTTCTAGGGTTCCACTCAGATCACGGCCGTTGATTTACTTTCGACGGTCGGGATTTCTCGGCCGTATACTAACTCAAGCTTTGTACATGGGCCCGGCCCTCGAGATAGGTGGGGCCCAAGGCCCATCACCATGTGGGCTTGGCCTGCAGCTAAAACGCCTATATCAGCGGCTTTCTAGGGTTCCACTCGGCGCCGCCGTGTGGGTAGACACGCGGGCGAGGTTGGTTGGCTTGTTCTTTCGTTGATGTGTTCTTGGTTTTGAGTTCTCTTCTCGGTTTTCTCTTTAGCGTTCTTGCTGGGATTTGATGCAGGCATTGAGACATTGATGAACTCATGAGTCTTAGCGTATGATGTTTTTGTCCTGTTGGAACATGGATTTCCAAGCTTGGATGCCGCGAGACTCGCACAGAAAAAAGTGTTGCCATCACCTCCCTCTCTCTGCTTGAGCACACGAGAATGGAGTCGAATAACAGCACAACATGTCCCATAATGCCCTGAATCTGTCTCATTGTGCGTTCTGCTTACCAGCCACAGTGTTCTTGGTCACTGTTTAAGAGCTGACTCTTCATAAGCTAATCTCTATTTAGTTAGTACATACTGATATGAACTAAGGTTTCCAGATGCTAAACAGTTCATTTTATATTTTATGATTTTTGCTAAACTCTTCCTCTGATAAGGCGCATGAAAAAACATAAATCACTAGAGACATCTGTGTGTGAGAATTTTATTCAACTGCATCTTCATGTGGAGGGAACATTGATCACAAGTTTTACAATATGGAGTTTACTTGAAGTACAGTTCTACAAGTTTCTTCAGGGTGTCAAACACACTTGTGAATGGGTTGAATGCAACAGGTGCACTCAGCTTCAGGTCTGGGAACTGATTCGTCAAAGCCTCAGTCATCCCAGGCATTGACATCATCAGACCAAGCTGGTCCGTGGACATCACCTCGCAATCCTGTGGGGTGTCCTTGATCTTGCTCGGATCATAACCGAAGTTGGCAGCGTAGGACTTGTACTTCTCGATGAATTCTGGTCCAGGATTAGGTGTTCTTGAGTATATCTGATGCATTGCCGAGAGACGACACAATGTTATGATATTTCAGTTTACAAAATGCGTCAGAATAGGCATATGAAGGTAAGGAATATTGGCTTGATTTCTCAGTGTTCAAGTCCTTGCTTAACCCTATGTTGTCTCTATTTGACACTATATTTGGTTCATGGAACAGCTTACGTAACTAGATTGATCTTTCAATATGCAGAATAAGCATGCAGAGGGCTAAGAAATAGTGGTCATTTGCAGTTCAGAGATCAGTTTCTGACCTGGATAAAGCTTGTGTCTTTAGCACCAGACACAACGGCGTAATTGTCATAATCGGTTGCAAGCACATCATAAGGTTCCTTGGGTATGAATGGTAGTGTGGGGAAACGGAGAAAGCATTTCCCCTTGATCATCTCCTGCCTTTCAAGATCTGTCTCAGCACTCGCCATGTCCTCTTCGGACAGGCATTGCACCCTTCCCCGAATACCGGTGATGTAACCATCAGGTCCACCATGAACACAGAATGTGTCCACCTGGATTGAGCGTGATTTCTCATCAAATGAATACACCCCCTGCAGTACCAACAAATTTCTGTAACAATCTTCTTACACATTATATGGTGCAAATGGCATAGAAAAAATAGCATGCCTGTGATAACCTATTCCAAATCAGTTTGATACAAAGATGTCAGATATCGGTGTTTTCAGGAATCAGGATTCAGAGGTACATATTGCTGGGGCATCATACAGATTAAGATCTACTAGTATTTGTGTGTGAGGATTCTGGCACTACAATACCTGAGTACAGTGACAGTCCTCTTGTCCCTGACCAGCAAAGCCACGTTTCAGCGATGCTACTTCGAACCATCTACCAGAGTAGCGAATTGGGTCAAAGTTCTTGGCAGTCATACCCTTCATCATCAAACCTGTGCCGCCATCATCAGAAGGGCTATCGAATTTCAGAGGAACCGCAGCCTTGTCGATGGCTGCTACCACAGCAACCTGGCACAATTTTGGCTGTACAAAGGTCTCTGCAGGGATAGCCTGGTCAACTATGAGAGATTAAGAGTACATCGATACCATGTTACAAGCCTGAACTGGTAATCTCACTCCATTTTCCCTCTTCTCTTAATTGAAATTAACAAGTTTTATGTATCCAATCAAAATTGCAGCAGTAAAATTCTCTCAATCCTCAACAGTAAAAATATCTTTTCTTAAAAAAAACTGTTCTTGCTTAGTGATCCCGAGGTTATCTCTTTGAATTACGCCGTGTTTAGTTCCAAAGTTTTTCTTCAAACTACCAACTTTTCCATCACATCAAAACTTTCCTACACACACAAACTTCCAACTTTTCCGTCACATCGTTCCAATTTCAACCAAACTTCCAATTTTGGTGTGAACTAAACACAGCCTTAGTGTATATACATCTGACAATAAGTTAACATTTATAGGTACCTGACAAGGTGGAGAGATGAAAACAAGCGAAGCAGCAAGGCATGAGAGCAATTTTGTGGATAATACTCCATGAGCATTCAGTGGCACCTTGTCATGCAGAGAGCATCTGAAATTATTTCGTCCAGCGGGTCTGCATTTTCTCCTACCAATAAGAAGATTACTTATCAGCATTTTCATCCAGGTACTGTACTAACCTGACTCCTCCTACGTGCCATCACTGAATGTGGAATATGACTTTGACATCAAGAATGTTACCCAAAATACATGCCTGCTTCGAACAGTGAATACAATAGAACAGCACCTGATCTAGCCTTATACAACTTTGATCCAAGAAAAATCAACTGCGTGTTGCTGCCACTGGCGCTTGTTACCTGGAAGAGCAAGCAGGGTGTGGCGCCGCAAGAGAAGAAGAGGAGGAGCCCAACAGCAGAGCGAGAACCATGGCTTCCTCCCGCCGCCGCCGTCGCCGTCGTCTCCCACTGTCTTAGGCCGAGTAAACCGTTTTCTCGAGATTACGCGGTTGCAGCTTCTTGAGTGGTTTTTGGCTTTCGATGTCTGCAGGTGCGGGAGAGAGAGAGAGGAGCCGAATTGCTGGAGACCGATGATTCTGGGCAGAGGCAGAAGCGCATCCAGTGCCGTCCAATGGGAGGCGCCCACGTGGGCAATCTCCCTGTATCACCTGCGGGCCGTTAGCTGGGCCAGGGCCTTGCACAAAGGGAAAAAGTACACCGAAGGTCCCTCAACTTGTCATTGAGTTACAAAATCGTCCCCCAGCTGCAAAAACAGATATAGAACATCCTTCAACTTACAAAACCGTTCACTTTAGGTCTTTCGGATGTTTTGACCCCGGTTTTGTCTGACGTGGCGGCTGAGTCAGCGTGGGACGCATGTGGGCCCCACATGTCAGGGTGTCCGCCTTAGCACCCTTTCTCTTTCCCCAATTCTCTACCTTTCTCCTCTCTCTCTCCTCTCCTCTCTGCAGGGCAACGGCGGGTGGGGAGGAGGTCATTAGGGTGAGGTGGGAGAGGCTCGCGGCGGTGGTTGCGACACTGGAGAAGGGAGGCGGCTCGCGGCGGCTGCCGACGACATGGCGGTGGCAGGAGAAGGGAGAGCATCATCGCGCGTGCGACCTCAGGGTTGCACCGTCGAAAAGGCTCGAGAGGCGGGCGCGGCCGATGGGGGAGGAGCTTGGCGCAACTAGCAGGGGAGGAGTTGCAATTCCTGGGCGTGGTAGGGATCTACGGGGAGGCGGCGTCCATCCTCCGCACCCACCGCCCGCATCGCCGCCGCCTTCGTCCTCCCGCTCTTCCTCCTCTTCCTCGTCCACATCGCCATCTCCCACGCCCTCTTCTCCCACATCGACTCCGACGACTCCGCCTTCGACTCCGCCGCCCCCTGCACCCACGCCCAACGCCATCTCCTCCACCGCCTCGCCAACGACTGGTTCGCCCTCCTCCTCTTCAAGGCTGCCAACCTCTTCGCCATCCTCTTCAAGGCCGACCATGCAACTCGCAGAAGGGTACCGTCGGGTTTGCATTTGAATAGGATACCTTTTCTCTTTTGGATACACAACGAGATCGGCCGCGCTGGCGAGGAGCTCGCCAGAGCGCCACTACCGCCGCCGCCGCCGATGCCTTGCTCCCCTGCTCCCGTGTCGTCGCCGGCCACCGGACCTCCTCTCCCGCCTCGCCCCATCGGTCTCCTCCCTACCTGGTGGTCGGCCTGCCCAGAGCCCAAGAGAGAAGAGTGAGAGAGAGAGAGAGAGGAGGAAGGGAGAGAAGAGGGGAAAGAGAGAGAGAGAGAGAGATGAGGCTAATGTGGACGCGCTGACATGTGGTCAAAGCGCCACATAGGATAAAACCGGGATCAAAACTACCTGAGGTGACCTATTTGTAACCTGATTTTGATCTAGTTAATGTGGACGTCTGGATATCTTGGTTTATGCGGTTTTGAGTGAGCGATTTTTAACTCGATGACAAATTTGAGGGACCTTCGGTGTACTTTTTCCTTGCACAAAGCATGAGCTACTCTGCGCCCATAGAGCCCGGGCTATTTCAAAAGGGAACAAATTTACTCTAGATTTTATTTTCAAACAAAAATAATAATTCTATTTTCAACAAACTTTTTTAAAAAAACTCCATTTTCAACAATTTTCATATCAAACTTATTTCTTGGGTTTGTATTCTTTTTTTTAAGAATCACTAGAATTGAAATTGGAAGTGCTTGCTTTAAAGTTGTTTTTTTTAAAAAAAAATAAAGTGTCAAAAATTACCTATTCTTACTTAAAACCGACGAGCACTCGTGAATGCAATGTTAATTTTAGTGCATATGCATACTAGAGTTAACTTCTCCATCTCAAAATAAATGTAGTTTCTTTTAAAAAAAAAAATAATCTCCTTCTCCAAATCGAACCAACTCAAGGAAGGGTGAATTCAGGGGCTGTCGTTGACAGAAGTGGCTATCTCCGTGGTGTCATAGTGTGCTATCCATGATGTACCTTTGATCCGTTGCATGATAATCCTTTTACACAGAACTCTTGGATAACTATTGTCGACTTTTCCATTGATAAAAATTGTTGGGCATCGTGAAGCAGGGTTTCTAGCTGCTTCACCGGCCAAAAAAATGGATTAGATATCGCAGCTTTTTTTCTGCTAGAAAAATAATTTCCGGTAGCCAATATCCAACCCCTTCCATTTTAATACCATCAATATATTAAATGGTATGATGTTAGTCTATTAAACCTACATACTCATTAAGCATATTGTGCAGGTTATAAAATTGTAAGCGTGCCAATAGTCACGCTCTTCTAGTAATTATATATTGCATTGTTGAAGTGTGGAGTTTTTTTTTTCCAAGTGTACCTTAAAAAAGTTCTATACTGCATTGTTGTTAGTATCTCTGCACGGGACCTCTTCTTGAGATCTGCCAGCGAGGAGCGCGCGGAGAGCTCATTTCTGTGGGTCAAGAGCTCATTTATGTGGGTCGAATCTGTTTCCAACCTGGTAACGTTTATAAAATCTACGTACAAGGACACTTTGTTTGGACTAATGCGTCCACGCAGGTGAACACTTTTTCGGTTTGATCGCTGCAACCTATAAATATGAATATGACTCCTTTCCGGATCCATGCTAGGTTTATTTTTTTCATAAACTAGGACGGAGAGAGTAAATTGACGTGTGGTATCCACGTGAAGACGGTCTCAATCTCACATGTTATCTGTCCTTTTTTTTTAACTTGACATGTTATCTCACATGTTATCTGCAGGTGAACACGGAGGTTTATTTTTTATTTGATATTTTAAAGCAACTTCTTACCAGAAATTTAGCACTTTATAAAAATGTGGTAACAGAAATCGAGGTGAAATCTGCATCTTAATTAGAAAAAAAAAGGACCTAGATTTTTTTTATTAAGATTCAGATTTTTACCTCGGTTTTCGTTAGCACATTTTTCAAACTACTAAACGGTGGTGTTCCGTGCGAAAGTTTCAAACAAGCTGGGCAAACCCGCCGACGAAGGAAGCGAGCTCAATGTTGTTTTTCATCCTGTTAATGTGATGTACCTTTGTTCCGCTTGTCATCTAAATAGCTACTCCTTCCGTTCCACAAAATGACATTTTAGCTTCTTTATCTCTTTTCTAAATTTACTAAAAACTCATATATAAATCTAAACACATATATAGAGCATATACATATGTCTATGTATAAATTTATTTAAAAGCAAAACATCTAGCATTGTGAAAACCGAGGAAATATATTTTTTTAGAAAAAAAGAAAAACAGACAAGGTTAGTGGAGTAATTTAGCAGCCTCCATCCAGCATCTTCCCTCCGGACTCCCGTCTCCAAAGCAAGCGCCACAACTCGACCCTCTTTGCACGGTTCTCTCAAGCATTCACCCCCAATACCTGAGCGCTCCACCTTCGTGCCCCCGACTGCCGACGCCGCAGAAGCACGTACGGCCTTGGGTAAGTCGTAACGTACGTATCCACTCTCCTCTAACAGCAGCCACGAATCAACAATAGCTGAATACCACTGTCATATTACTGTTCATTCGATTGCATTTGAGTGAGAATTAATGGTTCGTCTTCTCGATTTTGCATGCAGCATCTTGGACTGAAGCGCAACCGCGCGCATCGGATCGATGGATTCCACCGTGAGCACGGCACGGTGGGTGGTGGGCAAGGCCCTCGGCCCCGTCTCGGACGGCTTGGTGGAGGCGTGGGCGGCCAGCCGGGAGCTCGGACCCAACGTGGACGCCCTCAAGATGGAGCTGCTCTACGCGCAGGGGGTGCTCGACAACGCGCAGGGCAAAGACATACGCAGCCCTGCGCTCAAGGAGCTCCTCCAGAAGCTGCGAGACCTGGCGTTCGACGCTGACGACGTGCTGGACGAGCTCGACTACTTCCGCATCCAGGACGAGCTCGACGGCACCTACCACGCCGCCGATGAGCACGCCGGCGGTTGCGCCCGCAACCTCTTCCTCAATGTCACCCACACTGCCAAAGCTGCCAGCAAACGGCTGGGATTCTCTAAATGCTCCTGTGCTGCTGCTGCTGATAATGGTAGTCACACCTATCCAAGATCAGAACAAGGTGCGCAAGGACGTGGCCTCTGCTGTGGTTGGTCATACAACGACCATGACAGTGAGGAGGAGGAGGAGGCCACCGGCGGCGGCATCCGCAAGCTTGCTTCCGGTGCTCGCAACACCATCCATGCTGTCGGTAAACGCCTCCATTGCTCATCTTTTCCAGCTGTTGTTGATGATGATTCTAGCGTTTCAATCTGTTGTGGTGCTTGCATGCACAAGCCACCACAACAGAGAAAGGATGTGATCAAAGAAACGCCAAAGTTGAAGATTGACAGAGTGGGTCTGTCTATAAGAATGAAGGATGTTGTCGACCAACTGCAGCTCGTGTGTGCAAAGGTCACCACTATTCTTAATCTAGAGATACACCATTCTATCCGTAGCACTGATTCCAGTACTGCGAGCAATCGTCCCATCACCACACCTACAAGTATAGAGCCTAAACTGTATGGGAGGGATGATACAGCGAAGAGCATAATAGATTATATAACCCAAGGTACAGACTGCGGCAAGGACTTGACTGTCTTGCCGATTGTTGGCCCAGGAGGCATAGGGAAGACAACTCTCATACAATACATATATAAAAGCCTTGAAGTGCAAAACCATTTCCAGGTCAAGGTCTGGATATGTGTTTCTCAAAATTTCAGTGTTGATAAGCTCATAGAAGAGATCAAACAATATGTCCCTAAAGTGGATGGTGAAAAAGATGGTAGACCAGAAGAGCTAATTGAACAAAGATTGAAGTCTAAAAGATTTTTATTGATATTGGATGATATTTGGAAGTGTCAAAGTGATGATTGGAAAAAGCTTTTACTTCCACTAACAAAAGGACAGACAAAGGGTAACATAATTCTAGTCACAACTCGGTTTCCGGTTGTAGCAGAAATGGTTAAAACAATGGATAACTCAGTAGATTTGGAAGGTTTGGACCCTGGAGCGTTTAGGGATTTATTCCTAGCATATGTATTTGGTGATAAGCTACCAAGAGACGTCCATAAAGACTTACTTGTGATCGGAGATAAGATTGCAGGAAAACTAAAAGGTTCCCCTCTTGCAGCAAAAACAGTAGGTCGACTATTGAGGAACCACTTTGATCAATATCATTGGAACAGAGTCCTAGAAAGTAGAGAATGGGAAATGGAAACCAGCAATCATGACATTATGCCTGCATTGCAGCTTAGTTATGATTATCTACCTTTTCATCTGCAACAATGTTTTTTCTATTGTGCTTTGTTTCCTGAAGATTACAAGTTTGACACAAAAGAACTTACTTGCTTTTGGATAGGACTAGATATTTTACATTCTGAATATCAGAATAAAACAAATGATGATATAGCTTTGAACAATTTAAATGATTTGGTCAGCCATGGATTTTTCAAAAAAGATGAAACCGATGGGCATCCATGCTATATTATTCATGACCTGCTACATAATTTAGCAGCGAAGGTTGCATCTCGTGAGTGTGTTAGTTTACATTATTCTAATGTGAGATCAGTGGAAATTTGGCCTTCCATTCGTCACTTGTCTATCAATACAGATGGTGTGGATGATAGTGATGGAATGAACAATGAAAGCTTTAGGAACATATTACAAAAACTAAAGACAAGAGTAAAGGTTGAAAACTTGCAAACTGTGATGATATTTGGGGAACTAGATGAAAGTTTTGCTGAAAGTTTTCATGATTTGTTCAAGGAAGCAAGTGCTCTCCGTGTTCTACATTTGCCCAAAATGTCATTTCCTGTGGGGTTCATTTTTAATAAATTCTCGACACTAGTCCATCTACGCTACATAAGGCTAGGGGCACCACGTCGAAGTAAAACTCATTTAACAAGTGCCCTTTCTAGATTTTATCATTTGAGGATTCTAGATCTAGAAGCATGGGATGGTTGTCTCGATTTGCCTAGAGACTTTAGCAATCTTTCAAAGTTATGCCATTTTCTTACGAAACATGATAAGCTTCACTTTGCTATTTGCGATGTGGGAAAACTACAGTTTTTACAAGAGTTAGAAAGATTTGAAGTCAATAAAGAGGAAAAAAGTTTTGAACTAAAGCAACTAGGTCATTTGATGGAGCTAAGAAGACTTGGTATTTATAACCTTGAGAGAATAGACACAAAAGAAGCAGCGGCAGAAGCAAAACTTTTTGATAAGAACCACTTACTGAAGTTGGCATTAAGTTGGGACAAATGCCAAGCAAGTAGGTATCCTGACAAAGAAGATCAAGTACTTGAGAACCTTCGACCATGTAACAACCTCAAAGAGCTATTCATCATTGAACATGGAGGATCTACTTGCCCATCATGGCTAGGTGCAGAGCTCTCTGTGAAATCCTTGGAGACTCTTCATCTTTCCAATGTAACATGGAAAAACTTACCGCCGATAGGGGAGGTGTGTTTGGTAAACGGACTTGGTGAAGATCAATTTGTTAGCTGCAACACAGGACAAAGCTTTCAGAACTTGAAAAGGCTAGAACTTGTCGGGTTGCCTAATTTGAGAAAGTGGACGGCAAAAGAAGTCCCGATGTTCTCACTTATAGAAGTGCTCATCGTAAAGAATTGCAATGAGGTAATAGAATTACCATTTTCATATTGTACTTATTGCCCATCAGAAGGATATGAGAATTTGTTTCCTAGGCTAAGAGAGGTTGAAATTGAGAATTGTCCACAACTAAGAATGCCTCCTATGCCTTACACGCAAACCTTGTGCTTTGTATACATAAAGGATGTAGGGACAAGGTTGAAAAAATTACACTACATGAGCACATACAGCTTGAGGATTGTAGGAAAGACAGATCTAAATGGCTTAGATGACAAGATTCTGGCTTTCTATAATTTAACCCAACTACAAGAGTTGATGATCAATAATTGCCCACCTTTGGCGGGGTGTTACCTTCAAATGTTGACTTCACTGAAGATACTCAGACTTGATAGTTCAAGTGTCGTGTTCCATCTGTCAGAAAGTTTGAGTGACTATAAGTGGCAAGTTCCAGTTGAGTACCTATCTATTTCTAGCTACCATGGAAGTGGGAAAGCATTGTCACAGCTTCTCTCTCATCTCCCAAAGCTCTCAGAGTTGTATCTTATGAACTGCAACAAGATTACACGGATGTGTATAGCTGTAGAACAGCAGCAAACAACTGCTGTTGAGCTGGAGGATACACAAGCAGTCGAATCTATTCAGCAGCAGCAAGTAGCAGAGGATCTGGTGGAGGAAGAGGGAGTGGTACCCCAGCTAGCCATGGATCAAGAAGATGACGATGGGATGCTGATCTTCCCAGCACACCTCTCCAACTCTCTACAACAACTAATTCTCTACAGATGCCCGGAGCTTATCTTAGATGTTGCTCGTCCTGCTCTTCCCACCAGCCACGAGGATGAGACAGGAGGATGGGGGCTCCAATCCCTGCGCTCCCTCCAGAGACTACGGGCTTGTTTGGTTGGTGACCTGACTGACTTGTCTGAGAAAAATCCATGCCTGTGTGGTAGAAAAGCTGTGTTTTATTGTGCCTGATTAGGCATGTGTGATGTTTTGTTGTTTGGTTGAAAACCTACGCCTGAGTGAATATATTATATATAAACATTTTGTTTACTTGAGTAAGATGTTGACAAGTGTTGATAACAGTCATATCAATGAAGAATCAATGGGGGAGGATTAGACACATACCCACGCCTGACTCAGGCGTTCATTTTTGGTGGCCTGAGTCCGGCACCCTTGCCGGAGCATAGACACCGTTCAGGGAAGCAACCAAACACTACTACTTACTGCTCTGGCTAGCTCCAGGCCAGGCAAATACTCGCCAGGGCAGCAACCAAACACGCCCTACAAATCACAAAATGCCCCAAGTTTCTCTCCGCCTACGAGGCCCCAGGCTGCCCTTTCCCGTCCTCCCTGCAATGCCTCAAGATTGCTGGCTGTAAGGAGGGCGTGCAGACCCTGGATTTCATCTCAAACCTCAACTTCCTCACAGAACTACACATCGATGATTGTGGGGAGGATTTGAGATGCGAGGGTCTGTGGCCTCTCCTCACCCAGGGTCAGCTCAGCGAATTAGATGTCTTTGGAACACCCAGATTCTTTGCTGGTTTGGATCCCATACTCGGGGGGCTGCAGGACGGACAAGAGCAGCAGCTTCCTCCTCCTCTTCAGTGTTCCTCCAAGCTGCAGGAGCTCAGGACGGATGACTTCGCAGGTGTCCTCGTGAAGCCCATCTGCTTGCTCCTCTCTTCCTCCCTCACCGAACTACGCCTTGGATGGAACGACGAGGTGGAGCGCTTCATGAAGGAGCAAGAGGAGGCCCTTCAGCTCCTCACCTCTCTCCGGGACCTCCAATTTTTGAGATGCAGTAAGTTGCAGTGCCTCCCTGCGGGGCTACATAGACTTACCAGCCTCAAGAGATTAAAGATCATCGGCTGTCCATCCATCCGGTCGCTGCCCAAGGGTGGCCTCCCCAGTTCACTGCAAGAACTAGATGTCGGATACTGCAACAACGAGAAGCTCAAACAGCGGTGCAGGAAGCTAAAGGGAACCATCCCAAAAATCATACTAGACTAACAAAGGTAACAAATGCTTCCTTGTTCCCTCTACCTAGTAAGTCCCATGGCATCATCTGTTGGGGTTTTGATGTAGTACTTACTACACAATCTGATTAAATGTTTGTTTTTTGCAATCTGTCATGCAGGGCACTGCCTTCAAGTTGTACATTCCTGTAGCCTTGTAGAACTTCACAATCTATCCATGCACTGTTCCCCAACATGTGGATCTCATGTGATATCCTCTACCTGTACATAGATCTTGTAAGTAAACGTTGAATGGAACTTGACTCCTGATGTACCATATCCTTGCCTAGATATTCCCAGAAAACTTTTTAAAACCCATATATAAGAAACAGCTGTCATATAGGTCTGATCCCTGTCATGAACAAGTTGCTGCTTGTTGTAAGCTTGTCTTTGATTAAACATGAATATATCTTATGCTTCAAGGTAGCATAGTGTTTTTCTTACGGGCTGTGTATTTAGGGAATGGTTATGGTTAATTAGTTGATGCAAACTATTTCCATTATCTAAAAAATGGTATTACATAGTTGCATAATCTTGTAAATTTACTTAAGCAGTGAGATGTCCCAAATATTTTAATTCCTATCAAACAGATGCACTAAGACGACCTGTTTCTAATTTTTCCTCTTTAGTAATGGATGTTTCCAATTTTTCCTCCGTAGTAATGGAAGTAATAAGAATAGATATTTAAAATCATTTTTGAGATTTTCTTATAAGTTGCAAATACTAATTTAATCCACAGTTAATGCCATTTCAGAGTTATGTGGCAATCAGATTACTCACCGGTGTTTTGGGGTTTGTTGCGCAGGTGTTCTTATGTGAGTTCCAGTAGACTTCTTAATACTTTGGGTGCATATTTCTGGTCGTCACTCCTGAAGACTTTAGTGGTGTTTAGCTAGTTGAATTGGCATACATTATGGATCAAAATACCATCATGGCTTATTGGCTTAATAACTGTGGAAAATGATAAGTTTGCAGTGTTCTGCAACTGATATTAAGGTTTGCATTTATTTTTGCTCCAGCTCTATATTTGCTACCATAAAATGTGTTCTAGCAGCATTTAAGTTCTTACTTACCATTTCTTAGAGAAATTTAATGGCATCACAATAATAGCATCAAATCACATTAGTCCATCATGGAGTCCCTTCAGACTCAGGCTAATATTCTGCTCAACATGTTCCTATGAAGATTAATATGAACTGATGTACGGTTCCAAACTTTCAGATTTAGATCTGATTATTGGATTGCAAGACAGATGTGGCAGAAACACATCTTTGGAAACCAACAATGTGGCAGTTACATGCTTGAAGGTATAACTCCCATAGTCTCATCTCGAATGGTACGCAGTCTTGAACATTTGCATTTCAAATGATGGCAATGCTTCGATGCTACTGCTTTGAGTTGACCAGAGCATTCCAGAGCACAACATAACATATGTCAGGAGATCTTATTTTTCATGTTTGGACTATAAATAGACTACCATTTGATCCCCCTGTGTTGCTAATTTTATACCATTCCTGGAAAATGTGTATATCATTTTCTTTGCTCGATCTAGTAAACACCGTTGGAAAATGTTCTTCTCCTCATCTCCATTTTCTGAACATTGAGTTATGTGATTACTTAATGGCCTTCTCATTGCTTTCCATGTAAAAGTAATTTGATTTTTGTTCTGTCCACTAAATAAGGATGCCAGTATTCAACAAGCTGCCCACTTGCAACCTCAGTGTTTTGATTACGATGAATTTCCAGCGTTTTGATATTTGCTTTTGGCTTTAATTTTTGCCACCCATACAAGGTTTTGAGCATTAGTCATAGCTATTGTTGCTTAACATAATTTAATGGTGAACAGGGCCTTCACAAGAATAACCATCTTATCATGTCAGTGTATCATGGAGTCCCTTCAGATTTCAGTCTATTATTATGCTCAATAGGTTCTTATGGAAGGTACTTTTGTAATTGTTTTATGTTCCATTTGCAGAGAAGTAGAAATATGAACTGATATGTGGTTCCCAAACTTTCAGATTCATAAGTATGACTTTTGAATTGCTTGCTAGTTGTGCGCTGTAGTACGCTAGCACAGCTTTGAAAGTGAATAGCGTGGCAATAAACAGGCCTGATAGCTGCCATAGACTCAATGTGTGTTCAAGTGCCAAGTAGTCCTGGACACTATTTGCACTTCAAATTATATGAATGCTTTCATGTTATTGAACAGACCATAATTTTCCGCTGCAGCGTTGTACAGGTTAGGAGGACTACTTATTCATGTTACAAGTATCATTGTATTATTCTTATCTTTATATCGGGTTATGTGGCTACTTAATTGTTTCTCATTGCTTTGCATCACAACGTTCAATTTTGTATTAGGAGTCTTTGGAACACCCAGATTCTTTGCTGGTTTGGATCCCATACTCGGGGGGCTGCAGGACGGACAAGAGCAGCAGCTTTCTCCTCTTCAGTGTTCCTCCAAGCTGCAGGAGCTTCATACGGATGACTTCGCAGGTGTCCACGTGAAGCCCATCTGCAGACTCCTCTCTTCCTCCCTCACCAAGCTAGTCCTTGGATGGAACGACGAGGTGGAGCGTTTCACGAAGGAGCAAGAGGAGGCACTTCAGCTTCTCATCTCCCTCCAGGACCTCCATTTTTGGGGATGCACTAATCTGCAGTGCCTCCCTGCGGGGCTACATAGACTTACCAGCCTCAAGAGATTAGAGATCATCGGCTGTCCATCCATCCGGTCGCTGCCCAAGGGTGGCCTCCCCAGTTCACTGCAAGAACTAGATGTCAGAGCTAGCTGGAACGAGAAGTTCAAACAGCGGTGCAGGAAGCTAAAGGGAACCATCCCAGAAATCATACTAGACTAATAAAGGTAACAAATGCTTCCCTGTTCCCCATACCTAAGTTCCATGGCATCATCTGTTGATCTTGTGCAATATCCTCTTCCTGTACATATATTATGTAAGTAGATGTAGAATGGAACTTCACTCCTGATGTACCATTTCCATGCATGCACAACAAACATTTTTAAAATCCATACTGAAGAAAGAGATGCCAATATGCCATATAGGTATCCCACCTGTCATGAATTGTTGCTGTTGTTGTACACTTGCCTTTGATTAAAAACGAATATATCTTAATCTTATGCTTTAAGGTTGCATGGTTTTTCAGTACCATCAGTGTATTTAGGGAATCGTTATGGTTAGTTGATGTAAACCATTTCTGTTATGTGAAAAAATGTTCATGGTTAGTTGCATAATCCTGTAAATTCACTTGTGCTGTAAGATGTTCCAAACACTATATCAAACAGATGCACTAAGTTGACCAGTTTCCAATTTTTACTCTTTAGTAGTGGAATTAGTGAGAACAGGTAACTTAAATCATTTTGGAGATTTTTTTCTCATAAGATTCAAATACTAATTTAATCCATAGTTAATGCCATTTCAGAGTTATGTTGCAATCAGATTACTCACCATTGTTTTGGGAGTTTGTTGTGCAGGTGTTCTTTTGTGAGTTCCAGTAGGCTTCTTAATACTTCGGTTGTATTATATTTTGGTCATCACTCCTGAAGAACCAGTGGTGTTCAGCTAGTTGCACTGACATACATTATGGATCAAAATATCATCACGGCATAATAATGGTGGAACATGGTAAATTCCAGTGCTCTGCAACTGATATTGTTTTTCACTCCAGTGGTACGTTTGCTACTATAAAAGGTGTTCTAACATTGTTTAATTTATTAGTTACCATTTCTTAGTGAAATTTAATGGCGTACCGGACCGTCACAAGAAAACCCAATCAAATCATATCAGTGCATCATGGAGTCCCTTCAGACTCTGGCTAGTATTATGCTCAACATGTTCTCATGAAACAGTAGTTGTATAACTATTTTTATGTTCTCCTTGTGAAAAAGTAGTAATATGAACTGACGTATGGTTCCAAACTTTCAGATTCAGAACTACGATTATTGGATTGCTAGATAGTGCGGCAGCGGCACAGCTTTGGAAACCAACAGTGTGGCAAACTGGCAGTTACATGCTTGAAGGTTTTAGTTCCCATACTCTCAGTGTTCTCAAATGGTATGCAGTCTTGAACATTTGCATTTCGGAAGATGGGTATGCTTCTGTGTTACTGCTTAGGTATTTAGCTAACCAGATATTCCAGCAAAGCAGAACAGATTTCAGGAGTATTTATTTTTCATGTTTGAGCTATAAATAGACTACTATTTGATCCACCTGTGACGCTAATTTATACCATTCCTGGGAGTTGTTAAGTATGTCATTTTGTTTCCTTGATGGTCGATCTAGTAAACACCGTTGGAAAATGTTTTCCTCCTTTAGTTCATGTTGTTTTATCTTAAAACTTCAGAACATCTCCAATTTCTGAACATGTACAGTACTGATATTTGAAGTAAAATTGTGTATTTTTTATCTATTTTTTGGAAACATTCCACCCTCTTATCACTGGATGAATATTACAAACAAGGGAACAAACTGTACAATGGCAAGACAAGTGAACGACACGATGGTCAAAAGAAGAGAAGAAAAACTAGTGTGCCTAGCACACTCTTGAAGCGCAATTGAACCTCTGTAACTCCGGTCTGTCGGCTTCTTCATATTGAGTTGTACGGTTACTTAATTGCCTTCTCACTGATGTCCATGTCAAAGTAATTCATTTTTTTTGTTATGTCCACTAAATCAGGATGCACAGTATTTAACGTGCTGCCCAACTTCATACTTGCAATCTCGCTTAACTAGTGACAGAATGGTAACATTGTAAGTGCCTCACTACTATTAATCTTCTTCCTTTACAATTAGATGCATACTGTTGGAAGTTAATGTCAAATTATATTATTACAATGATACTTCAGTTCTGTATATCATCTCCTTGGAATCCCCATGTCCTCACAAAAAGTGTGATTGGTTCAGGCAGTCTTCTTCTACTGACAGAGGCATGAAAATGGTACTTTCTGGTGGATGCAACTTTATCTGTTCAAAATGCTAATGTGTCAATGGTAGACGTAATTTTTGGACCACAGGTTGTAAAATCAGTTCTGAATCTCCTAGGACCTTGATGTCTTGGTTGCAGCCTCTGCAAGCTACAAATCTCTTCCCTTGTGCTATCCTCAATGACTTGCTCTTCATTTTGTTCATCCATTTATGCAGTGAACCAAAGCGCCTTAGATTAGACTGTTTGCACTCTATTACCGGGAATTGTTGCAGCGAACTTCCAAACAGGTATCCTAAATCATTATTTGACATTTTTTCTCAAAGTTTGCAAATACTAATTTGATCCACAGTTATTGTCATTTCATAGTAACTTCTCATTGAGATTACACACTATTGTTTTGGGGTTTTTTCGGCAGGTTGTCACTTATGAGGAATTAGTAGTGTTTGGCTAGTCATGGCATAACAACTGTGGAAAACAATGAGTGTTCAGTGTTTTGCTACTTGGATTAAGGTTTGCAGTTCTCTTGCTCCAGTGCTATATTTCTGACACATACAAGGTGTACTAGAATCCTTCATTCTTATAGTTATGTTGCTTAACGAAATTTACTGGTGTACAGAACACTCACAAGAATAGCCATTACATCATATTAGTTCATTGTGGAGTCCCTTCAGATCTCAGGTTAATATTATATGGAACGCGTTAATATGAGAGGTACGTCTTTAGCTGTTTTATGTTCTACTCACGAAAAAGTAGTAATATGAAGATATGTATGGTTTTTAACTTTCAGATTCATAACTATGATTGTTGGATTGCTTGATATGTATCGATATATGACCCAGCTTTTGGAACCAACAATGCAGTAGTAATATGCTTGAAGGTATAGCTTCCATAATCTCCAAATATTTTAAACTATTTTGCCATCTTGACTCCTGAACACGATTTGCACTTTAATGGATGTGAATGCTTCCATGTATATAAAAGAAGAAATCGCGATGTGGAGGGTAGCTGGGATCTTCTCCCAATTCGGCGAGTAATCGTTGTTGTATTGTCTCTTTCTCCTTCGTTTGTTCACGATGTGTCTGGGATCTCTCCCGGACTAGCGCGACATTGTAATGTCGCTGTAACATTCCTTTGTTTTCCTCCCCAATCTTAATGAAATTGGTCGGCCAACCTTTGGCCGACCCGGCAAAAAAGAATGCTTCCATGTTACTGCTTAGTTATTCAACTGACCTGCACTCCATAGCACACCAGTACAAGTTTGCAGGAGAACTTATATTTTCATTGTTTGAGCTACAAATAGATTACCATTTGATTCTCATGTGTCAGTTCTTTGTGCTATTCATGAAAACTTCCTTATTAAGTATGCCATGTTCTTTCCTTCAATCTAGTATTGGAATTACCATTGGGAAATATTTTTCTTTCCCAATCCAACTTTGTTGATCTTAAGGCTTCAGAACTTCTACGTTTTCTAAACATTTAAATTGATAATGTTTGAAGGGCATTGTTTTTTATTCTTCATATCAAGTTGTGCTGTTATGTATTTTTCTTCTCATTGCTTTCCATGATAAACTGGTTAGATTTTTGAAATGTCCATCTCTTCCGAATATTTACATCCTGCCCAACTACATGGAATCCTCATATGAGCTGACAAAAGGTGTATTGGGCAATGTAAATCTTCTATTGACACCAACTACATGAAATCGGTACTGTCCAAGGGATGCAGCTTAATCTGTTCAAGGCGCTAATGTGCCAATGCCAGATGTAATTTTTGAACCACATGTTGCATAATATGTAGTGAGTTCCCTTGTTCCCTATGAACTTAAAGTCTTGTTTGCATCCTCTGCACCCCAAAATCCCTTGCTTGTGGTATCGTCAATGACTTGATGTGCATTCTGTTCATCCCTTATGCAGGGAACAAAAGGCTTAGTTCAATGAACATAAATGACTGGAATTATTGCAATGAACGTCCAAACAGTCTAGCTCCTTCCCTTTATATGGTGAGTGCTATACAACTTGTTCTAGTTCTTTCAAACTTTAGTAGCTACTGCAAAGTATTTACTCTGTTGAGAAGTACTTACATTTTTGTTGTCCACTTTGGCAGAAGAAGACATAATATGGATAAGTGCTCAATTGCACTGTCTCTTCTCAGCGGATAAATGGCAATTGGGCAATTGATCTCCACCCGGTGATCTCCACCCAAGCTCAACTTGAATTAGATATGCTTATGACGACTTTACAATCCCAGCAGATACATCCTGAAAGACCAGATAACAGAAGCTGTACACTGAGCCCGGTTGGATTTACGACAACAGCATACTATGAGCTAATAACATATCATGGCATCCTATGGCGCCCGGCACACTTCATCTGGATTAAAGCAATACCAAACACCTGCAAAATCTTCCTTTGGCTAGCCTTTCGGGGAAGGCTAAACACAAATGATAACAGGGTGAAGAAATGCTGGGCATCTGATCCACATTGTGCGGTTTGCCCGGCTATAGAAACAGCTAATCACATCATTCTACGCTGCAAGTTAGCCACTGAAATCTGGAACAAACTCAACCTCCTTGATCAGGCAATTCAGAGTGCTGACATTCTACAGTTCACCGAGCATGTCCTGGGAATTCTACCGACTCAACTTAAACTGGGATGGCCAATATGCTTCGCTGCCTGTTCACACAGCTTATGAAAAGCACGCAATCATAGAACCTTCAGAGAAGAAGAACTCTCCGTAACTAATGTGACGCATCAAATCAAGGACTGCCTACACTTATGGAAAAACCGAGTTAAACCACAATGTCAGCCGCCAATATGTAGTTGGGCAGCTCTACTAGCATAGATGTGGTTTCTGGGTGGGGGGTCTCTCTAATCCCTTTCTTCCTTCTTTTCTACCTCTTCTTTTTCTTGCCTTTCTGCTTGAATGTATTTTTGTTATATCTTTTTTGACCACCATTAATACAATGGTTATAAGGTAGAGCCTCTCTACCTTTTCAGTCAAAAAAAAATATGGATAAGTGCAAGCAAGTTTTCATCAATAGAAAGCAGTGCTACTTATCCGGCTCGAATGTTATAAAACCAGCCCCGAAATCGACATCGGTAGCTAAACGCGGAAGAAAACGCCATAGAAGATCCAAAACGATGACGACACCGAGACATGATATTTGGTAACGGAGTTCAGCCGTAGCCTACATCTCCGGGGCACTGATTACGGGCGCTCCTCCCCGATCCAGCATATACAACGTATCAGAGTTACAACGACTCACGGCCGGTCGACGTCGGCAACCGCTCCCTCTCGCTATGCTAAGTCGCCATGCGGTTACAACAGGCACGCCCCTCTATTTATGAGAGATCCTAGGATAAAATCCGACTCATACTCTAGTCCTACACTTAGTACAACTCCAAGTCCTAAACTGTAACCGACTACGTACACATATTCGACACAAACTCTAACAAACTCCACCTTGGCGAATATGCCACGCCAACCTGAATTCATTACTTGCTCGAACCTCCATGTACCAAGACTTGAGTTGATCCTTTTTCGCCGCTCACACCGAGCTACCCCAATAAGCCTCCACCAGGCTCACCGTAACAAGAGACTCTGCTATCCCTGTAACTTCCTCCTCTTGACTCCACCTGCAACAGTGCTCCACCTTCTCTCATATCACCACAGTCGTCTTGCCAAGCGAAATTGAATTCCTTCCTAGCTGTCATATCATAGACTCCCCGAAAACCAAGTTCAACTTCATCTACCGTCTTAAATTTGACTTGATCTAATCCATGGCCCGTTAACTGACGTCATCACCAAATAGATAAATCAAACTCACCAGACTTGAATAGAACCTTTTCTTCCTTATCGTCTTATGAACAAAGCTAGCAAATCCAACATCCACGCTTTACCGCATCTGTAGACTGAATTCCTGATAATCTGAGAAAATTCACGGTTGCCTTGAATCACCCGAAGAAATTACCACCATAGCGATTGCTCTTCTCCTTCAGTGACGCAGTTTCCATATATCGCCATCATGCAATCCACGCAGATCCTGGATATATCCTGTCACGCCCCGAACTAGTCCCGACCGGAACTAGCCCGTGACGCTCCAAATTAACCTGTTGATCGATACCAGTCCCAGGAAACAGTGCTGGTATCACAGGAAGACAGAATATCACAGCAACAGAGGTCTCTTTATTATAGAGTAGAAGTACAGTCATGTTGGGCTGCGGACAGATCCCGAGCTCACAACTGCATTACAAAAGGGAAGCGGAAGCCAAGACTTGGACCAAACAACACAGGCGCGACTTGGGAACTAGGCCGAAACCCTAAAACTCATCGTAGCTGGCTTGCTCCTGGAAGAACTCCTCATCAGCAGGATCCGCTTCATCTTCTTCAGCAACTGAGGGGGGGATTATTTATATAGAGCAAGGGTGAGTACGGGAGTACTCAGCAAGCCATGGGAAATAAGTGTTTAATGCTGGCTTCAAGGAAAGGCTGTTGTTTTGCAATTGATTTTATTTGAACTCTTTTCTGAAACAACTAAGTGAGTGCTTCTCAAACGACACGGTTGAGACAGTGCGTTTCGTCCGGTCGGAGTATGTGCAATGTATCAATCTTTAAAATAGATCAAGATTGGCACCCGGCCAACAGCTTTCAAACGGCCACCCGGGCCAACAACTTTCAAACGGTCACCCGGGCCTAGCTGATCCCATCAGCTGCAGATTTTCCAAACATCGATCTCCTTTCCACAACAGCAATTTCACAAACAGTAGTCAAATAAAACTACACTAGGAATCACCTCACATCCGCCCATAACCGTGGGTACGGCTGTTCGAACAGTTAGTTAACCTCTGCAGAGGGGGTACACTTTACCCACACGACATTACTAACCCGGATCACCCAGCCCGTGGGGATCAGCCACGTCGGGAGACCTCCAAGCTTTCATGACAAGGCATTTCCAAAGCCGACACAGGTTTACCATATGCCGACGAGAGGGGTCCCAGACCAACAACAGGTTAGGTCCCAGACCATACTGTGCCAGGAAGCCCAGGGGTCCTCCCCAACACCACCCCGGCGAATCCACATGTCTCTCGGCATCAAGGCTCCCCTGATAAGCTAGTTACTCAGCCAGGGGTGTCCCATTCCACCCATGTGGTCGTACTTGTCTTATGTTCGGATGAAATTCCAAGGGAACGGTCCTTAAGTGCAAGAGCGGGAAACCGTACACCCGGTACGTTCCCCGGTCCGCGGTTTTGGAAATTCATTTAGTTCGCAAGCACCGACCCCAGGTGTCGGGTTTTCCAAGCCTTTTGTAAAACCCAAGTTTTACCCAAGATGTTTATCATATTTTAAGTTTGAAGGCGACCGTCGATACTCGCACAGAGTGCACGAATACCGAAGCGTGACTGGGTGGCTATAAGGGAACATGGTATAACAATTAACAAAGGAAGGATCAGATGCAACAAATTAGGTAGGTCTGCCAATCTGCCTTGCAGACGGGACAAGCAGATCAAGTGCGATCCTATCAATGCATAATATTTTTCAAGCAACATAATTAAATTCAAATATAGGCTCAAGATGTTCAAAGGTGGCTTGCCTTGCTCGAGATCTTGAGCTTGATCCTCGAAATCCTCGCACTGCGGGTCTTCGGGCTCCAAAACTACGCGCAAAACGGGACAACTCAACAAACGGCGAAAATAAAGCCCTATTAATGACCTCTAAGCGTGCCATTAGATAGATCTCGAGATTTGAGGAATTTTGGAAGTTGAACGGAGTCAAACGGATTTACGGTTGGGAAGATATTGAATTTCTAAGATTATTGGATTTTTGGTCTAAAGGAAAAGGATTTAATTAAATCCTTTTTGAAAAAGAAAAGAAAAGAAAAGAAAAGAGGGAGGGAAATTAGACTTCCCTCGGGCGGCTAGGGCGCGGCCCGAGAGAAAAGGGGCGGCTTGGCCGAGCTAAATGGGCCGGCCGGCCCAAGGCGGCCCAAGGCACGCGCGCGCGGGAGGGGAGGAGAGAGAGGGCCGGTGGACCGGGTCCATCCCGCGTGGTCCCGGGTGGGACCCGCTTGTCAACGACTCGGCTCACCGTGCGGAGGGAGCACGCGGCGTGGCGCTATAATGGGGGAAAGACTCGGTGCACGCGTGCGGTTCGCGCAGAACGCTGAATGCGGCGGGCCCACGGTCAGCCTCACGGCTCGCGGTGGACCATGCGCACGGGGAAAACGGAGGGAGCGGCTGCCGGTCGCGGCCGAGGTGGCGCCGACGTGGCGCCTACGTGGCAGCCATGCGGGCCGGCGGGAGGTAGACGACGACGCCGGCCGGAACGGACGGCGGACGACAGCGGCGAGCGGCGGAGCGAACCACGGCGATACAGGCAAAAGCGAGCACACCGGGTGGTTGCACGAGACGAGGGGAGACGAGCCAACGGCTCGGATTCGCCGGAGGGAGCTTGACGGCGGCGAATTGCGGCGGCGGCAACCGGCGGCGAGGGAAGGGGAAACGGCGACGAGGTCACGAGGGGCCGATTCCTGGCGGCGAGAGCATCTACGGGGCTACGGGAATCCGTCCCTTGCGCCGGATTGGGCGGAGCTGCGCCGAGCGAGGCCGGCGACGAGCGGCGCTTCCGAGCTCGGGCGGCGACGGCGGTGAGCACACGGCGAGCGGCGGCAACGGTCGGGGCGGCGCCGGCTAGCTACGGGGAGGCTACTCGTGCTACTACCCGAGTCTAAGGGGAGGAGATGGAGCGAGGAGGGAGAACGGGGAGATGCACTACCATGCGGGACGAGGCGCAGTGACGAGAGGCCAACGGCGCGGGAGTAATCTCTCCGGCCTCGGGCCGGGGAAGAGGAAGGAGAGGGCGCGCCCGAAGTCCCCTTCTGCGTCCACGAACGCACCGGCTCTCCCGGTGCTTGGCGATGAACGGCGGAGGCGGGACAGAGCACGGAAGGCGGCGGCAAAGGCGCGGTGGCGGCAAGCGAAACGGGGGGGGGGAATCGATGGGAGGGCGCCTTGGTTTATAGGACGACGATGTCGGTTTGGAAACCGACCTTGGGCGGTCAAGGCGCCAGCTGGAGCTCAGCGCTCGCGGCCAAAACGGTGACAGAGGCGGATGACGCCGGCGGGGAGGGGAAAAGGAAAAGAGGGAGAGAAAAGAGGGCTTGCCTCCTTGCCGCTTCGGGAAAAGGAGGAGGGAGCGGAACAGGCGCGGCAGATGGAGGAGGAGCTTTGCCTCCGTCCCTTGGCAGCTTGCGCGCGGAGTGGCGGGGGCCGGGCGATGACGACGGCGATGACGGCGGGGCGGTTTGGAGCGGCGCGACGACACGGGCGACATGCGCGGCAGGCGCGGCAGACGGTGACGGCGGCGGCGACCAGGCGGTCGGCACCACGGCACGCGCGCGCGGGAAGCAACGGGCGGCGCGACGATTTGAGCGGCGCGGCTCGGGCACGCGTGCTGGCTCGCGGGGCCGAGCGGCTGCGCGGCTTGCAGGCGCGGCAGGCAGCGGGGCCGGGTGACGCGGACGGCGCAGCGCGGCATGGGCGGCAACCACGCGGGCGCGCGCGCGAACAACGCCGCGCGGGGCCGATTTCGCGGGCAGGGAGCTCGCCAGGGATGGAGGCGGGGAGAAGGAGAGCGAGGGGAAGGGAGGGCGCTCGGCGCGAGCGGCTCACGCGCACGCGCGCGGACAGAGCGGAGGGGGAGAGCGCGAGAGAGAGAGAGGGCGCCGGGGAGGGAGGGGGAGATGAGCCGAGAAAGATTCGGCCCATCGACCCCGGGGGAGGCAAAATAGACTTTTGCGGAGGGATCGATTTGGGAAGGATTGGGTTCGGGATTGAACTCGACGATAGATCAGGGATTGAGATCTGAGATGGCACGGACACTAGGCAACAAGCAAAGAAACAGATTTCGCAAATAGAGTTTTTAAGAGATAGTTTTCCTGCTAGGCGCCACGACAGAACGGGCGCTACATATCCTGTACTGCCAAACAGCCCGTTGACGCCCTCAACGATTTTCACCCGCTGTTGCCCGGGAGTTTTCACCAGCTCAAGACTGTCTTTACTAAGTCATACCAAAACTTAACACGTCACTTTCTTGCTGCATGCATCAATTTCCTTCTTTGCATATGCCATTGCTCACAAGATCCAAGCATGTGCACTGGACATACACGTGTCCATCCCTCACATGTCCACCAATCTTGTACCGACCAAATCAATGCACGAATGAATTAACGTTCCATGCAGCTCATAGCCTCTTCACGTGCAAAGCCACAGCAGACTCAACCATCAACAGCCTAACCAGCGGACCGACCGGTCTTTTTCTTAAAAAAAATCGTTTTTTTTTTCTCTCGATTAAGACCCAGTCAACACACAAGGACCAGAACGATCCCGGCCCTTGTCGCTCCTTCTGCTCGCCTCATCCTCGGCTCAAGCGCGCCGCCACCCAGCGCCTAAAGACGCTTCGCTACCGCCGCTCCTCCCTGCTGACTGCGAGCACCAGAGCCGCCGCGCCTCACCTCTCCTCCGCGCCGCCACCAAAGATGCCGCTTCGGTTCCCGACGCCGCTGCCCGTCTAGAAGATGCTGCCACGCACAGGAGCTGGTCTCCCCTTGCGCCACCTCCCTGGGACCACCGCCGATGAAAACGCCGCTACCGCTGCCGCCGTGGGTTTCCCGCTGGTGAGGATGCCGACGCCCACGGAGCCGCCCCCCGACGCAGGAGCAGCCCACCCCTTCCGCCGGTATCCGCCACCTCCTCCTGGAGCTGGCCCGCGTCGAACTCGCCGGCACCTGCACGACAACTACACCAAGCCGTGCTCCTACCGCTCGCAGTTCGTCGCCTAAACCACCACTGCCCAAGAAATCATGTCCGATCTCTTCATTGCTTTGGTTGGTTTGATCCCGTGGCTCTCCTTTGCTGATTTTGCTTGGAAAATATGAGTCCGATCCGTGTCCAGTACGGAATCCTCTTCGTTTTCCCTTCCTGTGTCCGACATGGTGTCCTCCTTGACTCTTCTCCGCTGCCACAATCACGACCAAAATAGAAACAGACTACGTGCCCGAGTCCATGTCCTATGTTGCAGCCCTTCCAGATCTGAGTCCTGCACGAACACGGCTTTTCCCAAGCCAGCTACCAACAACACCGCTCTAGTCTGCACCTCCGGCTCGGCCTCAACGTGAAATCACGCACACCGCCGTGGTCCTGATCTCCACGAGCTTCACGTACTCCCACCACAAATTTCACTGTTGTCCAACACCTCCAGTCAATTCCATCGACAACAAACGACATCGATCTGACTTGTGCCTATAACAGTACCAAGGATCCACCCGCTCTGACTTCCGATTGAACACCATCAATCTAGTCGAGAGCCGAAGCCGACAAGTCGCATACCGTCTTCCCAACCACCGAACGACCCGAGTGCCACGTCTAGCCATCTCCCCGTCGAACGCAGCTCATCGAAAGGCCCGAGCCACCCTGCCCAGAGTGTTTGATTCCGCCGATCGAGAACGCCGATCGCCTCCAGCTTCAATCAACCCCCGTGAGGCCTCACATCTCCCTGTTGAAAGTAGCTCACCAGAAAGTTCGAGCCACCCGCCTGAAGTGTCCGACCCACCGATTGAATCGCCAATCGCTTCCGCCGCCATCAACCTGAGCACCACGTCTGGTCATCTCCCTGTTGATTGCAGCCATCAAACGGTTCAGACCGCCGCCTGAAGTGTCCGATTCCACCGATCAAATTTCGTTGATCGCCGCCGTGCTCCACCTTGCGTCCATGTCCGTCCCTGGACATCCTGTGTAGTTGTCGCGGCGTGGAGCACCTCCCTCGCACCTCTACCATGGATCTCCTGCAGGCTCTGATACCACTTGTTATAAAACCAGCCCCAAAATCGACATCGGTAGCTAAACGCGGAAGAAAACGCCATAGAAGATCCAAAACGATGACGACACTGAGACATGATATTTGGTAACGGAGTTCAGCCGTAGCCTACATCTCCGGGGCACTGATTACGGGCGCTCCTCCCCGATCCAGCATATACAACGTATCAGAGTTACAACGACTCACGGCCGGTCGACGTCGGCAACCGCTCCCTCTCGCTATGCTAAGTCGCCATGCAGTTACAACAGGCACGTCCCTCTATTTATGAGAGATCCTAGGATAAAGTCCGACTCATACTCTAGTCCTACACCTAGTACAACTCCAAGTCCTAAACTCATATTCGACACAAACTCTAACATAGGAAGTTTTTCATGCCAGTTAGATTCATGTCGAGTTCATACTGAAGTTGAAGCCATCCTTAAGAATCCATGGCATGATTCCTGTACACTGAAGTGATCAGTCTCAGATGAACCATGGGTTCTTGTTTTGCTTCTTGCCATTCTTCTTCTCACATTTCCTTTTGTAATAGTTTTCCAAGATTTTTCTCTCAAAAAGTAGAACAGAGTATAATGACTTCTCACTTGAGCACCCATTTTCACTGCATTCAAACATGTACAAGTATTCTTTATGTTCTTTCGATAATGGGAAAAGTTATCTGTCAGCCGTTCTAAGTATTCTTTTCTGTAATAAAGTAATATCTGAATCAGCTCTTGAATGTAACTAAACATTATTAGTTGCTTGTGCTTCATATATGAATAAAAAGGTTCCAAACGTTGATTAACTACCTCTTGAAATAATCATCCTTGTCTTCAAAACTTAGCAGTCTCATTGACTATATCTGATCTGATTCCAGCATAACTTAGCAGTCCCATTTCATCGTTGGAGGTAGTTTTGCATTATTTAGGCTTTAGAAATTTGGACCGTTAACAATAATCGCGATCCCAGATTCCCAGCCTCCATCTACACTTGTACTGATAGCATCTCCATGACAATCATTTTCATAAGAGGAAAGGCCAAATGGCCCTACTTTTCTTTCTTTACATACTACTTCAACCGCTGGGGAAACCAGCTTGACATATACTTCATCCCCAGTACAGCAAGGAAAAAACTACTGACTAACAGTAACACCACCTACCAAAAGGAAAGCTGAAAACAGAGCCAAGATGATAATCATATGTGGACTACTGATTCAACTTGGAGCTTTCGCACAGTCAAAAATGTCAGTAATAAGAATTACATTCCCTGCAGGGCTCCTGAACCTTCAACTTAACGGATGAGGGGGCCTCTTCCTCAATGCATCTTCTAACAGCCTCATGAGCTTTATGGGCTTCTATGAGAGCTTCTTTGCTCATACGCAGACATTTGCCAATTTTCAGAAGGTAACCACCATAAAATTTGGCTGTATCCAGTGCAATGCACTCAAGTGACAGTAGGTAAAAGTCTGGCTTGTGACACAATGCTAATAAACTGTGGCAGGCGGCAGTAGTGGAGCGTTTAGCAATGACATGGTAAACTTATACATGAACGGATGAACCAAACAACTGAAACAAGTGCGGGTTTCTGTTATATTATACATTTATACTCCATACAACTCTGGCCACAAATTTATGTTATATTATACATTTATAATTACAAACTATATAAAGTTAAATTACTTGTCTTGGCACTTAAACACATCCTTTTCACAGAAAGTAGCGAAATCACTAAATTTCGGCGATATACTGCTACACAACCAATTTTATCTCACAGTTTCTCCTTCCCAAAAAGACGGTATCTTGAGATCTACCGTTTTGTTTCAATACCCAATATGACATTTCCTGCAGGGTTCCAGAAACTTATACTCAACATGCGCCGGTACTTTCCCCGCGATGTATCTTTTGGCTGCATCAAAAGCTTTCCGTGCTTCCAAGATTCCTCCTTTCCTCATAGGCAAGCATTCACCCATCGTCAAAAGGTTCTTATCATAGAAGTTGGCTGTATCCAGCGTAATGCACTTAAGCGATGGTGCATTCTCAAGAATGTGACTTGTTAGCTCAATCATGCTCTTTGTAGAGTTAAAGCCAGTGATTGTCACATTCTGGAGGTTGGCATGTCTGGGGTGCAGAATTTGCCTCAAATTTGTATGTTCTCCATCAAGAATCGAATCACGCCTTTCACATCGCTGCTTTACCTGCAAAGGATAATAGTTGCTCAGTAAACCTTGGTCATATCCTCCTCAGCAAGTGCGATCACTAGTGATGAATATATAAGCTTAAAACAATTTATCATGATAAGCCCACACTGAATTGGTGCTGTTGGCTTCTAGTGCAATAATACCCATGAAGCACCACAGGGCTTTTCTAATTGGTTGCCTTAGTGCGTATTTAAGTGCTAAACTGCTGATTCAGCCCCTATCTATAATCTGTTGAGAGAAACCATATGAAGAATAACTACAGCAAACTAAACCAATTTATCCTGCCAAATTTGCAGAAGTCCCCAAACTACAAGCATCAACTGAATTTTTATGCCAAAGTGACATACATGCAAGATGAAAGTCTCCAAGGCAGGGGAACCATCCAAGAAAGAAACCAGAGAAAAGAAATCATAGTTGGGAGGAAAAGCCAGTAATTCAGCAAGATAAATTTCCAATAACTTGAGGTGGAGGAACTTGATGGGCACCATTGGTGTACTGATCATCTGAAAGAAAAGAAGAGATGACTTAGGATTAATCATATGTTTCATGTGCACCTATGACATGCATATGACCAGCCTGTAATTAATTGTAGTTACAAAGCAACTGGATAGTGCATAGAAAACAATAATGCATACCTCATCAGTAGATGACACAATAAGTGATTCAACATTTGGCATAATGGATGGAAGCTCAGTACGAGCAAAACAGACTGTGTTGGGTTGGTTGTAACCCATCAGACGTATGTCTTTGACTTGCAGTGGATCTCCAAGAGAGATTTGTATTCCGACATCCCCATAGATAAAAGAGGAGAGTTTGGGAGCATCTATCGATATCACCTCTAGCATGTCACATTAAGTCACCTAGAGGTACTTTGAGCTGCTGCATCAGGCAAGGTACCTTAAACTGGATTATGTCATTGCAATCAGAAATTACCAATCTCTCCAAAGCGAATGAATTGGAAAGGAACTGCCCTATCTCCTCCCCAGAAATATGAACTTCATATAAATGTAAGCTTGTCAAGCTTATGTTGCAACCTAGAGCCACTGTAGGATGAAAAGAACAAGAGGAGAGGAAAAGTGACTGAATTGTCCCTCCACCTGCCTTACTTGATAGAATGGAACATGGGAAGTTGTATTCTGTCCTTTTTTTGCATAAAGACATCTCCAAGGAGAGTTCTTTGATCCCAGCTTTGATAACATGTACAAACCATTTGTCAAGAACAGCTGCATCTATGTTCGGACAGGCAAACAGTTGAAGTTTAAACACTTTGACCCCAATGCCAGAGTGGTTATTAATAATATGGTCAATTTTACTGATGGCATAGCTTTCCATGTCATCCACTTTAAGCGCTGGCTCATACAATGGCACATCTTCCGCATACAAACTAAGTTTTCTCTTAGCCAAACCTATTGTTTTGCTATTTAATACAAGGATTGGATAGCGTCTCCAGCAACGTAGAAATCCATGCGACACACAAGCAGCACGAGCGGCATCTTTCAATGGCATTAGAGAATATACATGATGCAAGATATCCTGGAAAAAAACATGTTTGAATAATTCAGCATTCAGAGAGTACTAGCAATGCACACTTCACTTAGAACAAACAGAAGGACCAGCTGCTTAGTAAAATATACTTAAATTGTTACTAGTGGACAGTGGCCAACAGGTCAAGTGCTTTTTCTTAAATTTCCCTATATGCGGTACCAAAAGACTTATAAGTGGATATACATTTTTCTCATTGGGACATTTAACCAAACTTCATAACACACGGTACTCCTTAGTCCTTATATGTCATCAATCCACAAAAAATAGCATCACAGGTCATCTTCATGATAGGTAAAGCTCATATCGGGAGATAACAAATTAGCTAATGCTACAGAAGTAATCTGGTAATAGTTAATTGTTCTGCTAGTAGTTTTGAAAAGACCACAACAATGATAATTTTGGAGCATGGAGTAGTAGACAATGTGCAGAGAAAGCCAAACATTAAAAAGTAACAGTGCATTCGAATTCAATTTATGCACAACATTCTGAAACCTCATTGAGATAGTTTGCTAAAACATTGTTGTTTAACACCGATTCCTACAATCTACCCCTTGAGAAAAAAAATATTACAATCCAAGCACACCAAAACATAGCAGTTTCAATGATACTGTAGTAGTTAACAGACTATGACATTATTAGCAATCCATACCTCCGGAAGTTTATCGAGCGGGAGTTCTGGCATTATGCCCGCATAAATATCATCTTGCTGCCGTGGAGCGTAAATTATCTTTGAAGATGTGTCCAATTTGTCTAGAGATAGAGATAGAAACAAAAGGTTAGAGAATGAATTTGCTAATGCAATTCAAGGCTTACAGACAAGAACCACTAATTTGCATAAACCAAAATAAGGTGAAGATTTGAGCACTAGACCAGATAAGAGTTAAAAATTCCCCTGTCTAAATTGCACTTTATTATAAGCTAGCTGAAGAACCAATCAGGTTAAGGAGGAGCCTAAGAGCAGTTTTTCTTCTAAAACATAATCCCTCCGTATTTTTTAATGTATGACGCTGTTAACTTTTTGACCAACGTTTGACCATTCGTTTTATTCAAAATTTTTGTACAAATATAAAAATATTTATGTCATGCTTAAAGAACATTTGATGATGAATCAAGTCACAATAAAATAAATAATAATTACATAATTTTTTTAAATAAGACGAATGGTCAAACGTTGGATAAAAAGTCAACTGCGTCATACATTAAAATATTAAAATATGGAGGTAGTAATAAGTATGCAATAAACGATAGCGGTAGAATCCAACGACGATCTCTGTATAGGAAGGTGGATCGAAAGCTGAGGGGGCGGGGGAAGCATATACTTGTTTGAAGCTCACGGAGGAGCTGCATCGTCCTGCACTCGGTGGCACGGGTCTCCATGGCTCCGCCCGGCCGCTTCCGATTCCCCCTTGCAGTCTACATACTCCAGACGCCAGCCAGGAAAGGCGATCCGGACGTCGCCGGCGCGCGAGATTACCTCAAACGGCGGCGAATCCGGCCGCCTCTTGTACTGCTGAGAATGAAAATCCCGGGGGGCGCTCCACACGGCGGCAACCGAGATCGGCGGCGCTGCCTGCCTGCCTGCCTCGAGAGCCGTCGGCGGCGGAGCTCGTGTGGGAACTCGAGAGGGCGCGGGCGCGGGCCGGGGTGGACTGTGGAGCTCCCCGGCGCTACATGCGGCGCAGTCCACCGCAGTGGAGCGTGGAGAACCGCGGCGATGGGAAGGGGATGATGAAGGAAGTTGGTGAGGACACCTCAGACTCACAGTTCGATGGCTACTTTCTCAGTTACTCCCCCGTTTCAAAACGTAAGTCATTTATTTTTCATATTTATAGTAATACTAATAAATCTAAATAAAATTAATATTTTTTTATCTAGATTAATTAGTATCAATATAAATATGGAAAATGCTAGAATGGCTTACATTGTGAAACAGAGAAAGTACATTTGTTACAAAATAAATTTATTTTTATTTTCTTTACTTAATGTTTGGTTCTTCGTTTTATTTGAAAATTTTATTAAAAAAATAGTTACAGAAGTATTTATATGTTATCATCCAATAAAAATAAAATAATAATAATATTTTAGAACGAAAGTAATAATAGAATAAAAGAATGAAATAACATCACAATTCTCGACTACCAAAATAACTTTGAATACTTATTGGACGAGTTTAAACTTTACTTTCAAACTATAACTTTCTTGTTTTAAAGTTTCCAACAGCACATTTTCAAACCGTTATATAATATGTTCTGTGCAAAAATTTTCTATTTAAAATCTATGATATAACCAGAATGCAATGTGGGCCTTGCTTTTCAATGGGCTCTCTATTCGGCCCAGTAACTCACTCGTCAGAGACGAACTCAGCGATACGACGGTCGACGGCCATGGCTTTGTCGAAGCTTTGCGATTGCAACCAGCGATGAGCGATGGCAGCTACTCTGTAATCTGTATGACCTTTAGTCACTAATTTCATTTCTTTTATGTTATACTAATAAAACCAGATAAAGCTACTGCTTTTGACACTAAACTAAAAACAATTCTAGCACAAAAATATTGCTCTTGGCTTCTGAATGCAAGAATGTCCCCCAAAATACCATACTTGTTCTTTACTTGGTTGTGCTGTACTGCTGTGCATTTTTACATTTCTACATTCGATTTTTCTTTTTTGCGAACAAGCAAAAAGGATTGAGCGTCAATATAGATTTCTACACTTGAATTTCTCCTCTGAAGAAACGCTATCTGGACTTCTTGAGATGTATTGTGTCAGTACCCAAAATGACAATGCCTGCAGGGTTCCAGAAACTTATACTCGACAAAGGAGGGTATTTTCCCCGCGATGTGTCTTCTGGCTGCCTCGAAAGCTCTTCGTGCTTCCAAGATCCCTCCTCTCATCATAGGAGAGCATTCGCCCATCGCCAAATGGTTCTTGCCAGAGAAGTTGGCTGTATCCAGCGTAATGCACTTGAGCGATGGTGCATTCTCAAGAATGTGAGTTGTTAGCTCAATCATGCTCTTTGTAGAATTGAAGCCGGTGATCGTCACATTCTGGAGGTTGGCATGTCCGTCGTGCAGAATTCGCCTCAAATCCGTAGGTTCTCCATCAAGAATCGAATCATGCCTTTCGAACTGCTGCTCTACCTGCATAGGAATAGTAGTAGTTACTCATTAAAACTTGGTCACATACTCCTCATCAAGTACAGTCACTAATAATGATTATAGAAGCTTAAAATATTTTATCATGAGAAAAGCCCAAACTGAATTGCTGCTGTTGGCTTGTGAAGCACCACAGATGTTCTCTATTTGGTTGTCTTACTAGTGCGTATTTAAGTACTAAACTATTTCTACTATCTATTATATATTGTGAGAAACTATATTAAAAATATCTACAACGAACTATACCGAATTAATTATCCTGCCAAATTTGCTAAGAGTAGAAGCCCCCAAAGGCCCAAACTGCAAGCATTAACTGAACTTTTATGATTTGCGGTATGCAACATTGAGAAAGTGGCATACGTGCAAGATGAAAGTCTCCAAGGCAGGGGAAGCATCCAAGAAAGAAACCAGAGAAAAGAAATCATAGCTGGGAAGTGAGGCAAATAATTCTTTAAGATAAATCTCCAAGAACTTGAGGTGGAGGAACTTGCTGGGCACCACTGGCGTACTGGTCATCTGAAAGAGAAGAAGAAGAGATGCCTCAGGAATTTTAGTCGTGTTTCATGTGCACGTGTGACATGCATATCACCAGCATGTAATTAATTGTAGTTATAAAGCAACTGGATGGCACAAAGAAAACAATAATGCATACCTCATTAGGAGATGACACGACAAGTGATTCAATATTTGGCAAAATGGATGGAAGCTTGGTACGAGCATAACAGACGGTGTCGGCTTCATTGTAACCCATCAGACGTATGTCCTTGACCTGCAGTGGATCTCCAAGAGAGATTTTAACTCCAACATCCCCATAGATAAAAGTGGAGAGTTTGGGAGCATCTATCTCTATCACTTGTAGCATTTGACATTTTGTAACCTCGAGGTACTTGAGCTGTTGCATCAGGCAAGGTACCTTAAACTGGACTATATCACTGCATTCAGAAATTACCAATCGCTCCAAAGAGAATGAATTGGAAAGGAACTGCCCTAACTCCTCCCCACAAATATCGACTTTACATAGATGCAAGCTTGTCAAGCTTATGTTGCAACCAAGAGTCACCGTAGGATGAAAAGCACAGGAGGAGAGGAAAAGTGACTGAATTGTCCATCCCTCTGCCTTATTGGATAGAACGGAACATGGGAAGTTGTATTCTGTCCGTTTTTTCAATGAAAGACATCTCCAAGGAGAGTTCTTCGATCCCAGGTTTGATAACGGTTACAAACCATTTGTCAAGAACAGCTGCACTTATATTCGGACAGGCGAACAGTTGAAGTTTAAGCACTTTCACCCCAATGCCAGAATGGCTCTTAATAATATGGTCAATTTTACTGACAGCATAGCTTTCCATGTCATCCAAACTGAGTTTTCTCTTAATCAAACCTATCGTTTTGTTATTTAATATAAGGATTGGATAGCGTCTCCAGCAACGTAGAAATCCATGTGACACACAAGCAGCACGAGCAGCATCTTTCAATGGCATAAGAGAATATACATGATGCAAGATGTCCTGGAAAAAAACATGTTTGAGATACAAAATCAACACTCATCAGGACATTTAACCAAACTTGGAACAGATAGAAGAACCAGCTGCTTAGTATCTATATTTAAACTGTACTAGTGGATAGTGGCCACTACTAAATACGAACCAAATGGTTAATTGCCATTTGGCTACTAAACACCAACTCTGGTGATTTTATATAAAGAGTACTAGAATCCACTATCAACATCGGGCATTATTGTGATCATTTTGTGCTATATGCTACAACTAGGGCCCTTTGAATCACTGCACCTAACCATACCAGCTAGGTGGACACCTAGTGCTCCTTAAATTGCATTGTTATGATCAAAAGGAGAATCCATAAGTTTCTGTGCCAAGAACAAGCGAGACAAAGAAATTGTATTTAATCAAACAAAAAAAATTTGTGTATGTCAATAACTTGGACACACTTCTCACATACACAACTAACTTTTACAATCTCTTATCCATTACCATGTGTGAATTTGCCCCAAAAAGCCATGCACTTGTTACTTGTTAGTGGCAAATATGAGAGGTTGCAAAAATTATGGTACATATGAAAAGTGTGCATTCACTAATCTCTACTATTGGGTAGTGGCATAAACATTTTTTTCTCCTTTTCATTATGATATCCTAGTGAGTGTAGTTTTGTGATTTTTCCTCTAGAAGCTTCACTTCATTTCCTTTCTCATCTACTATACATATACATTGGTGGAATGGGCCCTATTGGGCTGAAATACACACGCCTACACTCAACACTCCCCCTCAAGATGGGCGATAAATATCTATCATGCCCATCTTGCTACACGAAGAAGTGCACTCTCTAGCACCTAATGCCTTCGTTAAACTATCAGCTACTTGTTCACCAGAGTTTACAAAGCCTAAGTTTAAGGTTCCCTCATCCATTCTCTCTTTAATAAAGAAGCGATCTATTTCCACATGCTTCGTTCGATCATGCTGGACTGGATTGTTAGCAATATTTATGGCTGATTTGTTGTCACACCACAACTTCATGGAAGTGCTTGTCGACAGCTTCAATTCAGCCAAAAGATTTTTCAACCATAACAATTCACTCAAGCTCATCGACATTGACCTGTATTCCGCCTCAGCAGTCGAGCGAGACACAACTGATTGTTTCTTGCTCCTCCAAGATACCAAATTGCCACCAATAAATACACAGTAGCCTGATGTTGACCTCATATCATCAAGACAACTGCCCCAATCTGCATCACAATATCCCTCCACATCTAGGTGTCCATTCTTCTTGAACCATATGCCTTTACCTGGGCTTGCCTTCAAATATCTCAAAATTCTATACACAACATCCATGTGACCACTTCTAGGATCATGCATGTATCGGCTCACCACACTCACAGCATAAGTTATATCAGCGTCTTGTGTGACACAAATATATCAACCTTCCCACAAGTCTTTGATATCTCTCTTTATTAACTGGATCTCCAGATTCAGCACATAACTTATGATTTTGTTCAATTGGTGTAGAAGCTGGCCGACATCCAAGCATACCTGTATCACTGAGCAGATCCAATACATACTTTCGCTGTGAAAGAACTACTCCTCAAGGAGATCTTGCAATTTCAATACCCAAAAAATATTTTAATTGGCCCAGATCTTTGACCTCAAACTCCTTGCTTAGATTTTGTTTCAACCTAGATATCTCCAAGCAATCATCTCCAGTGATAATCATGTCATCAACATACACAACAAGAATAGTTTTAAGACCTCTATTATGGCGATAGAAAACTGTGTGGTCTCCATTGCACTGTTTATAACCCATACCACACATTGCACGTCTAAAGCGATCAAACCATGCTCTTGGTGATTGTTTAAGGCCATATAAAGATTTTTTCAGTCTCAACACTTTACCTTCAGTTTGTGAGGTAGCAAATCCAGGTGGAATTTCCATATACACCTCCTCTTGAAGATCTCCATGTAAGAATGCATTCTTGACATCTAACTGATGCAATGGCCAATCAAAATTAGCTGCACAAGAGATAAGAGTTCTTACCGTGCTCATCTTTGGTACTGGTGCAAAAGTTTCATCATAATCAATTCCATATGTTTGACTATATCCCTTAGCCACAAGCCTTGCCTTGTATCTTTCCACATTTCCATCAGGATTTTGCTTTACTGTATAAACCCATTGACAGTTAACCACTTTATTCCCTTTAGGGAATGGTACAAGGTCCCATGTTTTGTTCTTTTCAAGAGCCTATAGCTCCTCTAGCATAGCTTGATGCCACCTTGGGTCTTGCTTTTTTTCCCTCCAATCATTTGGAATTTCCACTGAATTTAGTGATGTCACAAAGGCCTTATATGTGGATGACAAAGAAGCATAAGAGACATAATTGGCTATGTTATTCTCATCATCATTCACACCTTGAGCTTCAAAACCATACTTTTGTGGAGGTTTACCTGCATTGCTTCTTACCCCCTTTCTTATAGCAATAGGAAGATTAGTTTCTTCTCCCCCTGTTTCAAACTCCTCTCCTTCCGTATCCGATGAAATCTGTATAGTATCACACTGATCAGATGGTTTATCACCTACTTCAGCAACAATTGAAGATTGTTGCTGCTCCATCCCATCCATAGGAGACTCATGTTGCCCTATTGTTTGCGCCTCCAAAGACCTTGTTTTCCTCCTAGTATAAACTTGTAGATTTTCTTCTTCACATGGCCTTCTCCAATTTTGCTCATGAATGGGTTCACTAACAGGATATGGGATTGAGCCAACCACAAATTTCATGCTTCTTGATTATGTGTCTTCTTCAGTACCTGATGATCCATTCTCCCCCTCTTGTCCATCCTCATCAATAATTGGATTGTCAAGATCAACAAACAAGGAACTCAAATCTGTTCTTTCTCCATAGAACGGAACAGACTCTCTAAAAGTAACATCCATACTAACAAAAGTTCGCCGCTCAGATGGACTCCAACATTTATATCCCTTTTGCCCAGAAGAGTAACCTATAAAAATACACTTGACGGCTCGAGGATCCAATTTTCCAACGGATGGTCTATGATCTCTGACAAAACAAGTACACCCAAACACTTTTGGAGGAACAATGAATTCATTCTTCCCAAACACCATTTCATATGGAGTCTTCATCCCAAGTATTCGTGATGGCATGCGATTGATGAGATATGTTGCTGACATGACTGCCTCACTCCATAGAAACTTGGGTACATTCATCGTATACATGAGTGAACGAGTTACCTCCAGAATATGTCGATTTTTACTCTCAGCTACTCCGTTCTGTGGAGGTGTGTCACCACAAGAAGTTTGATGTACTATTCCTTCTGTCTGAGAGAAAACTCCTAAAATCAGTCATTCAGCATATTCTCCCCCATTATCGCTCCGAAGAACTGTAACACAAGTGCCGAAATGATTCCTAACCCAAGCATAGAAATTCTTGAAACATTACAATACTTCACTCTTGTGTCTCAGTGAGATAGTACCCAAGGCATTCGTGAGTGGCAATAAATAAAGGCGACAAAGTACTTTGCTCCACTTACCGAAGCAATAGGAGAAGTCCATACATCAGAGTGAACCAACACAAATGGCAAAATGCTTCGAAGTCCTCTGCTTATGTATGTGGTTCGTGTATGTTTTCCATACTCGCATGCATCACACATTAATTTGCTTTTGTCCACCTTACTCATCTCATCAGGAAATACCTTAGACATAGTATCAAAGGACATATGTCCCAATTGACAATGTTTTAGAATCAATTTAGCCTCCTCTTCACTTGTGCTAGCTAACAAAGCACTACATAGTGCTTTGTCCGTCCCTCTTCTATCCAGATACCACAACCCATTATGCCTAACGCCGGTTCCAAGCTTTCTTCCAGTTCTTCTCTCCTCAATTAGACAATTCTCTCGGTCAATAGTAATTCGACAATCCATATGATCAACCAACGAGCTTACGGATACTAGGTTAACAGGAAAAGAGGGAGCATATAAAACTGACGACAATGTAATTGATGGAGTACATTTGACTGTTCCCACTCCCCTCACATGTCGTAAAGTTCCGTCGGCAGTTTGAATTGTTTCTTTAAATGATGACTGAAATGGAGTATATGATGTAAACTCACTCGACATTCCTGTAACATGTCTAGATGCTCCGGAGTCTAATATCCAAGTTGAGTTAGGTACCTGCATAGGATGTGCGAGATTAACAAAGTTGCCAAGCACTGTTGTTTTCTCCTTCACTTTCTGAATTCTTCCCCTTATTTCTTCAACTTCTTCAGCCAATTTCTCAAGTATTTGCTCAATTCCTTGAATTTCCCCCATGGCAGATCAACCAAATCTTCTAGGATACTAGCCAAATCAATTAATAGGAGTAACAACACTACTCCTAACTTTCTCACCAAAAACAGAACAGCAGCAGGTAGCACTACTTCCTCCCAGCAGCACTACTTTTCAGTTTCCCCCAAATCAGGACAAAAGGAGCAGCAGCAAGCCAAGCTCGTCGTACACAGTTTCTTCCCCAAATCAGAACAACAGCAACAGCAAACCAAGCTTCCACTTCACCTCCAAATCCTCACCTTCTCAAGTAGCAGGCAGCACCAGCAACAGCACCACCAAAGTCACCACCACTGGAACGGACAACAATAGCCAATAGCACCAAATCCTTCTCTGTTGATCCTACATCCAACAGCTGCGCGTCTCTCAGCCGCTGTGCTCCCTACAGCTTGTGCTGCACCAAATCCTTGCGCAGCTCAACCAGCGAGCGTGCGCCCTGCTCCTCCTTCACGCTGCTCGCGTCGAGAACCTCTGCAGCAGCCGTCGCCGCCTCCGCCGTCGACACTGCCGCTCCGCCTCCGCTGTCCGACGTCGCCGCTCCGCCTCAGCTGTCGACGTCGCCGCAGAACCGCTCTGGTCACAGCGCCGCCGCCGACTAGGGTTCGCGTCGGCGAGGTCGCCGGTGACCCAGCTCTGATACCATGTAGTTTTGTGATTTTTCCTCTAGAAGCTTCACTTCATTTCCTTTCTCATCTACTATACATATACATTGGTGGAATGGGCCCTATTGGGCTGAAATACACACGCCTACACTCAACAGTGAGTATTAATGAATCAACATGAGCAAACCACATGGCTGCACAGGAAGATCAGTAATAGTTCACCCAACTCAGATAAGACGATGACTAGTTTAAATCAACCGGATAAAAGGATGTGTGGTGCAAAGAAATGCAGTTTGTTCTGCTAGTAGTACTGTAAAGGTTGTAACAATGATAATTCAGGATCATTGAGTGGTAGATAGTTTGCCCAAACATTGTTGATTTGTTGTTTAAATATGTGTTCACCACCAAATTCCTACAATCAATCCCTCGAGGAAAAATAAATCCTACGATCCAAGCACACGAAGACATAGAAGTTTCAACGATAGTAATCAAAACATTCTTAGCAATCCATACCTCTGGAAGTTTATCGAGCGGGAGTTCTCGCATTATGCCAGTAGAAATATCACCTCGTCGCGGTGGTGCGTCAATTATTTTTGCAGATGTGCCCAATTCGTCTGGAGATAAAAACCAACTATTAGATTCCGAATTTGATAATGTAATTCAGACAAGAACTGCTAATTTGAACAAACCAAAATAAAGGTTAATTTTTCCACGAACGCACAAAAGGATTGCACGTCAATATATTAGAAGAATAGAGTTTTTGTTACACGACGCACTCAGCCAGATCGGCCTATGCCAAGGAAGGAAGAAAAACAAAGATAAAAAAAACAAGGAAGGAAAGGAAAAAAGAACTCGATACAACGGTAACTCTACTCCAAACAGCGGGAGAGGGCAGAGCCACTCTACGCTCCCAACAATTCCCCAAAGGAAGCGACGGCCGCTAACGACCACAGCCGGCCCTCCGAAAGGATGGACTCTAGAACCACTAAGACCGAAGAGAGCACAGAGTCAAAGACCCTGGAGTTACGTTAAAATAAAGAGTAAATTTCACAAAACTACACGTTTTGTGGTCCAAGTTGCAGAAAACTACACACACTTTGACATTTGGCACTTAAGTACATATATTTTGATAGTGTAGTTTCACAAAACTACACTATCAATGAATGAATTCACACGCGAGATGATGTGGCTGTTCCACCTAGGACAAGGACGTGGCATCGTGGGACAAGCTGGACTTCTATGCGCATGGCCCACTAAAACTGCTGCAACTAAATATACGCACATATGTGCCTTCCAATCTGTCACGCCCCGAACTAGCCCCGACCGGAACTAGCCCGTGACGCTCCAAATTAACCTGTTAATCGATACCAGTCCCAGGATACAGTGCTGGTATCACAGGAAGACAGAATATCACAGCAACAGAGGTCTCTTTATTATAGAGTAGAGGTACAGTCATGTTGGGCTGCGAACAGATCCCGAGCTCACAACTGCATTACAAAAGGGAAACGGAAGCCAGGACTTGGACCAAACATCACAGGCGCGACTTGGGAACTAGGCCGAAACCCTAAAACTCATCGTAGCCGGCTTGCTCCTGGAAGAACTCCTCATCAGCAGGATCCGCTTAGCTGATCCCATCAGCTGCAGATTTTTCAAACATCGAACTCCTTTCCCCAACAGCAATTTCACAAGCAGTAGTCAAACAAAACTACGCTAGGAATCACCTCACATCCGCCCATGACCGTGGGCACGGCTGTTCGAACAGTTTGTTAACCTCTGCAGAGGGGGTACACTTTACCCACACGACATTACTAACCCGGATCACCCAGCCCGTGGGGATCAACCACGTCGGGAGACCTCCAAGCTTTCATGACAAGGCATTTCCAAAGCCGACACAGGTTTACCATATGCCGACGAGAGGGGTCCCAGACCAACAACAGGTTAGGTCCTAGACCATACTGTGCCAGGAAGCCTAGGGGTCCTCCCTGACACCACCCCGGCAAATCCACAAGTCTCTCGGCATCAAGGCTCCCCTGATAAGCTAGTTACTCAGCCAGGGGTGTCCCATTCCACCCATGTGGTCGTACTTGCCTTATGTTTGGATGAAATTCCAAGGAATCGGTCCTTAAGTGCGAGAGTGGGAAACCGTACACCCGGTATGTTCCCCGGTCCGCGGTTTTGGAAATTCATTTAGTTCGCAAGCACCGACCCAGGTGTCGGGTTTTCCAAGTATTTTGTAAAACCCAAGTTTTACCCAAGTTGTTATTCAGATATTAAGTTTGAAGGCGTCCGTCGATACTCGCACAGGGTGCACGAATATCGAGACGCAACTAGATGGTTACAAGGGTTCATGATATAACAATTAACGAAGGAAGGGTCAAATGCAACAAATTAGGTAGGTCCGCCAATCTGCCTTGCAGACGAGACAACAGATTAAGTGCGATCCTAACAATGCATAATATTTTTCAAGCAACATAATTAAATTTCAAATACAGGCTCAAGATGTTCAAAGGTGGCTTGCCTTGCTCGAGATCTGGAGCTTGATCCTCGAAATCCTCGCACTGCGGGTCTTCGGGCTCCGAAACTACACGCGAAACGGGACAACTCAACAAACGGCGAAAATAAAGCCCTATTAATGACCTCTAAGCGTGCCATTAGATAGATCTCGAGTTTTGAGGAATTTTGGAAGTTGAACGGTGTCAAACGGATTTACGGATGGGAAGATATTGAATTTCTAAGATTATTGGATTTTTGGTCTAAAGGAAAAGGATTTAATTAAATCCTTTTTGGAAAAGAAAAAGAAAAGAAAAGAAAAGAGGGAGGGATTATAGACTTTTCTCGGGCGGCTAGGGCGCGGCCCGAGAGAAAGGGCGGCTCGGCCGAGCTTAACGGGCCGGCCGGCCCAAGAAGGCGGCCTAGAGCGGCCCAAGACGCGCGCGCGCGGGAGGGAGGAGAGAGAGAGCCGGTGGACCGGGCTCACCGCGTGCGGTCCCGGGTGGGACCCGCTTGTCAGTGGCTCGGCTCACCGTGCGGAGGGAGCACGCGGCGCGGCGCTAGGGTGGGGGAAGGACTCGGTGCACGCGCGCGGTTCGCGGTGGACGCGGATGCGGCGGGCCCACGCGCAGCCTCACGGCTCGCGGTGGAACGCGCGCACGGGAGGGGCTGACCGGGGTCGGCCCGTCCCGACCTCGGCTGAGCTGGTGCCGACGTGGCGCCTACGTGGCTCCCACGCGGGCCGGCGGGAGGTAGACGACGACGCCGGCCGGAACGGACGGTGGTCGACAGCGGCGAGCGGCGGAGCGAACCACGGCGATACAGGCAAAAGCGAGCACACCGGGTGGTTGCACGTGACGAGGGGAGACGAGCCAACGGTTCGGATTCGCCGGAGGGAGCTTGACGGCGGCGAATCGCGGCGGCGGCAACCGGCGGCGGGAAAAGGGGAAAACGGCGACGAGGTCACGAGGGGCCAATTCCCGGCGGCGAGAGCATCTACGCGGCTACGGGAATCCGATGCTAGCGTCGGATTGGGCGGAACTACGCCGAGCGAGGCCGGCGACGAGCGGCGCTTCCGAGCTCGGGCGGCGACGGCGGCGAGCACACGGCGAGCGACGGCAACGGTCGGGGCGGCGCCGGCTAGCTACGGGGAGGCTACTCGTGCTACCACCGAAAACTAAGGGGGGAAGATGGAGCGAGGAGGAAGAACGGAGGGAGGCACTACCGTGCGGGTCGGGGCGCAGTGACGAGAGGCCGACGGCGCGGGAGTAATCTCTCCGGCCTCGGGCCGAGGAAGAGGAAGAAGAGGACGCGCCCGAAGTCCCCTTCCGCGTCCTAGTGCGCACCGGCTCCTCCGGCACACACGCGACGGCGGCGGTCGGCGAGAGGGACGGCAATGGCGCGGGCGAGAAATAGGGAAGATTGGGAGGGGAAAAGAGGAAGGGAGGGCGCCTGGGTTTAAAGGGGGCGGCAATGTCGGTTTGGAAACCGACTTTGGGCGGTCAAGGCGCGAGCTGGCGCTCGGCGCTTGCGGCCAAAACGGCGACAGAGGCGGATGACGCCGGCGAGGAAGAGGAAAAGGAAAAAGAGGGAGAGAAAGGGGGCTTGCCCCTTGCCGCTTTGGGAAAAAGGGAGGAGGGAGCGGGAGCGTCGCGGCAGAGGGAGGAGGGCTCGGCCTCCGTCCCTTGGCGGCTTGCGCGCGGAGTGGCGGGGCCGAGGCGATGACGACGGCGATGACGGCGGGGCGGTTTGGAGCGGCGCGACGACACGGGCGACAGGCGCGGGCTGGCGCGGTAGAGGGTGACGGCGGCGGCGACCAGGCGGTCGGCCACTCGGCACGCGCGCGCGGGATACAACGGGCGGCGCGGCTGGGCACGCGCGTGGCTCGCCGGGCCGGAGCGTCTGCGCGGCTGTGGGCGCGGCAGGGTAACGGGACCGGGCGACGCGGACGGCGCAGACGACACGGCTCGGGCGGGGAACCACGCGGGCGCGCGCGCGAACAACGGCGCGCGGGGGCCGTCTTCGCGAGCGGGGAGCTCGCCAGGGATGGGGAGAAGGAGAGCAAGGAGAAGGGGCGCTCGGCGCGGGCGACTCACGCGCACGCGCGCGCGGCGCGCGGGCGGACCGGAGGGGGAGCGGGGAGAGGGAGAGAGAGAGGGAGAGCCGGGGAGGGAGGGAGAGATGGGCCGAGCGGGATTCGGCCCATCGACCCCGGGGGAGGCAAATTAGACTTTTGCGGAGGAATTTGATTTGGAGGGATTTGGATTTGGAATTGAACTCGACGATAGATCGGGGATTGAGATCTTGAGATGGCACGGACACTAGACAACAAGCGAAGAAACAAATTTCGCAATTAGGGTTTTTCAGAGATAATTTTCCCGCTAGGCGCCACGACGGAACGGGCGCTACACAATCCCAGCACGATATGTTACCAAGGATTTTATTCTGTGACTTGTTTTCTGGTCAGTGATCACCTTTCTATATGGTTGTTTTGAGTTTATTGTTCTTGCACTATTTGTTGAGCTGGTTATTAAGAATACTTGTTGATCAAACTAGATGTGTGAACATGTCTAATGGAGCATTATACCATTTTTATTTCATTTCAAAGTTCCATGAGTTTAGGTCTGTATTGTGCTTACCACAACTGAAGGTTGTGCTTGGTTTAGGAGCACTTTCCTGCAGACATGAAAGGAGCCACCTACTACTATCTACAGCCAAACTACTGTGCTTCTCTTGTCAAGTTCCAGTACTACAAGCTGAATGGAACAATCAATTAACTCAAGGGGTTATAGCCACAAACTTCAGACTCAGTGATCCTTTCCACTGAAGCGTAATTTATCTACCTGAAATTAAGTACAATAGTGGACTGACTGTAAAATTTAGAATACTAGTTCCCTGTCCTCCCCTTATAGCTCCCATGTTTTGTACTACTTTCATTTCAGAGGCATTAGAAACCTCCATATTTGATGAATTAACTGTTTTTTTTAACAAAATCAATCAACAGTGAGGCAAAAAACTACAAACCTATGTGAAATTTCAGTTGGAACTTGCTCATTCACACTAGATTTTTTAGAAAACTCACTATGAAATGGGCACCTGATTGATTCCTTGGACCAAAAAAAAAGAACCAAACTATACCTGTTAGTAGCAGAATGGCAGAGCCACCATAGTACTGGAATGAGACACAAGGGGCCGCAGTACTCGAAGAGGCATGTAGCCAGCGAGTTGCCTGCTAACTCCAGATCTCGAGCATAGCATGTATTGGAGAGAGATGACCAGAGGATGGTGAGGGGCCGCCGGGAGAGATGATGAGGCCTAGCGAGGAACCTCGTGGCGCGGCGGCGAGGGGATAGCAGTGAGAGGAAAGGCGCTGGCTTGTGGCTGACATGACGACGAGATGCAGGCCGAAGGCGGTGAGAGCTACACGATATTGTTCGGTGGTCGTCGATGGGCGGAAATATGGAACGGCCGTCCGCGCCGGCGCTGACAAGCATAGGAGGTCATGCAAAAAATTAATAGCATAGGATGCCACGTCCTCGTTTAGGTGGAACAGCCATGTCATCTCACGGTGGATTTATTCATTGATAGTGTGGTTTTATAAAACAACACTACCGAAATATATGTACTTAAATGCCAAGTATCAAAGTGTGTAGTTTTCTGCAACATAGACCACAAAACGTATAGTTTTGTGAAATTTACTCTAAAATAAAGTTAATATTTGAGCTTAGACCAGACGAGAGTTAACAATTGCCTTCTGTTTAGATAGCACCTTAAGAAAAAAAAAGTGTAGTTTAGGTGAAGAACCAACCAGGTTATTAAAAAAAAAGAGTTGTTTTTTTTTCAACCGCCGCCCCTCCATTAAAAAGGCGTCTCACCCAGGAAAAAAAAGGAACAGATTTTTCTTCTTCAGACATATGAAATGAACCCTAGAAACAGCGGAATCAACAATCTCTGTATAGGAATTAGATCAAAGACTTGAGGACGGGGAAGCATACTTATTTGAAGTTCATGGAGAAGCTGCATCGTCCTGCACTTGATGGCACGAGTCTCCATGGTTCCACCCGATCTCTTCCGCTTGCCGTTCATATACTCCACCGGCAAAAAAAAAAATGCCTCTTGTAGTGTTGAGAATCAAAATCCAGAGGCGCTCTGTTTGATTCTCTTCTTCTCTTGCCTCCCGAGTTCAGATTTTGAAGGAGTTAGCGGTTAATTTGGCATCCTGCGTTCGAATCGGAAACCGACTCGAGAGACGGAGCAATCGGGAGAGGCAAAACTGAAAAAAAAGAAGGCGAAAAATATCAACATGGAAAACGAATAAGAAACTATAGGCCGAAATAATTAAATCGAAAAAAAACTGATTAGGGAACAAAAAGAAAATCACCTACCTGTAGCCCGCCTTGGCATCCGAGATCGGCGGCGCCGGAGCTCGGTTCTGCGCTCGTCAGGGGATGCTCGTTGTCCGGTGGATAACGACGGCGAGCGGCGGCGAGGCAATGAGGGGAGGTGGGAGTGGGACTGTGGGAGGGACAGACACCTCTCCCTGCTGAATTTTTCACATTTTGATCCTTTTAGAAAAAAATATTTTATAAATAGATCTCAAAAAGTTTTTTAAAGATGAAAAAGTTTTTTTAAGGACCAAAAAGAGAATAAGGGTATGTTTGGTTTCCTACCATACTAAAATATTGGTACTACCAAATTTTTTGTGCTATTGGTATATTTTGATAGTAAATCAAACATTAATAAAGGCCTGTTCACTTTGATACCAAAAAAACCTTACCAAATTTTGGCAATGCCAAAAATTTGGTATAGTTGCTAAAATTTTGGCATGATTTCTTATATAGTTACAAAAATTTGGCAGCAAACTAAATGTAGCCACTTTTTTGACAATTTTATCAAAACTTGGTAATATTGAAAATGTCATCAAAGTGAAGAGGCCTAAAAATATACTATTCAAAGTGCCAAACAATTTGATAGCACATATTTTAGCTTCAAACCAAAATGGCCTTAAGTTTTTCTAAAAGACCAAAAGTTTTTCTAAACTTATTCAGACACCTCTCACTGCGTGAATAATAAGTTTTTTTAAAGGACCAAAAGGTGAAAAATCAGCAGTGAGACCGACTCAGATTAATTTTTTTTTTTTTAGAAGCCGACTCAGATTAAATAGGAGTTACATTTCGTACGTGTTATCCAACGGCCCAGAGTGCAACGTGGGCCTAGTTTAATGGGCTCTAATTCGGCTGAGGCCCATCATACGTCCCCATCTGTAAACTCACTCGTTCGTCGGAGGCGACGGCCATGGCTTCGCCGGAGCTCGCCGCCGGCGATGGCAGCTACAACTTCCACCTCCGCTCCCTCTCCGCCGCATCCAGGGACTCCGCCGCGGCCGCCGACCCCGCCTCCGACCCCAACCTCCTCGAATCCGTAAGCGCATCTCTCTGCAACCCTGGCCCCTTCCATGGTCTTCGAATCAGGGGGGGTGGGATGTGCTCACGTTTTGGCTTGTTGACTCGTGTGGGCTTTGCGGCGTGAAGGTGAGGAGGGTGTGCGAGATGTGCAAGGAGGCCAAGGGGGCCAGCGACGAGATGGTGGCCCGGGCGTTCCCTGTGATGAGCAAGCTGTTCCAGCGCTGCGCCGCCGCGCCGACCCAATCCGTGGCCTCCAGCGGCGTGCTGCTACTCGTAAGCTGTGCTTCGATTCACTGATGTGAAGTTTTTCCCCCATCTTGGCTGCAAATGGTTGTTATTCTTACATGTTAGGTTGGAGGACGATATCGTTGCAATGTTTTGGTAGTTTTGTGAAATGTTTGCATCTTTAGGGGCGAGCTTGCTCTAATGTTAATGGTTAACCTTATGATCCCCATTTGACCCCATATAATCATTCTCTGTGGACAATTGTTGGTGAATAGAATCATTTAGATTTGATTAGTAATGTACACACATTTTTAGTCATCATATATTTGAAGAAAAACCTGTCTAATAATACATACTGTATTACTGCTCCCTACCCAGACCATTCTGCAGTTCTTCCTGGACTTTGGGGAGGCAGTCCTGCATGATGCTGATGGTAGCTTGAGGACCTTCTTCCGCTCTTGCCTAAGTAGGTAATAATTTTTCTTGATGTATTGGGTATGCGATTGTTTATTTTTATTTTCCTGCTTACCCTCAATCACTTGGCTATTCTTTCTTGATGATAGGGAGTTCGCTGATCCTATTGTCGCAGAACGTACACTTGAATTCCTGATAGCGAATAAGACAAAGATCCTGAGCTCTTTTCCCACATTAATTCCACAGGTGCCATACCATATAATGTTATACAGCACTAGAATTATCAAAATATCTACATCTTATGTCAACTACCATTCTTTATATTGTCAGTTAGAATTTTTTTTGCATAAATGTAGCTCTAGGCTTCTACTGGCAAGGGCCAATGAATCAAGCATACTTCTTGAAAAGATCTCAATCCAATTTCCTCCTTTCTTTTTTGACTTTTCTGTTTTGTTCTCTTTCCAAATTACTATTTAATGATGTTAATATTTGGCAATGCTTTCGTGATGCTGTCTATGTGCAGTTTTTTCCATTGTTGCTGAAGCTAATTGCATCAAATGGTGAGAGGTATGCCATCTTAATTGCTCATGAACTCCTCACATATTTGCTGATATTTTACTGTGTAAATATGAAGAAGTTCATTCTACCTCTTTCCAGCAATGATTTGACCTATCTAACTTGGGTTTCCTTTGTTTTAGATTGGAGAGGAAGTTCTCAGAAGTGCTTCCGTTAATGATGTCAGCAGGATCTTTTCTTCCTCTCTTCCTGTCCCTTATGGATCTTCCAAGTAAGCCTTCTGATTCCAGACTTCCAGAATTTTCCTCTAGCTTCTTTAGATTGTGCAAGGCTGTAAACTTCATGATTTTAGAAGCTAATTAGCCAAGTTTATTATGATAGTGTTATTAAACTGTTGCATGTGCTGACTGCTGACATCTGGGGCACATCTCTTCCAACATGCGAGATGCATGTAATGTGTATAACATGCTGCTACTGAGGATGCTTATCCTGTACTATTATGCTTTTTTTACTAATTGGTGTCATTTGTTCTATTGCTTACTCATGGAACAAAACAGTGTTAGTGGTAGCATTGGAAAAGGTGGAAAGAAGTTCTGGAACTCTCATCGGTAGTAGTATAGCTACTATACAGAAGAGTGCTGCTCCTGAGGTTGATTTCCGTAATGATTTGACCTAAAAGCTGTAAATGAAATGTCACCTATCAAAACTAATAAGCTTGCTAATCTTTTTCTATCGTACAGATGCTACTTGCACTAATGGATGAAGCATACACTGGTTCTGCTATAGAAGATGCCATTGGCAATGCAGGTTCGGATGATAGTGGTCCTCTAGACCTTGCTGACCCGATGTTCCTTGATCTTCTAAAAGATGAGAATGATGGTATTGCTGTAAGTAGTTCCTTGAAGTATGTGTTCCATGTTCTTCAGTGAATGCCTTGATCTAGTCTTCTCATTTTCTGATGTTTTCCTCAGGCAAAACATTGGACATCTCCTACGATATCTTCAACCTTACAGGCAGCAGTTAATAGCCCACAATCGGACAGATTGAAACAGTCACTGAAAATGGCACCTCGTTTTCTTACATTATATTTTGCTACAGCATTGCGGGACGTTAACGACTGTATGTTGCCTATCTTTGTTAATTGCTATACATACTGATGAGTGATGACCAACATATTGTTGATTTGACCCTCTACTATTTGTCACTTCAGCACTCCTATGCGCTCTGATTCCTGTAGTTATGTCAAGATATGCAGCAATGTTCCCTGACAAAGTATACTCCTTCGAGGTAGGCAAGTGGGTGTCCTTTTCCCATTGCGTCTAATACTGCGTCTAATACTGGAGTAGTAACTACAGTACTACGGTAAGATCATTGAAGTGCTTACTTGATGATTGAACCGAAGTGCTTACTTGCATAGGAAACTAAATTTTAGTCAGCAATTAAGAATCAATTCCTCAAGAAAACAATTGATGATACACCCATCTATTTAGATATACGGCTTATATAGTTTTTTTTAAGTAAAATTGTTAATTGCTAAAGCTATCCTAAAAGTTGAAATTTGTGGAACGTATACATTACATTGGAGTGTCTAACGAACAAAATGGAAGAAGTAAATCATGTTTTCGAATTTTCTTCACATCATATGTACCTTCAGTACAAAAGGATGGTATATGTTCGTATGGGGATTTATGTTTGGTTATTTCCACAATTCTATATCACCCTTCAAACAAGTTCCTTGCAATAAAATTGCTGTAGGTGAGGAAAAGACTTTCAGATTTCATATTGGCTGCATTCCAGCGCTCCCCTGACATCATTGCACTGCTAAAGGTACTGGGTATACATATAACTAGACATGCATATACATGTCAATTCTCTGAACCAATATACCATGTTTGTAGCATTTCTTTTTCTGAGAGTGAATGTTGTAGCATATTTAAGCAACAAAGTAAATATCTCCTTTTTCTGGTTCCACTAAAAAGTAAGCACTATAATGCTCAAACCATTCTACAGAAGCCCATTACAGACAGACTAGGGGAGGCTCACGATAATCCTGCAAACGCAAGAACATGTCTTAAGTACATACTGATTATATAACTGCACCAAACTGCTAAATACCACCCGCTCTCTTATACTAGTTCTGATTATCTTAAATGATTAATACTCTTCTCCACATCAACTGAGTTTTCTGATCGAATGTGATTTATTTACACAGACTGAATTAGCATTGCATTTGTGTTGGGCCATTGGTGAGCATGGAGCTGGAGGAAAAAATCGCAAAGATGTAGCTCGTGAACTGTTTGAAAATTTGGAGTTGCTGTTATATGAAAATCTGGCTACCAGGTGGGCCCTGTTAAACCAGTCTTTTTTTTCTAAACTTGCATGGCATCTCTTTTGACTGACCTCTTATCTCTTGTTGTGAAGTCGTTTGGGATTAAGTCAGGACACAGGATTTGATCCTATGGGTGCATCTTCTAGAAAATCATCTCAAGCTAGGCTCCTCTGCTTTGTGGTGACTGCCATAGCAAAGCTAGCAACGTTCCATAATGAGTTGCTTCCAAGAGCACGTGTATCATTGGCCAAGGTAGGCCCTAATCCTTCCAGTTTGAGGAATATTAAGGTTTGATATATTACTGTCACCACTCATTTTCATCGTTTGAGCTTGTAACTTACTTTCGTACAGGTCGCTCGTTCCCGAACCTCGGACAGGAGAGTGTGGCAACGTGCTTGTGACTATTTAGGTCTATTGAATGAACCGGCCATTTGTTTATCTGTACTAGGACCATCCACCGCACAAGGAAATGGTCCTGGTATTGTCAACTGGAGTGAAGGAGGAACAAAGATGGTAGCTCACATTCCGTTCTACCTGTTAGCTGAACAAAAAGGTAAAAAACTCTTTTAGCAAACTTATATTGTTAAATGTGGAGTAAGCATCCTTTCATGTTTGTTACCGCACAAACATGTTTGCTAGGAACAAACTCCATATGTAAGTGATATATTTAAGAATCAAGTTGTTTTGAAAAATGCCATCCTGAGAAAACTATTAAAATGTGTTTCCGTTAATAAGCCTTTTGTAAAATGAACACACGAGTTACTCCAGAACTCAACTTGTTTTGCAGGTGCACCGATCCATGATTTTTCGTTTGACGATCTCGTCCCCACGGAATGATGTACTTTCATGAGTGCAATGGATTCATACAATGATTCCCTCGCGGACATCATCTGTGCTGACTGCCGAGGCTTTTGGTGGTAATGTCATGAATCATGAAGATCCAAGTGGCGTCTCTTATGAGTTTATCCAGTTCATTATTCAGTCTAAAGGCGAGCTAAGTTGCTTTGGATGAGACCGTATAGTTTCTGGGAACTGAAATGTTTGTTCATGGGGTGAAGGTTATGGCAGAAGCACTCGAGTATTTCCATGTAGGGATTGTCGTATATATGTAATCTTTTGAAGGGTAATCAGTGATGTAAATAATAAGAGTGGCATAAATTTTATCAAGGAGTATTAAATTGATTGTGCTGTTTTTTGGGGGATATGCGACAGTTCTGATAGAATACTGTTGAAGGCAATGAAATGCAAGTCATCTTACACAACTCTGCAACTGCTGGAAACTGAAATTAACATCGCCTTCATTGAAGCAGCAAGGAAGAACTAATAACAAGCACAGCACACACAATTTTGGATTGAAACAGCACTGATCAAACACTGAAGAGAACTAAAAGTATAAGACAGGGACACAGATCTCTATTCTGCAACTCCTACTAGCTAGCTAGGTACTGGGAAGTCTGAACAACAGAAATTACAGATCAAATTAAGGGGTTTTTTTTGTACTCCAGAAGAACCCTAAATTCATAAGGTAGCAGCATCCGAGAGGCGAACATGAAGAGGAAGTCAATACCCGAACCAACCGCCCTTGCGTAGTGGTGACACATTTTTTTTGAAATTTCCCGAATTTGCGGAAAAACTAGCGAAAAATAATCCAAACTATATATGGGCACCACATGGCAAGGACAGTCTGAGGTGCGTTCTTGACTTCCCACTGATGAAAGCTCCAAAATTTTGCTGCTCCTGCACACAAACATGATCAAACTCATCAGAAATTTTACAGATATACCTCTCATTAACTGATGCAATTAATCTCGCAAGAGTTCTGAAGTAATTTGGTGCATTTGTACCTGAAATTGAAAGCACAAGAAGCTTTTGTTTGATTCAAGGACGAAGCTACTGCGGATTGCTCTCGCCGGAGACGGCCGCCTTGATGCGCTCCACCGTGCAGGCGATGAGGCTGTTCACCGTCGCCACCGACCCCAGCGAGAGCTTCGCCGTCGGGACGGAGTCCACCAGTATCTGGAACGCCACCGTCAGCAGCGACCCGCCGGAGCCGACGCCGACGCCGCCGTCGCCGTCGCCACCGTCGTGCGCCGGCCCATCGGGCAGGATGGCGAAGCCCGATGGCAGCAGCGCGACGTAGTCCGGGTCGCCGCCGTTTAGCACGACGTTCATCGCAACCACGTCCACCGGCGCGTAGATGACGTACGACCCCGACGCGTCCGTGCAGCTCTCCTGCAGGATCAGCATGTTGCTCTGGTTCGAGTTCGAGCTCTGCAATATATATTTGTACATGAAACGGGATCGATCAATACATCGCGCATTATCGCATGCTCGTATATATCTTGCGTTTTGATCTTGGATGAATTGCTGCTTACGTTGACGCGAAGAAGTGAGACGCAGTTGCCCTGATCCCGGCCATTGGCGATGTGGGCCATTTCTTGAACGATACCGCCATTGGAGAGGATGTCCCACTGAAAATAAATTTATTTTCAAAGTTTAAGATTTTGTAATTTTTTTCGCGAACTAAGAGTTTGTAATTGTATTCTTGTTAACCTTATCATGGATTTATAGGTATTCTATCTGTTTAATATTATAAGTCGTATTGACTTCTTTCCTAGTCAAACTTTATTAAGTTAAATAAAATTTTAAAAAAATTAATAGCATATAAAATATTAAATTAGTTTTATTAAATTTAATATTGAATATATTGTGATAAAATGTGTTTGCTTTGTATTAAAAGCGCTACTATGTTTTTTTTTACAAAATTCATCTGAATAAAAAACAAAGCGACTTTTTTTTTGACGTAAAAGCGACTTATGATATAAAACAGAGGGAGTACCTCACTGCGAGAGGATTCGTCGCGGAGGAAGTCGAAGACGCGCTTGGGAGGGACGGGGAGCCAGAAGGAGGTGGCGGCGTTGAGGACGATGCCGGGGGGCCTCCCGGGGTCGTCGACGCTCTTCCTCGTCATGACGCGGACGTCCTCGGCGCCGCTGCCGGACAGCGTCGTCCACTGATGCGCCACCGACGCCGTCACGCCGCCGCAGAAGCTCACCACCATCCTCTCCGCCAGCTTCAGCATGCTCTTCCTCCCCTCCGAGCTCGTAATCACTGCAATTATATTCATTCATTCAACAAACACAATTAAATCCACTGCGTGGTTTAGTGATTGAACATATCTGAATTTTAATTTCGTTTTGGATCAAATTAAAGGGTGAAATTCGCTGCATGCTCGATCAATTACTTACCGCCGATGTCGCTGGTGGGGATGTTGCTGGCCATGACGCTGGCGAGGCGCTCGCACTGGCGGTCCAGCGTGCCGACCCACCGCCGCGCGCCGAACGCCAGCCCGGAGTTCACCAGCAGCTTGTAGATGTTGTGCACCGACCTGTCGTCCACCTCCACATGCTCCACCCACGTCACCTGATCATACAACAATTTCATCAGTTTTCCATGATTTCTGAACAGCAATATATCTTGAATTCAGAATTTCAGATTTGATTTGTGATGATGATGATGATGAGCTGATGATGGTCACCTTGGAGTAGCCATTGGGCATTTCTTGGATGAGGCAGCCTGACGGACGGCGGCGACATTTGAGGACGGGGCTAGGGCGGAGGCTGTCCAGCGAGACGTCGACGACGGCCCATGTCCCGTCTGCGTTCTGCTTGCAGTATCTCACGAAGTAGCTCTCTCTCGTTGGCACCAGTGGCGATGGCACCTGAAACTCCACTGACATCTGCAGAGAAAACGGCCAAAACCAACACAATTTTGTCCCATTTCAGTGACCAACATGTACACACTTCGAATTCTTTGGTACTACCGAATATGACAGAAGATTCAGAAAGGAGACAAAATTTTTAAGACAAGCATGAACACATACCACTTGCAATGCACCGTTGTAGTTCCCCGCGACGCCGGTGGACAGCACCTCCAGCGTGATGGCCCTCGACACGATGTTCGAGAACACTGCCGCGTACTGATTCTGCGCAATTCACTCAAAATTTGAACGAAATTCAGACCCCAACAATCAAACAGGATCATAAAAATCACCAAACTAAAAAACATTCAGACAAGAATAGCGCACTGACTGACAGAAAATTAACCAAGAGCTTACCGCGTCCATGAGGATCTCGACGAGGTTGGCGTGCGTCATGATGACGACGGCGCTGTCGCGGGACGCCTCCGACCTGAGCCCGTACTGCTTGGGGCCGAGCCCTCGGGGGAACATGCGCGCGTACTCCTCCTCGCTGAGCGTCTCCATCGCCGCCGCCGTGGCGTCGAGCGGCGGCGCGACGCTCCAGAGCGGCTCGTCCAGCTGCGCCATGCGGACCAGCTCCTCCATCGCCGCCACGGCGAGCTCCACGATCATCGGCTTGTCGACCTCCGACTGCACCCCGCGCAGCAGCTCCCCGGCGCCACCGCCGCCGAACATGTCGCCCGGCACGCCGTACGGCGCCACGGGGAGGTCCAGCGGCGCCCGCGACGCCGCCGCCGCCATCGGGTTCGACAGCACCGGGAACGGCACCATTGGCTTCCCCACGTACTTCGCCGCGATCGCCGATATCCTATCGATCTGACAAGCACAACGACACGATCAGCGTGCGACGATCCATGCAATGGCGGTGTCACCATGATCGATCGATTGTTCAGATATGGTGAAAACTACCTCTTCGCGGAGGCGGGCGTTCTCGATGCGGAGGTGGTGCTCGTCGAAGGACATCTCGCCGAGGGCGGCGGGGCCGCCGCAGTTGGGGCAGGAGGCGCTGCTCAGGGCCTCCTTGTACCGCATGTTCTCGGCCCGGAGCTTCTCGTTATCCGACCGCAGCTGCGAGTTCTCGTGCCTCTCATGCTGGTTCTGCACTCTCCCCAACACATCAAATCACACACCATTTTTACTCAAATTTCAAGCTAAAAACTTCGAAAATCTTTGCAACGGATTGACGATGACACTATGACAGTGTGTTCGTTCGTGCAAACTGTTAATTCCAATCACTGTACACGTATGCAGCTAGGTCAGCAAGGTAGGGGAAGGGTTTGACTATGGAGGACGGACGGAGGCGTAGGCCTGCAACTGCCACATTTGGCAGTGTGCAATGCAGAAGCGGACATGGGGGTGCGTGGGCAAGCCTTGTCCAGTTATAGTAATACGCCATGAATGCGTCCTGCAGGAGCTAGGTCAGAGGCTTAAATGAAGTGGTTGTGACGACGAGGAGGAAGAAGAAGACGACGCTCTCTCTCTTCTCTCTATCTCGCAAGCTCGCCTTCTTTCCGGCCGAAATTTTCTCAACCAGAAATCCAAAGAATCCGTTGCATTTGCACTCGCTTGCAGGTTGCAACGTCCTGATTAATTACACGTACATGTGTTTCCTAAAAAAAAGAATTGTACTGCTACGAACACAGGTGAAAGAAAGGTGAAAATGATGAGCAGAATCAACAACTATTTGGGTGATTAATTAGGTTTTTTCACCTTCATTTGGGTGCGCTTGTTCTGGAACCAGAACTTCACTTGGAGAGGCTCCAGGCCGAGCTCCCGGCTCAGCTCCTTGCGCTGCTTATCATCTGGGTGTGGACATTCCTTGAAGAATCTGATCAGATCAGATAGATTTAGAACAGATGAACCGAGATTAATTTAATTCTATTAGTCATCAGTAAGTTAATAGTACGTACGAATTAATGCATCCAGGAAAAATAAATTAGAAGGGGAAATTTTTGAAGTTCGGTTGAACGTGTGAACGCAAAATTCGTACTACGTTCTTGAATGCTTCGTCTTCCGTTTTGTTTGGGGGAGAGTGCAAAAGAACAAAAACGGTTTTGATCAACGAGTCAACTTTATGCAGTTCGTCCAGGGGAAATGGACGGGCAAGAGAAATCAATTTGACTTCTACGCAAGCTTACATCAGTCCATGGGAAATTAATTAAAGACAGTATAATTAACCAGCTGTTCCATTTGTACTCATCTCCTCACATTGATTTCAGTAGACTAACACAGCATTTCATGCGTAATTTTCTGAATTAGAACACCCATGAATAACATTCCAAGAACAAGCTAGCTGGGGCAAAACTGAACTGAACTCAAATATGTCACATTTCTAGGACAATCAAACAAAGTATATACTATATGGAATCAAGAACACATAATTAATTAAGTAAATAGCTATGAGTTGAGTGTTATTACGCTTCCATCTCCTGGATCTGATGCTGGGTGTGGCGGTGGTAGCGCTTCTTGCGCGGCCGCTGGTTGGGGTCCTGGTCGTCGACGGAGACGCCGTCGACGTTCTCGCTGCCGGACTTGCTCTCGAACTCGTCGCCGCCGAGAGGGTCGGACGCACGGCTGCGGATCATGTTGTCGCCGCTCTCCGCCGTCGTCGCCGGGATCTGGTCAAGGAGATGATGCTGCTGCTGCTGATGCTGGAACGCTTGCTGGAACTGGTGATTATCCAGCAAGTTTGGCTGCGAATTTTGGAGCAGATCGAATTAATTGAGGATTAGTATGCGTGTGCTACATAAAGAGCAAAACTTAGCTACCAATTTGGTACCACAGATTACGCCTTTACAGTAGTAGTACCTATTTATTCCGTGCGTTTTATACATGGCATATGCATTAAATAGATACTAGACAAAGTGGAGAAGTTCAAAGTTTTGTGGAAAAGATAGAAGAAAAAATTGTATGCATGAACAAAAACAACCCATATTGATAACTTTCTCATTTCTGCAAGGAAAAATCTGGTGTGTTCATACTTCATAAAAACACAGAAAAAAATTTGGGGATAAAATGGAAGATTGCTTTAAATCAGGAAGGGATGAGGAGACAAGCTAAGTGAAGAAACTTTTCTCCTTTTTTGATTCCCTTTGGTATATGCAGAAGATGTGAAAGCAAGCTTGCAAAGAGGAATAAGAAAGAAAGGGTAGCTAGATCGATATGTTTCTTCTTCAAGAGTGCCACAACACAAAGACCCAAAAAGCTTGGAAGAACAAGGAAGCAAGCAACAACAAACCTGTTGAAGATGATCTACAGGTTTCCCTCTCAATATGTGTGCAAGATCAGCAACTTGGAAAATCTCCCTCCTCTCCATAGTCCTATCTATCTATCTATCAGCTGACCTGTTCATCTGCTCCCCTTATATAGGAGTAGGGAGAGGAGTAGGCCAGTCTTAAAGAAAGGGAGGCTCTCATGTACTCTGAATCTTATGACCTAATATGTGTGAACAGCAACCACTAAGTACTGGAGATAACCTCTTTCTCTCCCCTCTATATAGCCCCCCTTCTCTCTCTCTCCACAACCCTGAAACTTCTCATTTTCCAAGAAAGTGTGACTAATTATCTTCAGAAACTTCAGAACTGAATGTATTGCTTTTTTTCCCCTCTTCTAGCTTTTCATCTCAAGTAGTAACACCTCAAATTAATCAAACACAAGAAAGAGAAAGAAGACGCAAAAGGTAAAAATCTAGCACAGCAAAACGCTCAAAAGTCTTTGGATTTTTCAAGAAAATAAAAGGAAAGCAGGCCACCCCTTGAAATTAATTTCTTTTCAGCTCAAATTCCTGACAAAAGAAATTCTTTACCTGGCTGAGTGACAGTGCCGATGAGGATCCGTACGCTGCGCCGTTCCGGCCGATCATCGACGGCATATGCCTCGCCGGGATCATCATTATACTCCTATATCTCAAACCCTAATTCTTGCCCTTGCAGCTCCTTCCATTTCCACTCATGAACACGCGTATATGAGTGTGTCCCAAACCCAAAGAACACACAAAGTGCTAGCTCTAAATATGTAGGGAGATAGAATGATAGATAGATAGATATAGATATATATATATATATCTTGCTTGCCAAGCAACGCAAACGCAAGTAGAAACAGATCTAGCACACAAGCTAGCCCAACGAACCTTGCTGCAGAGAGGAGACAGCCAGCCAGTGAGATCCAAGACAAGAACTACATGCAAATATAGAACTCTTATCTCTGCTTTGCTGTCTCTCCTACCTGCACAAAAGAAGATGTTTCACCGGGTGCAAACAACAAACTGCAAGGTTCAGAGGGCTAGCGAGAGCTAGAGATCACACGGCAAGAGATCAAGGTGAGATCTTCTCGATCAGGATCAGGAGGAGGAGAGGAAGAAGAAGAGGAGAAGAAAAGGGGAACACAGGTGGAAGAGAATGTGGAGAGGGGGGCGAAGGAGTTATTGCCGCGGAGTGTTGAGAGGGTGCAATCGCATTTATGGAGAAGGCGTAGTGTAATTGCTAGGGGAGAGAAAGAGATGGAAGGGGAGAGAGAGAGAGAGAGAGAGAGAGAGAGACTAGTGGTGCATGGTTTCAACTTTCAATTCCAATTTTTGTTTTTATATTCCCTCAATTGAGGATATGGAGAAATTAGAGTGTCCTTTTTTGACTTATTATTTATTAACACAATGTCAAATTGACATGTAATATAGTGTTTGTACAACACTGGATTTTTGGGAGACCTCATAGCCAAGAACAATAAAACATTTTTTATACTTCCTGAAACATTTTTTTAAACAAATTTTGTTTTTATATTTCCTCAATTGAGGATATGGAGAAATTGGAGTGTCCTTTTTTACTTATTAACACAATTTCAAATTGACATGTAATATAGTATTTGTACAACATTGGATTTTTGGGAGACCTCGTAGCCAATAACAAGAAAACATTTTTTTTATACTTCCTCTAAGAATTTTTGGTTATGTACCTCCGAGATACATGTATAGTCAGAAACTATTATATTTTTAATGAAAGTAATACATGTCATAAATTAATTAACATTTCCTTATTGTTACCAATTTGTCGCTTTTTTTTCATTTATCTGACCATGAAACAGTTGTTTGGCAATCCTACACGCAAGAGCACATGAATAATTCACTGTTGCCCCGTAATTTATACAACGAATTATTATAGACCGGCGTAATAATTGAGTGGTGGAGAGGTAGATTTTTCACTACTGTTTAGTATAGATGCAGCGTATAGTGCGGCCCAAAGATAAGAACAAAAGAAAACAGGAAGGCACACACGTATCGTCGTAGTCTACATATATTTTGTTGACTCTCGATCGATACTGATCAGTTACTACTAGGTTAATTTATTTGTTTTATATATAGTACACACAAATACACAATCATAGTATTGTATTTTTTGCAACTTTGTGATTAATTACATGCATGTATAGGAGGAATGGGTCAAAAAGTATCCTGTGGAAGACCAGCTTGCTGCTGTTTCACTATGCATGCAAACTGATGCATTTTGACTCGAGTATTTTACTTATATTTTTGGGAGTCGATCGATCAGATTTTAAGGAGACACCATGCAGGGTGAAGAGATCGATGTTTTCACTGCTGTGCCCTGGGTACGTACTGTTTTCATGCCTCCACACGCCTCATGCTTGTTTGGTGTAGTCTTTTTCACTCTTTCTGCACTGGAGTATATAGCCAGCCTTTCTTGCTGAGAAAAAAAAATTTATGTGAAAAATTACTAGCAGAAGAAACGTGGCATGTACTCGCCATGTCCACGAATATAAATATGTTTAGGGATTTTAGCGTAAATTAAGGTTACGGTGAAATTATTTCAAGATATCCTCTTAAAGTATGGGCTCGCCGATCCCGATTCGAAACTCACCCCTCTTAACAAAATTTCAATACGAGAGCCCCTTCTCTGATATCCAACATTTCTTTTTTATTTCACGATGCCCCCGGCCTCCCGAGAGTTCACTTTATGCCGTGTTTAGTTTCAAAATAATTCTTCAAACTTCCAACTTTTCTATCACATCAAAACTTTCCTACACACCTAAACTTTTAATTTTTCCGTCACATCGTTTCAATTTCAACCAAACTTCCAATTTTAATGTGAACTAAACACATCCTTAATAAGAAATATCATGCCCAGCGATGCAAACTAGTGAGAAATAATTTCAGTGGTTAATTAGGTGGGTTAGGAAAATAATACTCAAGAAATGCTAACAAATTTTAAACACTAAAAATACGTAGGATGGAGGGAATAATACACAATTATATCATCTATACATGAGTATTGTATCTACTTGAAATTAAATTATTTTAAAAACTCATGCATCTAATCAAGTGAGAAATAACCACAATCAACCTTTCAAAACAGTATGCAAATCCCTCAAAATCAAAGTTGTAAAAGATAAAAGAAATTAATGGATAATGGTACACTATATAGTGGATTAGGAAAAAAAAAAGAACACTACTAATGAGAGTCATGTCCGTCTTCATTGCTTTTTTCTATGAGAAATTTTACGGTTCTTAAAAAAGTATATATATTGAGGCATCTAAATTTTACATTTAAAGTAATTTTTATACCGAGATAGCTAGTATAGATATCAAATTTCACACTAAAAAAATAGTATCTCCTAATATCTTCTCAACAATGGAAAAAATTACCTCTTTTTCTAGACTCTGATTGATTGACCTATGACTAACAAGCCATTGAGAAACGAACGAAGCAAATATAATTTATGGGTTAAACTTATGGGGGATGCTAGCGCGCGTGCGCGCAAGGGAAAGGAGCCGGCGCGCGCACCAGCTGCATCCCTACGCGTTTCTTTTTTTTAAGATCTCCTATTTTAACGTCACTTTTTTGTTTCCTTTTTTAAATCGCTTCTTTTTTCCAGATTTTTTTAATCGCTTCTTTCTTTTCCACACGCGCGAATGATTTTTTTTTTTGATATTTTATAAATTCAATCCTTCACTGTAGCGCCCGTTCCGTCGTGGCGCCTAGCGGGAAAATTATCTCTTAAAAACCCTAATTGCGAAATTTGTTTCTTTGCTTGTTGTCTAGTGTCTGTGCCATCTCAAGATCTCAATCCCCGATCTATCGTCGAGTTCAATTCCGAATCCAAATCCTTCCAATCAATTTCCTCCGCAAAAGTCTAGTTTGCCTCCCCCGGGTTCGATGGGCCGAATCCAGCTCGGCCCATCTCTCCCCCGGCCCCCCCTCTCTCTCCCGGGCGCTCTCCCTCTCTCTCTCTCTCTCTCTCCCCTCCCCCCGGGGCGCTCTTTCCCCCCCCCCCCGCTCAGCCTCGCCCGCCCGCTGCTCGGGGGGGGGGGGGAGTCGCCCGCGCCGAGCGCCCCCTCCCCTCGGGGGAGCTCCCCGCTCGAAAAGCCGCTTTCCGCGCGCCGTGTTCGCGTGCGCGCGCCCGCGCGGACGCCGCCCGTTGCAAGCCGCGCGCGCGAGCCGAGTGGCCGACCGCCCGGTCGCCGCCGCTGTCAGCCTCTGCGCGCGCCTGTCGCCGGTGTCGCCGCTCCGCTCCAAGCCGTCCCCCCCCCCCCCCCCGTCATCACCGTCGTCATCGCCCGGCCCCCGCCACTCCGCGCGCAAGCCGCCAAGGGACGGAGCCGCGCCCCTCCTCCCTCTGCCGCGATGCTCCCGCTCCCCCCCTCTTTTTCCCGAATCGGCAAAGGGGCAAGCCCCTTTCTCCCCCTCTTTTTCCCCTTTTTCTCCTCGCCGGCGTCATCCTCCTGCCGCCGCTTTGGCTGCAAGCGCCGAGCGCCAGCTCGCGCCTTGACCGTTCAATGCCGGTTCCCCTCTCCCAAACCGACATTGCCGTCCATTTAAGCCCAAGCCCTCCCCCTCCAAACTCCCTCATTTTTCGCCTCCGCGCCATTGCCGCCCTCTGTTTCGCCGTCGCCGATCGTCGTTGCGCGTGTCGGAGGAGCTGGCACGAGCAAGGACGCGGAAGAGGACTCCGGCCGCACCCTCTCCTTCCTCTTCCCTGGCCCGAGGCCGGAGAGTTTACTCCCGCGCCGTCGGCCTCTCATCACAGCGCCCCTCCTCTTCTCGGTGATGTCTCTCTCCGTTCTTCCTCCTCGCTCCATCTCCTTCCCCTAGCTTTCGGTAGTAGCTTGAGTAGCCTTCCCGTAGTTAGCCGGCGCCGCCCCGACCGTTGCCGTCGCTCGCCGTGTGCTCGCCGCCGTCGCCGCCCGAGCTCCGTAGCACCCGCTCGTCGCCGGCCTCGCTCGGCGTAGTTCCGCCCAATCCGACGCTAGCGTCGAGTTCCCGAAGCCGCGTAGATGCTCTCACCGCCGGGAATCGACCTCTCGTGGCCTCGTTGCCGTTTCCCTCTTCTCCCGCCGCCGGTTGCCGCCGCCGCAATCCGCCGCCGTCGAGCAACCCCCGGCAAATCCAAGCCGTTGGTTCGTCTCCCCTCGTCTCGTGTAACCGCCCGGTGTGCTCGCTTTTGCCCGTATCACCGTGGTTCGCTCCGCCGCTCGCCGCCGCCGCCCGCCGTCCATTCGCGGCCGGATCGTCGTCTACCTCCCGCCGGCCCGCGTGGCGGCCACGTAGGCGCCACGTCGGCGCCAGCTCAGCCCAGACCGGGTCGGGCCGACCCCGGTCGGTCCCTCCGCGTGCGCGCATTCCACCGCAAGCCGTGAGGCTGCGCGTGGGCCCGCCGCACCTGCGTCCGCCGCGGACCGCGCGCGTGCACCGCGTTCCTCCCTGCCCGCGCGCGTGCGCCGCGTGCTCCCTCCGCACGGTGAGCCGAGCCGCTGACAAGCGGGTCCCACCCGGGGCCACGCGTGGTGAGCCCGGTCCACCGGACTCTCTCTCCTCCCCCCGCGCGCGCGCGCTTGGGCCGTCTTGGGCCGGCCGGCCCGTTAAGCTCGGCCGAGCCGCCCCAAATCTCTTGGGCCGCACCCTAGCCGCCCGAGAAAAGTCTATATTCCCTCCCTCCCTTCTTTTCTTTTTCTTTTTCTTTTCCAAAAAGGATTTAATTAAATCCTTTTTCCTTTAGACCAAAAATCCAATAATCTTAGAAATTCAATATCTTCCCAACCGTAACTCCGTTTGACTCCGTTCAACTTCCAAAATTCATCAAATCTCGAGATCTATCTAATGGCACGCTTAGAGGTCATTAATAGGGCTTTATTTTCGCTGTTTGTTGAGTTGTTCCGTTTCGCGTGTAGTTTCAGAGCCCGAAGACCCGCAGTGCGAGGATTTCGAGGATCAAGCTCCAGATCTCGAGCAAGGCAAGCCACCTTTGAACATCTTGAGCCTATAATTGAAATTTAATTATATTGCTTGAAAAATATTATGCATTGATAGGACCGCACTTAATCTTTTGCCCCATCTGCAAGGCAGATTGGTGGACCTACCTGACTTGTTGCATTTGATCCTTCCATTGTTAATTGCCATACCATGTCCCCTTGTAACCACCCAGTTGCGCCTCGATAT